TGGAATATTTTGCTTTGCTTAGAAGTGGCCAAATAGGTGTTAACTTACAGTTAATATATGATTAAGATCTCACAATCATTTCCAAAAAGATAAACATACATACCGCTGGCTATCAAACTCTTATCTGTAAGTTAACAATTAACTGTAGTTAGAAACTATTCTACAGCTGGCTATGGGTGGGCAGATGATGAATGAGAGGAGATTAGATACCTGGCTCCCCAATGCCTCTAGAGCAGCATTTCTCAACCATTTTTCAGTCAAAGCACCCTTTAAAAGTATGTAAATTCTCGAGGCACCCCAGTCTAAAATGTAAAAATGGTCAATGTAAAAAAAGATATGGGGTCCCTCCAAAACCCATACCAAATCCTTATACAAGATACGGGTCTGGTATGGATTTTAAGGAGGGGGGACCCCCAAGCAAAAACACCCAAAAAAAGGGAGATTGCCTCCCCACACACACATCAGATTCGCCTTAACATCACAGCCCAACTTTCACATCAGGTGCCTTCTGCATTTCAGAGTCTGTGTGTGAATCTTTAGAGGCACCCCTGAGGAAGCCAGAAGGCACACCAGGGAACCACGACACCTTGGTTGAGAATTGCTGCTCTAGAGCAACAGGACTCACTGATCTCAGCAGATGTGTAGTTGCAGTATGTGTATGGTGAGAGGTTTGTTTATTGCTCTCCATAAGAAAGGAAAAAGAATACCCAGCCACACAGAGATTTTCCAGCATTTAAAAAAAAATCTTAGTGGTGCTACAATGAGCAATTTTGATGCTTAGAAGTGCATGTTATTAGTCAACTATAGTGAACTATAACATGGCTAAGTAGTTGCTTGACTGACTTCAGCCTTTCTTTAATTGGTCTCAATATTTTCAGGCTGCACTTAGTATCTCTCTGCTAACTTTTTCATCTACACTAAACACATGCATGATAAGAAATCTATCCCACTTCAATAACCATGGTCATAAAGATTGTAAGCTCTCACGGGCAGTGCCCTCCTTACCATCTTGTCTTGAATTGTATTGTGATTGTAATGTCTTTCTTATATTGTAATGCACTGCTTAAACTGTTGGCGCTATATAAATCCTGTATAATAAAAATAATAATAACAAAAAAAAAGCTTTTTTCTATATATCTTAGGAAAAATTCTACTAAAAATGCAGTGCTATTTGCTATTTACAACCAGTGCAACCTTTTGGAGTATTGCAACAGACAGTGGCGTAATGTATCGGGAAGGTTGTGACTGTTCTCCAGCTTGGTGTGGGATGAAGAGTCTTTATCAGAATTCAGCTGGCCATGATGATAGTTGTGGCAAATATTATCACGGCAACACACATGGCCTGATGTTTAGTAGATTAAAGTGACATTAAAGTCAAAAGGTTTTTAAACTATTTCATATGCGGGTAAATCACATTTCAATGGAGGCTGCTCTTTAATCTTTATGACTATGGTTATTAAAGTGGGATACATTCCTTATCATTCATGTGTTTAGTGTAGGTGAACAAGTTAACAGAGAGATACTTATCATCCATTTCTATGAATCTGTTACTAAATTAAAGTCACTTTGAATAAAGTGAGCCTGGGAAAATTAGACAGCAATAAACCGCTAAAGAGAACAATCTTGCAATGCATGTCATGGAGATGTGACATAGTACACAGTCCAGCTCAGTCAGTAGACGAGGTGATACTTTCTTTTTGGCTGAAACTACAATACAGTGGAGGCATAGAAGGTGTACTGGCTTCTTCACCTTGTAGTGAACATTAGACAAGTGCACCAGCAACAAATGTCTTTAGTTTCGTTTCGTTAATTCGGATTTTGCGTTATTTTGTTTTTCGGGATTCTGGTCCGAAAGTCAATTTGTTTCGTATTCGGACGAAATTCGTTAGCGGTAGTCTGTACGAATGTTCGTTTTCTTCATTCGTTGCATATGAAAAGTGTTATGACACCTCTGCTCACAGACCGAATGGCATTCGGGAGCTCATGAATAGCATTGGGGAGCTCCTGAATGCTTTGTGTTATGTGACAGCTGAGAATGTCAAATGGGCGGAGCGAAGCCGTGACGCCGTGGCTCGCTCCGCCCATCTGTTTACTTTCGGGCTGAATGTCATTTTGATGGAGCAATTTCTTTATTTTTTTTATTTAAGGAATAGTCAAAAATTTACTCTTTGTTTTTTTTTTCAATTAAAGGATTTTTTTCTAAAATTGTGGTTTGTTTATTTACTTTGTATTTTAACCCTTTACTGAATGAGTGAGGATACAAGTACCCCATACTCATTCACAAGGGGGAGGCGGCATCTGGGTGCCCCCTTAATTAAAGGGAAACCCTGATGCAAATAATCCCCCTTGCCCTCAGACCCCCACAACCACCGGGTCAGGGTTGTGGGGAAGAGGCCCTTGTCCCCATCGGCATGGGGACACCCTCCCAATGCGAAGGGCATGTGGCCTGGTAAGGCGCAGGGAGGGAGGGCGCTTGATCGTCGTGCCGGGCCTGTGTTTGGATCAAGGGTCTGGTAGGAATGTTAGGGGAGACCCCACGTTTTTTCCCCCCATTTTCTGGGGCTGGGGTTCTGCATTAAAATTCCTACCAGACTTAAAGGGCCTGGTATGGATTAAAAAAAAAAAAAACCTTTTCTTTTTCCTTATCCAGTCTTCTGACACTGGCCATTTTTACTAAGGGCAGATTACTAGATCTCCCTTTACTTCCTGGAAATCTGGCACATGTGACTAGGACATGTGACCATGTACATCATCTCAGGGGAGGAAAATGCCTTTCCCAGAGATATCATGATCTGTACAGATGAGATTTCCCAGCAATGCTCTGCTAATGTAACATTCCCAGGATGCAATGCTTGGGCACGATTACGCCATTTGTGCTAAAGAGGACAAGGAAGTGGAACAAAAAAATTGTAAGTAAAATAAAAATATATGTTTGTTTAGTTATTGAATGTACAAAATATTTAGAATTGAATGTACAAAATATTTAGAATCACCACAGGAACGGGGACACCACACCCCTAAATTAAACGTATACCAACTAAAATTAGATGGGGCTTTTAAGGTGTCATCTAAAGAATGCAAAGGGACATAACTAAACATATGATAACACATAGGTCACATGTAGTATAATTTATTGGAATAACATCTCCTTTTATTAAAAAATGTTATAATCGACATACAGATAAAAACAACATATCCACTCATCTTAAAAACAAATGGCAGCTTGCCTTCAAGGCAATAATAGGTATATCACAACATAGAACCTCCCTGGAACCCGTACAGTAATACAAAATAAATATCATTTTTGAGATTTTAGTGGTGAGTAGATCCACATATCCGGAAAGGCTTTCTCATCAGCCAGGAAACAGAGAAGATGGAGAAAATGTAAGGGCGGCGGGGCAGGGGAAGGAAGGTGCCTGTCCTAGGGTACCTATAAAAATGACAATGCAATCTAGGATTCTGCCAGGTATAAATTCATGCATATAAAAGGTTTCAAACCCAACCAAACTAGTTTCTCTCTAACACTTAATGGGTCAATTAAATAGACTAAATTGTACCTATGGTTAAGGAAGGACAGCCTCGATAAACAATTCCTCCATATCCACATTAGCAGTAAACAAACGTCAGGGCTCTAACACAAATATCTCAGATATGTCTTTACATAGTAGTCTGACTCTCCCATCATCACTACAAGATCTTGGTGAAAAATGAATGCAACTCTGGACGGAAATAAATTGCATACGTTTGTAGAAACAATACCATGGCATATGTGTGCAGTAAACAAAGCTAAAGGCGGGCCAACTAAATATTCGATTCTGTGTGACTTTTTTTTGGCCAGGCAGTGTATTATCAATTATCCATTCCATGTATAATGACCTCATCTAAGGTAAAATAGATGTTGCTTAAAATGTTTAAGGTTTCAGTCCCAATTGTCCTGAGAGACATTTCTTGGTATATGATGCAGACATCTCAACGGTCCCGGGAGTCTCCCACTATAAGATAGCGGCTCCCGAACACCTGGGAGAGAAACATTTTCTCCCGGAAAGGTTTACTCTGCTTTATCCAGCAGAGTAAACCTTTCCTTGCTGTTTTTTTTTAGCTATTGACTATCTATTACACCCGCCCACTGCTGCTGTCAATCAGCAGAGATGGAGTTCTCCATCAGGTCCTTCTCTGCTGACTGACAGCAGCAGAGGGTGGGTGCAATAGCCAGCTTGCTATTGCAAATTGAAATAGCCAATAGCAATCAAGCTATTCATTCCTATACTGTTTTTTAAAATGTTTTATTATTCTGATGGCAGCAGCTGTCAGAATACTAAAAACAGCAGATAGGAAGGAAAGCATTAGCTTCTTTGATTGCTGCCATCATTTCAGGGGCGTGCTCTCTTCCTTTTTGTTGCAATGCCCCCCCCATCTGCGGGCACCTCCGTGAAATGACTCTTCAACAGCTAGCATCCAAAGGCATGCGAAGCTGTATGCAGGTACCATCACATACCGATGTACAGCTGCGCACAGCCTTGACTTCTACAATCGGCTTTATGCAGTACTTTTAGCTCTCTGACAGTGGAAATACACCATCATTTACGTTGTAGGTGTTCAGCCACCTGTGTGCAAAGCACTGACGCCTATTAGCTCTATAACAATAAAAATAAACACAGTTCTTTTATTTAGACTTAGTGTGTTCAATTTCTTGATTCTGCATACATGTATGTGCACTAGGCACGTTTCCTCATGTTTAGCTCTGCATCCGCCGGTAACACCGCCAACCACAACGTGGCGACTCTGCTCACATCACAGCGTTACACCGCCCATACTATGGTTGGCAAGAAAGCAGCTGCTCAGAGTTTCCGGAAGTGCGAGACTACGTCATCCTCGGCAAAGATGGCTGCCCCCAGTGTGTAGCAACGTGTGTCTAGTGTGTCTGGGAAAGTGCAAGAAATCAAAACGTAACATAATAATAATTACTGTCAATAGCTACGGATTAATATTTGCTGTAAGCCATGAAGACAAAGTCATCTCACCACAAGTCCGAGAACACGTTTAAGGTAATGTGTTGCCATTGTGCTTACAGAGATCACTTCTAGGGAGACCTGAATTTAGGACTATCTTCACACTCTGCATTATAGTTAATCTCCCCAGACCTTGTGGAACCGAAAACCTCAGTATGGCAGATGAAACTCAGCACCATGTTTTGCTAATTTCTGATCTTTAGTCTGCCACTTGTGTAAACTACTTTGCAAGATTAAACTGTGGCTCCGAAACGGTATACACACACACATTTTGTGTTCATTTTTTCCATATGTTTGTGATGTTTCAGGATATCACTGTTATGTACTGTAGGCCACTAATAGAGATACATGGAATTCTTGTAAGGCTTCATGCTTTCTTAAGCTGGCCACCTTACATACACCTGGTGATACACCTTACAATTATCTGCAGATTTTCTGTGGTCAGATGGAAAAGGTGCAACAGATCCCTCCATCTACACTTAACTGTGTGGATGGAGTAAGCTCCACCTGGGCCAATCTGTTGCACTTTTTCCATCTGACCACAGAAAATCTGCAGATAAATTGTAAGGTGTATGGGCACCTTTTAGGGTCCATTCACAACACATGCGTTGGGGCTGTGCTGGCTGTTGTTTCTAGTGCAGCCCCAACGCAAGACAAGACAGTTTACTTGTCACGGATTGACAACTCTCACACCACTGCATTGCGGTGGGAACGCAATGGCGTGTGCTGAAAAAACTACAGCCTTGCACCCCGCTGTGCCCAGAGTAATTAATGAAATGCCACGTGACATTTCAATAACATTCTTAAAAAAAAAAGTGTACAGTGCGATGTGCCATGCGTTTTGCACAGCAGCTGGTGTAAAGTGGCCCTTAAAGCACATCTCTGTGCAAACCAAAAGAACTACCTTTGCAGTGGGTCTGCCTCTACACTGCAAGGATTAACTGCAGAGAGTGTACAGTGCGATGTGCCAGGCACCACACACCAGCCACTGTGCGTTTTGCACTGCAGCTGGTGTGAAGTGGCCCTTAAAACACATCTCCGTGCAAGCCAAAAAAACTACCTTGGCGGTGGGTCTGCCTCCGCACTGCAAGGGTTAACTGTTCATGAGATTATTGATGGCAATGATTGAATAGTGTAGGCATTACCAGCTGAGTAATGCATAGAAGCATTAAAAATAAATCAAAAACTCCATATTCCGATAGTTGTTTCACCATTCATACTTTTTTTTCGTCTGCAGTTCCAGACATTTTCAGAAAGACTAGCAAATGTGAACATTGATATTATACATCGCATTGACAGAACAGAGAGCTATTCAGAGGTAAGAATTTTTATTTCCGTTGTGTGTCCTCCATATTTTATTCCTCATCTGACTAAACTAAGGCCCTAATTTAAAATAATTTTGAAATCCATGTGGGTAAATGTTTTGTGTCTGTATTGAGAGAATGTAAATATTTTGTACAGTACTATAAACAAAAAATGTGGCAATCAGGACTACTTGAAGTTGTTTTGTGCCTTTTAAAAGTGGTATACTGATTAAAAAATGATTGTTGTTGTTGTTTATCACTTCAGATATAATGACAGAAACAAGAACGGCATATATTTTGACATTTAAGTCACTATACAAGGAGTAGTGATGAACCTGAACCCAGCTCGCCTGAGTCTGCTCAAGCCCGATCAGAACTGTGGCTGTCACCCTCCCCATTAGTTCCCGGCCCCACAGCTATATGTCGCAATTGGGTGGGGAATGCCCTCGCCACAACTGCCACCACTGATCGAGACCGGACAATGGGGTGGTGGTCACAGTATGGAGCAGGCTTAGGCAAACTGGGGTTTCACCAAGCCCATGCTCATCTCTAACCTGCAGCAAAAGATAGAGAATAGGGGTAAAGTAAGGACCAAATGGAAAGTCCAATTTTTCATAAGCCCCCCTGCCCCCCAACACAAATGGCTTTAAAAAGTCATTTGTAGGCAAACAGAATGCCCATACAAAAACCAAAAAAACTTACTTATTTGGACTTGGTCCCATCCCAGAAGGTATAATGACATCACTTATGCCTTCCAGAAATGTTGCAGGCTGGGGCCTGCAAGTAAATTTTTTTTTTTCTGGGCGATCTGTTTGTTTACAAATGGGTTTATAAAGCTATTTGTTTTGAGAAACAGGGGCCTTGCAAAAAACCCGGACCTTCCACACCAAGCTGATTTTTTTTTTCTAGCTTCTGTTATTAGTTTAATGTACTCCATTGCTGCCTAAAGTATCGCTAAAACTAAGTTGGTATCAAAGGGAGCAGCAATAGTGCCGGCCTGGGCAGTAATGGAGCAACTCCCCAGGATAACGATGATGAAGATATCTGAATCAAGAGGTCTACTTCTTGAAGGATGATGGGTATATCTCACTGGTTACAAAATGGTGAAGTGGGCTAGCTGAAGCTAACCATACCCGTTACAATCTGACCGTAAGATCTTTGCACAAGTAACTTTAGATTTACCAAAACTAGGTACTATAAGGACCTGCCGAAAACTATCCAATCAATCTGTATCCAACCAGACAGGCCCTTGCACTACATAATTGTTAGTAGATCTCAAGATGATTGTATAGTTGGATTGTAGTGTGCATGGTGAGCTTTAGGCAGGGTTCACACCATTTTCTGGACCAGATCTTGAACGCAGTGCATTTCAGCGTTTTTACCGTGATTTTGCTACGGATGACATTTTAAAAAAAAATTTCCCGCTTAAAATGGGCTTACAGGTGCTTTTCCAGTGTTCCATGAATTTTTGATGCATTCCAGTGCATTCCAGACCAGACAAAATGAGACATGCAGTATTTTTTTTGGTCTGGTTTGGAACGGACTGCGCTGGTGGGAACAGAGCACAGAAATAGCATAGGCATACATTGGGAGGCATTTTGGGTCTGGAAACGGTCTGGTCTGGAGGTAATCTTGATGTGGTGTGAATGGGCCCTTAGAGATAATCTATCTCTATAATAACTGTGGTGCCTATATATACTTCATCAATATTTTTTCATTGCATATCATATAGCCAGTGTGTAGTCTAGACATGCCGTGTGCATTATATTGGTACACTGCACTGTGGACTTGCAGCAGGAGCATGAAATTCGCATCTTGGTAACTTGGTCTACTTTTTTTTTTCTGGCTGGGAGGTGTGTGTATAGGTCATGTTTTCGAACTGGAGAGCTTGTGTTCCTATAGGAGATTGGTGTTGTCATGCTGTCCTGTATAGTTTCTTTTCCATTTTATGATCTAAAATTGATTGTTGTTTTAATGGACACAAATTATATTGAATTTCTTTTATACAGTTCATAAGTACATATGTTTCCAGTCATTAAAATTTGAATCTGTAAAGCAAGTTTTTAATCATGTAATGTAAGTAAAGCTGCCCATACACTAATCTATTTTTTTTCGTTCAACCCGCGGGCTGAATGGAAAAAATATACCCGATTCCTCCATCCACACTAGCAGCACAAGTCTAATGCAGCGTAAGTCTAAAGTGTTTTGTAAAAGAGCTTTATTTCATTTGCATTCACATTTTGCTTCTACTGTACTGGGTAAAGAGAACATTAAAGCAGAACTCCAGAGAAATGTATTATTAACTCTTGCACTAGGACTACCTCACCACTGCAAAGGTTAACTGCTCGTTTTGGTCTGGGGTGGAAAATAAAGTTATACTCTACTAATACTCTGAGCCAGTCAGCTGTGATAGCACTCCCTCCAACCTCTCTCCTCCTACGCTGGAGCGATTGAATATATACTGTGTATAGAACGTGATGATTTACAGGACATTAGACCACTGCAGCGGAGGGGGAGCGAGTTGGAAGGCACCAGTCTAAGAGCAAGCTGACTCAGAGGATCAAATGAGTATAATTTATTTTATTTTTCTCCCTAGACACAAACGAGCATTTAACCCTTGCAGTGCGGGGGAAGCCCCACTGGAAGGGTTAATTATTTTCCCTGGAGGTCTCCTTTAAATTACAATGTCTTTGAAAAATGCAGTTGTGTAATAACACCAAGAAACAGAATGCATCTAAACATTTTGTTTTTGATCTTTGTGTCTTGTATCTATCTGCTTGTGGTCCCCAATTTGGTTACATGAGAAACATGTGAGAGCAGAAAGCTGTTATAAATCATACTTCTGTACACCGTGCCTTAAAGGAAAGCTGTACTAAGAAAATATTTGGGCTCTGAACGTTCCTTTCAGTCATGCCAATTTCATGACTTTTGCTGGTCCAGAAGCTTCAGTGCTTTGTGTCACCTGAAATAACAATGCAACTCTACCTTCTTTACCTGCTTTCAAGTTTCTACTCAATGACTCAGGAAGTATTATGGCCAGAGGAAGCAAGGTAACAAGCATTTTCAGGAGAAGGTTGGCATTAGCAGCTTCTGGTTTTCTCCCCGTAGTTTTCTTTATTGTATTTTTAAAGCTAACATTTTCCAGCAGTGTGTACCTGATTTCTGTTATTTTGTGCTTGCATTAGGATGTGGAGACATACTTCTTTGAAGGGTTACAGAAATGGCGGGATCTGAACCTTACTGAGAATTTTGGTATGTATTTCAGTGTGACTATTTGTAAGAAAGTGCTGGATTTTTACCCATGTTTGCCTTTGCCAAATGTGAGGTGCCATATGCAGGAGAGATATCTTGCTGAGAATAGAGCAAGTGATCTTCCTATTCTAAGGTACATTGCTTCTGCAAATTTGTTTGGTACTTGACAGATGTCGGCAATGCGGTTAAATCTGTCACTTCTCTAGAAATGAAGGATGATGGATTGGCACTCACCTGCACATAGATATTCCAACAAGTAAGCAAGTCTCTGTGTATAATGTGGAACGCTTGCAACCATTGCTAAACGTATGCTGCACAGTCCTTGCAAATGATACTGGAAGAGAGCACATCGTTTGTAGAGGTGGGGATGTGTATCATCACCCTTAGCCCTCGTTCACACCTGAACGTTTTGTAGCGCGTTCTACGCTCGACGAACGCTCTACAAAACGCTCAAAAATATAAATCCCATTGTATTCAATGGTCTCGTTCCCACCTTGGCGTATTTCCGCCCGTCCCTAACGCGCTACAAAACGGCCCACGCCTGAAAAGGTACAGGTACTACTTTGGGCCGTTTTGTTGCGTGTTTCCATTGGGATACAGCCAAGTAGCCTTTGGAAACGCGCGACGGTCGCGCAACTTTTTTTTACCGCGAATTGCGGTAAAAAAACGCGCGACGGTCGCGCATATGCAATACGCCTAGGTGTGAATGAGACCTTAAGGTGCCCATACACTGTGCAAGTTTTGGGTGGGTTTTGAGGAAATTCGCACAGTGTGTGCCTCTGTCTGCATCCCGTGATCAGCTGATCGAAGGTGCCAGTCAGAAATTCTTCGTTTGATCAGCCATTACGCTGCCCGTTCTGGTCAGGTATTGTGACAGTGGCCGGCTTGCACCTGTCAGAATGCAATGTAAACAAAGGGATTCCTTGATGGACACGCTGTTCGTGTTGATGGGGGAATCAGGTCTATTTTTTTTTGTGTTCAGCCCGCGGGTTAAAGAAAAAAAATAGATTAGTGTATGGCCAGCTTTACACACTTAAAGTTCTGAGGGATCTTTTAGAGTGCTTGGAGGAGGTTCTACCGCATTTCCAGTCTTTCCCAACAGAAAAACAGATACTTTCCTCTCTTAAATAATCTAATTTGCTGTTCCTTCAAAGGCCGTATTATAATTATAGAGGTTGCAGACAACCAAACTATCAAGGTTGCTTGTAGAGGTGATGTAGGACATAAAAAAAAGTACTTAAAGCATCATCTTTCACATAAAACTAAGTAACAACTTAGCTGTATGGTAGTCTCCACACACCTATTGCAAATCTGTAGGTGAAATGAACCCTGTTAAACAAATAAGGGCCATACTTTAGATCAGGGGTAGGCAAACTCCGGCCCTCCAACTGTGGTGCAACTACAAATCTCATTAGGCATTGCAAGACATTGACAGCTGGAGGGCCAGAGTTTGCCCACCCTAGCTTCTAGCCCATTCTCTCCGGTAACGCCACTGAGCCTGGTCGATCAGCCTTAGCTAAAATACATATGGCAACTGTTGTACCTACCAAAGGATTTGTAACGCTGTGTTGCTGGTTTTGTGATGCTCTGCCAGAAAGCATAGCGAGGACTTAGTGCTGCTATGGAAGGTTTTATAGGACGCTGGTATCAAGAGAGAGATAGGTATGCATTTTCTTTGTAGTAATACAATTTATAATGTACTGCATTAAACAGCAGGGTCTTTTAAAATCTGGCTGGAGTTTTGATTTAATCCTTTTCCTGAGTCTATGCCTCTTTGACTAGGTTGACTAACATAAAGTATAGATGAATAAACATGTGATGATTAGAATGCCTTTTTTGTGTGAGGTTAGCGTTACTCATATGCTATATTCATTGACGTGTTTATAGTTTTGTAATCTTCGTATTGATAATCAGTGGTAGCTATGTTAAATCAGATGAGAAATGGAACCATGACCTGAGTCTTTGAGCTGTGTACAGTGCTGGAAATGGGATGTTAAGGAAGTATGGCTTATTACTTCTGTGTAATTACCCTAACGAAACCTGTATGAGTTTTTTATGAGCTGTTAGTGACTCAACTGGTGGTTGTTATGCATCTTTTAACACCCATTTGTGTCAACATTTTGGCCTTTTGTGCTGTTCTATGGGAAGCATTTGAAATTTGTTGAGAACGCTGTGCAAAGAAAGAATACTCGTTAATATCCCATGTACATATTTTATAGACATGGTTTGGGAAGCAGAAAAAAACCCAAACAAATGTAGCACACAGGACAAGATGACGTTCTCTTGTGCTTATGACTTAACACAGAACTGTGGGCTTCATTTTTATTAACCCTTGCAGTGCGGATACCCTGGCACTGCAAAGGTGAACTGCTCGTTTTCGTCCAGGGACACCCTGGCACTGCAAGGGTTAACCACTCGTTTTCGTCTAGAGACTAAAATAAAAAAAGTTATACTCACCCGATTCTTTGAGCTGGCTGGCTTGCTTTTAGACTGGACCTTCCAGCAACGCTCCGCTGCAGTGGTCCAAGGATCCTTGGGTCATCACATCCAATACACTGTAGACATGAGGACGCCGAGGGACATAACTATCGCTGCAGCGTAGAAGAGGCTGGAGGGAACACTATGACTGCCAGCTGGCTCCAATGTTCCGGTGAGTATAACTTTTTTTAGTCCCTAGAAAAAAATTAGCAGGTAAATCTTGCAGTGACATTTGGTACAGAACTACAAGTATAGGGCTGTTGTTTAGGAGTCATCCGCTACTAGCAATTAAAGAACACAAAGTGAAAGTTAATCACATAAGAAGTTTTTTTAGTTAACAACACAGTGTCAGAATCATGTGCTACCGTATCTGTTCTTATGCAGAAGGTTTGCTTTTTAGTTTTAAAATGGAGTACATGCTTGTCTTGTATCACAATATACCTAAAGCTGACCATACACTACTTTAATGACATCCTGATTCCTACTGAATTGGCCACAAATCGAGCCGTGGGTGGCTTTTTTGCACATAGTGATGTGAGAAATCAAAATCTGGGCAAAACGTTTATCAACCCTTGCAGCGATGCTTTACTCCACCTTCACTACACATTTTCATATGTTATATAGATGCCACACAAACCAGTTTGTAATTTGATCTATTAAGTCAAATTCAGGTACTTACACTAATTACATATAAAAGTGCACCTAATTCTTTTGTTAATATATAACTGCAGTAATTGGTGTTTTTGTTTTTTTTAAAAAGAAGAACTCTTGGCAAAACCTTTATAACCCTCGCAGTGTGGCTACCCCCGCACTGCAAGGGTTAATTGCTTGTTTTTATCTAGGTGCAACTGCTCCAGATTTTGTCTGCTCCAGTAGTGATAAATACCCCGTGTATTGAAAGTGATGATTTACTGGAACTTAGACTGTTGCAGAAGATGGGGGAGAGAGGCTGGAAGGACCAGTCTTAAGAGCAAGCCGAGAGAGAGAATATATTTCTTTTTCTTAGCGCCACGGCTAAAGGGTTAATAAAAGTTTTGCCTGGAGTGCTTCTTTAAATCTACTTAAAGTTCAGCTTTAAAGTAACCAGGTCATCAGAGGGCCAAGTAGGTTACCTGTAAAAGAATCGTAAATATACTTATCTTTTGAGCACGGAAATGCACATGTATCCTGTTTTTGAAGGTGTAAATTCCTCTGGGGGGGAATTTATCAAAACTCGAGCAGAAAGAATCTGGAGCAGTTGCCCATGGCAACCAATCAGCTTCTCTCTTCAGTTTGTTCAGTTAAGCTTTGAAAATAAGCAAGAAGCTGATTGGTTGCCATGCACAGCTGCTCCGAATTTTGTCTGCTCCAGTTATGGTAAATTTTCCTCAGTGTGTCCCTGCTGGCATCTAGGCACGTTTCTACGAACTCCCCAAGATTTTGTTTGCTTGTATTCTCGGTCATTAGGATGTAATACTGTGCTAAACTCTCGAACGATTAAGTGTGGAATGTGAATAAATCCATAACAGTATTTAGTAGCGTACAGAGGTTCCTGGATCAGTAAGGTTATCTGTTAGTAATCAAATGGCACAGACAATGACTGTTTGTTTGTTTTTCAGGAACATTCTACCGAGAAGTATCCAGTAAATGCCAGTCATTCCATCTGCTGGTTTACCATCAGAATGCCATAGTCCAAAGTCTGAAGAACCACTTACAAGTGAAGAACAGCCTTGCCTACCAGCCACTGCTTGAGTATGTGTACAATTCTTGTTGTAATATAGTCACTTCTTCACTCTAGTTCAATTTGTGTATCTAATCATCAAATGGTCTTTCTTTTTATTCATGTAGACAACATAAGTTTCTTTTTAGACTACAGTTGTGTGGGTAATATGTATTTTTTCTAGCTGTGTGCATGGGATGCATGAGCATGTTTATTATGTGTTAAGTTAAAACATTTTCTTATAGTTTTAGATCGTGTGGGGAAGGGTTAGAACAGATTTTCTTTGGTAGAGTAGGCTAAGGCTAGAACACCTGTCAGATTTTAATTCTATCTTCTGTTGCAGATGTTTCCTCACTTCCTGTTTTGTGGAACTGTTGTCAGCAGAAAAGAAAGTGAGGCTAAATCTTTCTTAAGCTGGCCATACACCTATAGATTATCTGCAGATTTTCTATGGTCAAATGGAAAAAGTGCAACAGATTCCTCTATCTATGCTGAACTGTGTGGATGGTGGAATCTCCCACTTATACCGGAATCTCCCACTCTTAATATACCGGAACAATGCCTGCATCCAATCAGATTGTTCAGGTATTTTGAGAGCCAGCGGGGCCAACTAGCAAGATACTAAAGCTTGGCCCAGTGGGAGATTCCTCCATCCACACAGTTTAGTGTAATGGAGGAATCTGTTGCACTTTTTACATCTAACCATAGAAAATCTGCAGATAATCTACAGGTGTATGGCCAGCTTTATAGAGCTCTGGATAGCAGAAACAAATAGAAAGGAGTTCCATTCCTTCCCCACTCTATCCAAAGCTAAAGAAATACACAGACAAACCCTTGTGGTAATACTCCTGTAATTGACATTATTTATTGTACGGGTACTGTATGTCTTAACTGGGTAATAAGATGTACTGAGTCTTAGGTATAATGCAATGTACAGAACAGAAAATCTATTTTTTTTTTCTGTATATACAACATGTTTTTTCATTATGGTATAGTTATGCTTGTGTTTTATCCCATACAGTTTGGTGGTCCAGCTGGCCCGAGATCTTCAGGCTGACTTTTATCCACACTTTCAAGACTTTTTCAAAGCTATCTCTTCTTTGCTGGACACAAAGGACACTCAGTTGATAGAATGGGTATTTACATCCTTGTCTTACCTGTACAAGTACCTTTGGAGGATGATGGTGAAGGACATGCCTACAATATACAGGTGCCCAGAAAAACAGCTTTTTATGTTTTCTACCTTTTCGGATTCTGTTATTACACTTTGATAGATAACACTAGAAAATGTGTGCCAGTTCCAGAAAGGAAAATGTTGGAAATATAGCAAGCAATGCTACAGAAGGGTCTTAGGTAGCAATACATGCTTCAGAATAATGTGAGTGAAAAGACATCAGGCAGTAGGTGTAGGAGAGGAGTGCAGTATATGCAGAAGAGAAGTACAGAAGTATATGGAGAAGAGAAGTATAGAGGGTGTGACAGTGGGCACTATGCGCAGGAGGGTATGACAGTGTACAGGATGTGCAGTAGAAGAGTTTGGGGTGGTATGACAGGGGCAGTATGTGCAGGAGAGGTGAGTGGAGGATATGTCGTACCCCCCCGCCGCCGTATGTGGAGGAGAGTATATGTCATGGGGAGGTCCAATCTGACCACCCGTGTGAAAGGGGACTTAGGCATTATATTATTACAAGAGAACTATGGGGTAACCTTTTTATCCCATAGTTCTCTTTAGGGTCACAGGAGGACATATACTAACCTCCTCCCGTGACCCAAAGCTCAGTATATAGCGCGCTAATGCCCGCTATATACTGAGAGTACTGCAGCCGGGACGGATCCCGACAATACTCTCGAGATCCGCCCAGGTGGCTGTCTGCCCGCCCCCTCTCCCCTGTCCATTCTTCCAGTCAGCGTTGGAGGGTCAGAGAGGGAAATCCATGCGGGGAGTGGTGACTAATAGTCACCACTCTCTGTAGGGAGGTGACTGGGAAGTGAGCGAGCGACGGTATGTGTTCACTCACTTCCCTATCCATAGAGCTGACTTGTGACAGTTGCATTGTCACACGTCGGCTCTAACTATGAGGATGAGTGTAAATAACTCACCTCATAGTTCTCCTTTTAAGGATACTAAAATGTCTAGAATGCTTTAAAGGTCACTGATATTTTTATTTCTACGTGTACAGGATTGTGTATATTCTAATAGTGTTTCCGTGTAGAAAGTGAGCATCCTCAATGTTTTTTTTTTTTTTCTTCTGATAACTCAGTTTGTACAGCACTCTGCTTGCCCATCACAAAGCACATATCCGAAATTTTGCTGCAGAGAGTTTTGCATTCTTAATGAGGAAGGTAAGTCGCCTGTGACCAGTACACACCCAAACAAAGTAGTGTTGTTTTGTCACATTATAATATTCTGTGATAGGGCTATTACCAAGCAAATGCAAAACGTGTAGTAGAAAAAAGGTAAACAAATTCAACTCGCACAGTTTTAGAAGTTTTGTAGGCTGATCATTCACTGGCCAGTTTCACAGGAAATGAAGAATTGTTAAACCAAACTGTGATCATTGTAGATACAAAAATTATTGCAATCAAGTGATGGCACTGGGACAGGCAGGGCCGGATTCCCGGCAAGGCCACCGAGGCCCGGCCTTGGGGGGGCACTGAGCAGAGGGGCGGCACGGGTTTGAATTACCCGACAACCGGAACATGGAGTTCCGGGCGGTAATTTACTTTCTACATATAGCCCTGCTTTGCACAAGCAGGACTAAATGTAGAATAGGAGAAATACATTATAAAAAAATAAAAAAAGTAAAGATGACAAGATAAATAAAAATGTAAAAAGTGATAAAAAAGTAGAGAAAAAAAACCATTAAAAAATTCAAACCAACCCTGCCACCCCTGCTATCTGGTTGGCATTCTCCTTGGCAGGGGGAGCACTGCCGAACCCGGCCTTGGGGCGGCAGGGAGGGTAAATCCGGTCCTGGGGACAAATAGTTATTCAAAGCTAGAAGTAGTTAGCCACATTCAACTGGATTTGTTCTGTAATGTTGAAGACATTGAAGCTTATCCAAGCCACTCACTTTCTCAGTTCTAATGAGCAATAGAAACTCACTCTGGTATTTACATCCACACACACCCCTCAGTCCAATCTCCGATATTTATTATCTAAGTACGGGATGGGACATGTTAAAGTTGTGGAACCACCCTGTTATAGTTGCATAATCCCATCTTTGGTGTCAAGAAAGCTTCATAGGTTTTAATCCCTCGTTTTCATTGCTGGAGGTGTAAATTGTTAAAAGAGTATTATATGTGCAAGAGAGATGGTGTTGAAGGCGCACACCTCTGTGCAAGGGTGGTGGTTCTAGTTTGATGTAGATCATCTTTCACACCTTTTGTGAACCAGTTCCTCTCACTGTCCAAAATATGCACCTCACTGTCTACGAAAGGATGTCCAAGTGACATTAAACTGAGGAGATAAATCTTAAAAATGCATTCAAGTACCTTAACTAATACAGCCTATTTGTGTATTTTTGGCTATAGATCCTCAAATCATCCCTGAATGCATGCTGGCACTGTCCTTCATTTTTGAGGGTGGCTACATTTGTTCCTCATGTTCCCTGTGTGTGTTGAAAAGTAGCCACTGCTCCAAAGCTCGCTCCTGGAATTCAGAGATGATTTGAGGATCTACAGCTGAGTGATACACAAATAAGGTACATTTTTGTTAATAGGTAAGATGCTTGAATGCATTATTAAGATTTACCTCCTCAGTTTACTGTCACTTAATGATGTAGGAAAAATACTGAGTTTTGACTGGTAGAATTTGCTCTCCGATGTTGGTCCATTCGTTTAGTCTCCCCAATGTACAGGTCTTTGCATTCCTGACTACACTGCACTGCATATACCAATATTTGCTGACACTCATCAGGCCTGAAGACGTGGTTTGGATAAGCTGCGGAGCACCTTAAACAATACAGGGCTGCGCATGACTACTATTGGCTATACCATGACCTGGATAAATGAGAACATTCACAGACACATCTGTCAAAGGTTTTTCTGGCTTTTGGGTAAATCATTCTTCCCAGATGAAGAAACACTCACCCGATCACCCGTTCCTCGATCCTGCAGCAGTAACCGCTCCACTCTCCCCACCTCTGGCTGTAGAATGTCCCTCTGCGTCTTCACATCTAATAGACCTGTATAGACATGATGACGTCACAGGTCCTTAGACTGCTGGAGCCCGGGGGAGAAGAGGCTACAGAGACCGGCCTAGCAGCCAGGTGGGACAGAGAATGGGGTGAGTATATCTTTTTTATTTTAGACCCTAGATCCGAATGAGCACCTAACCCTTGCAGTGTGGGGGTAGTCTTACTGCAAGGGCTAATTTTTCATATGCTCAGTTTTTTTGCAAATCAACATCATGCAAATCACATAAGGCAATTGAATTTATGTCACAATTTTTTTTTTTTACTTTTGATGTTTTAGCTATAGACTGATTGTTAGATCTTTGTTAAAATCTTCTGAAAAAAGAGAGTATAGATGTCCAGTCATAAGAAGATCTCAGGACTTGAAATTCTCATAGTAAATCTTTAGAGTATGAATATTGTGCATCCATTGAATCCAATCTTTACTTGCAGAGTTGCCACTGAGAGTCTTAATCATCCATCACTTCCTGAGGTTGTCAGATTCCTGTATCTCCTTACTGCTCACTATGCCCCCCCCCTTTCATCCCAGCTACTACAGTATTACTTTGTCCCCTTACATCTGTAGGGGCATACTAGTAATGTTACAGGCAGTAGGGAGACACGGGCAGCTGACACCCCCAGTAGTGTTGGATGCCTAAAACTCGATGCACGCCTCTGGCTCTCCACAACAATGGTAAGTATTGTAAAGGATTTTTGCAGTTCTCTGTTTATATAAACTTTTTTTAATGACACCATGGTGCCTTTTAAATATGTATGTGCCCTTGTTTGATTTTACAACCAGGTATACGTAAATTATGCTTTCTTTTATAAGTAAAAACAAAATTCTTATCTTGTGGTTTTTTCCTTTTGCCAGCCCAAATTTTCAAAATGATTTGTTATTTTTGTTTTAGGTACCTGATTTTAATGGACTGTTAAACCTCATGTTTCGGGACCTTAATGAACATCCCCAGAAGGTGGAAGGCTTAGGGCAGCTACTGTTTGAAATGTGCAGGGGGGTCAGACACATGTTTCACTCTTGTGCCACAAAGGTAATTAACTATGTATTATTAGATGTGTAAAAGATAGCAGAATGGTGACTACTTTTTCAACAGCAGCCCTTCAAGATAGAATAATTAAAACACAGAATAATCTGTGCGTTCCCACAAAGTTAAGAAACAAATTTTTTGTGTAATTACGGGGCATCCTCGGGCTTCCTCTGCACTGCTTACCCGAACTTCCAGGTGGGGAAGAATGCACTCATGATGTCACTTTGGATTACATGTCCTATCAATCATTGTGCCTTATTTATAAAATTTCTAGATATGGTAACTCTGCCTGTGTCAACACATGCATGCAACACTACACCCACGAGAAGCACCCTCGCACCTCCTCCATGGATAGTGATTGACAGCTGCCCCCGAGGCAGCACCTCCATAGCTGCTGTTAATAATTTCCTTTGGAAGAGTGTCTTGTATTTTATCCTCTCTGGTTGCCTGTGCACGTTGGTGCAGGCAGCTTCATGACATCCCCCTGTAGTTCGATGGAGGGAACGTGCATGAAAACAGGGCTCCGTGGGACCCTGCATGTGGAAGGAGCCACCCTAAAAGATAAAATATAGACTAGCGCCAAAGGGACCAGCAGAATAGGGAGGTGAAGGATTTGCTTACGTCAATAGGAAGCTGAATACATTGTACATTTTTACATCAGCAGTAAGAATTGCAGGATTAATGTCACTTCAACCAGTGTGATTTATGTTGGCAACAACCATGTAACAATCTTACAGTGAAATGGCCACAAGAATTGATTTCCTGTTGTAAAAAGCACGTAAATGTTACAAACCCAGAGATCTACAAAGATGTTTTTTTTTTTTTTTTAATTGCTCAAATTCCTGTATATGCTTGCTAGTGGTCTTCAGAAGTTAGTTCCTCGTTATAGCATCCAGTCATGTCACAATCATTTCTTGCACTATAAATTGGATACCATGATAGTTTTAGGAAAAAATACACTAAGAATAATGTTACTGCGCACAAAAACAATATAATACCCATTTTTTTTTTGTAAAATAGAAAAGATGGTGTTGCCTTGGGTAAATGAATACCGTACATGTCAACTGATCATCATTTAACAGTTAACAATTATGGCCCTAGAATTATTGCCCTCGCTCAGTTTGCGGCAATATGTACCGTGTGCTGCAATTGTTTTTCATGCACGTGGGAGCAGAAGGCTGTAATTTGTTTATCTGATCTTGTAAGTAATACAAGACCATGTTATTTTTTGCTTAATAATGCTCAAATTATCTTTCTTAGGGGCATGTTTTCTCTCATTGCACTGTACACATGTTGTACACTCATTGTATGAACTTCCTGTGGATGTGTGCACCCTTCTGCAACAGCAGTTTTATTGCGTTGACTACAGCAAAATGTGCCAGAGCACCGTGCATGGGAACAGCTGTTTAGTAGTCCAAATCGAAAGCACACACGAAAGGGTGACCACACTGCTTCTTAACTGAGTAAACATTGTAACCTTAAGATGGGAAGTGTCTGTGGGTACTATTTGCTGGCATCTTTTATTTAAAATCATGACAGGTCAGAACCTGCCGCCCGGCTTCCTGATTGATCAGGAAGCCAGGCTGCCTAGCAGTGTCGCTAGGCAGCATGAAGCCAGCTTCCTAGCCAATCAAGAAGCTAGGAGGCGTGTCATGACTTGCCGCCCAGCTTCATGATTGGTCAGGAAGCCCGGCTGCCTCGCAGTGTTGCTAGGCAGTGTGAAGCCGACTTTCTAGCCAATCAGGAAGCCAGGTGCCAGGTCAATGACCCACCACCCTGCTTACTGTTTGGCTGGGAAGCCGGCTTCAAGCTCCCCTTTCGCAGCTCAGCCGGTCAGAGGGAATCTCCCTCTGGCCAGAAGTTCTATTATCGTGGTAAGTAACGGAGCATTTGGCCAAGTACAAGTACTCACCCAAATGCACAGTATCGGCACCGATACCAGTATCAGTGCATCCCTACCTCTTAATTTATTTGTAAATGTTACATACTTATTTTTATATGGTATAAATATTGTCTATGTTTGGCAGGCATTGCGCATGGTTCTACAGAAGATTGGACCAGTGACAGAAATTGAAGAACAGTTGCCTTGGACTTTAGTAGGCGAGGCGCTGAAACATTTTGTGGCGTCAGCTACTTCTTCCATTAACATAGAACACTTGCAACCACTTTTTACTAATATTCAGGTATGGTTGTATATGTCAAGATGACAATCTTTCTTCTGATTTTTGCTGTATAGCATAATAGGCCCACTCAGAGAATCCTTTCAATCATTTATTATGCAATTATTCAATGTAAATCATACCTAAAATAGAAGAAGCTGTGCATATAAATTTCAGTTTGTTGAAATGTTACCTTTTCGCTGTTCCCGGAACCATTGCAAGTATTCCACATCTCTGGGTATGTGGACTATCTGCTTCTCCACTGCACACTATGGAAGGAGGACGTGCAAACTGGTGGGAGAAAACACTGCATGCTCTGTGGGTAAAGTACCGATATTTGCAGTGGCCAGGGAGCAGTGAAGTAGCAGCGTTTCAACAGATGGATCCTTGAAAAAGTAAGTAGGTTGCCTTTTCTATTACAGATATGTTTTAACATACTCACAGTTACTTTAAAGACGTCACGTCACTAACATCCTACTCTCCTCACATCCACTATGTTATAAAAAAAAACCCCTAAGTTTGCACTGTGGTCATGTAGAGTTGTGTGTAAACAAAACCTTATCCCCTACTGCACACCTTTCAGAGAAATGCAGGATTTTGTGAGCAAGGGAGAGAAGGAGATGACTGCAACATAGTGCAGTGTAAATAGAGTTCAGTTAACATTTCTTACACCTAGTTTGCCCTTTTGTATAATAGTCATGGTTATCACACCTTTTTATATGTTTGAACATACACATATTGAAACACATCAGAGTGGTTATTATTTTGGATGGGTACATTGCAGCTACATTTCTGGAGTTTATACGTTGTCAAAAAATACGGGGAACAAAGGGAGCTACGCAAAATACAGTAAAAGTAAACACCAAACTCCAGGGTTTCAATAAAACTATGTTACACTAGAAAATCCCCTATGCACAGAAAAAACGGCGCACAGTGCAGAGGGTAAACATGACTGCCAGGAAACTAGCATTTGCAGAATGTGAAGTAAGATTGGCAGCATCCATGTCTCTTTCAGAAAAGATTTCCTTTAAGTGGTTGGAGGTAGATAAGAGACATGCTTGTGGTCCTTAGAAAGTCCTAGTTCAGTTAGAAAGTAACTGGGCTTGGTTAACATAAGTCTGGGCATATGAAATATCTTTAAATAAGCTAAAGGAAATCTTTGAAATTATGCTTGATGATAAACTGTGTGCTTTTGGATCTCTGGAGGCAACGCAGTACAATAGGCCTATACATTTTTCACTTGTTAGAACAGAAAGGAAATTGATTGATGGGAATGGAATCGGTTCAGTTTGAACCGTGAAATGACAAGTTGTCTGAGAGATCTTAAGTGAGTTTATTTTTGTATAAAATCTATTAGCTCTAATAATTAGAAAAATATATTTGAATGGGGATTGTTAGTGGCTTAGTCATGGAGAGGGCTCTTGTGTGGCTTGGCTGTACCGTATATACTCGAGTATAAGCCGAGATTTTCAGCCCATTTTTTTGGGTGAAAAGTGCCCCCCTCGGCTTATACTCGAGTCAACGCCAGCGCGTCATCTTACTTACCTCGCCGAGCGTCGCGTCACTGCTGCTCCGGTGTGCGGCGCTCCGAGCGGGGTCATCTGGCAGTCTCCGGCCACCTAAATTAGGACCCGGAGACTGCCAGATGACCCCGCTCGGAGCGCCGCACACCGCAGCAGCAGCGACGCTCGGCGAGGTAAGTAAGAAGAAGAAAAAACCCCCCGCAGCGGCCAGTCAGGCAGGGGAGCAGGGATGAGTCAGCGGCGCGCTGATCAGGCGAGAGGAGCTCCAGGTGGGGTTGTAATTTAGCGGGCAGGCACCTCTGAGCCAGCTAAATTAGGACCCCACCTGGAGCTCCTCCCACTGGACCAGCGCGCCGCTGACTCGTCCCTGCTCTCTCCGTGATGTGATGATCCGATCACCGGCACACAGTGAGTGAGGGGAGGGGGGGGGGGGGGTAGAGAGAGAGATTAATTAAGCAATTATATATGTATTGTCTGCACTGTATTAGCAGTATATACTCTATATAGAGTATATACTGCTAATACAGTGCAGACAATACATTTACAATTATACTAACATGAATGTATTAAATGATCTGTATGTAGCCCTGTACTATGGATCATTTAACCCATTCATGTTAGCAGAGGATCATTGTAAATGTATTGTTGCAGGCACTCTATATGTACATGTACTATATACTACATATAGAGTGCACTGAACAATAGATTTACAATTATCCTCTGCTAATATGAATGGGTTAAATGATCCGTAGTACATGATATGTAGCCCTGTACCCCCTTTTCCACTTACAGAGCTAGGTTATTTTTCTTTTAAATAAATATTAATGTAATTTTATTGGTATCTATCTACCAGTAGCTGCCTCATTTCCCACCCTCGGCTTATATTCGGGTCAATACCTTTTCCCAGTTTTTTTTGGTAAAATTAGGTACCTCGGCTTATATTCGGGACGGCTTATACTCGAGTATATACGGTAATAATGTATTGAATAGTGGAATGTGTGTAAGTATACTTATTTAAATATTTGATAAAAAATTAGAAACATGTTTATCTTGATTTTGTTTTTAACTTTTAAGGAATCTCTACTCGAGCTTTCATCCAAAATGGGTGCTAATCACAGTGCACAGTGCTCAGATCAGATAGAACGATTACTAGAGGCTTATTCTATCCTTGTGGAGTATGGTCAAGGGTCAAAGATTCCTCAGCCAGAACAGGTGTCTAAGGTAAATGCCTTTGTCCCATTCTAACAATCAGCCTACTTCTCAGAATGTCACAAAATTGCCTTCAATCCCTTCTTTGTTTTCTTGCAGACGTTGACAAAATTGTTACAAGTTCCCAACACTTCATCATCTTGTTGTTATAGACTTCTCAGTATCATCTCTACACTTCTTCTCAGTGAGAGCGTCTCTTTGCCAGTGTCTGAGATTAAAAACACAGTAAATAAGGTAATTTATATTCTGCATTCCAGATGCGTTTAACTTCTATGGAACACATGAGAAATAATGAATAAATTAAAGTTGAAGAAAAAAGCCAAAACTTGTGTCTGAGGAGTGTGTGGAGGTTAAGCATGTATCAGACTACTGTAAAGGTTTAATTACCTTAATGCCAAAGCATACCTGAATGTTGTTGCTGACCATGTGCACTTGTTTATAGGAACCAAATAGGTGGACAAGTATGAATATATATTGATCATGCCATTGAGGACTTGGTAAAAGAAAATAGTTCATTCTTGCTTGCCTAATAGAGCTAATATTAAGCTGACACTATCACAAGGGAGCTGCCATTGCTGTCCTGAAGGAAATGCTAATGGCTGTGTCTGACACAGAAAAAGTTAAAGCAGCTCTCTATTCATTTATTCATCATTAATTGTATTGTTTAATGAAAGCAGTGCAAGTACCTGAATTCGACTCGGTATAAACCTCCTACAGTGTCTGTATAGAAGAGCACAAACTATAGGAGGGAGAAGCAGCACAAGGAGCAAAGTAGTTGTACTGCATGCTGATAGGAGGAGAGAGCAGAGTGACAGATGGGCCCATCAGTCTGTTTGCTTCTTCTTTTACAGTCTAGTCACAGGTTGTGGGTGGGAAGGAGAGCTTTAGGCCCCATTCACACGGAAATCGGCCGGCACTTACAGCTCCGTGCTGCGTGCACGGCCGTATCGCTCAGCTCCCGGGAAGGGCCGGTGCTGCGTGTGATTAGTACGCAGCATCTGCCCTTCTCTATAGGACTACGCGGCCGTACACTGCCCTACGCTCGCCCGCCCTGCACGTCAGTGCGGGATGAGCGTACTCGCACATTGACAGGATGGATCCTGTCTGCGTCTGAGCCAGGAAACACGCACACACACCAACCTGCACATGAGGTGAGCGTAGGGGGCCGCATGGCTGCGTAGTCCCATAGAGAAGGACGGGGGCTGCGTACTAATCACACGCAGCACCTGTCCTTCCCGGGAGCTGAGCGATGCGGCCCAGCACGGAGCTGTACATGCCGGCTAATTCCTGTGTGAATGAGGCCTTAAGTGTTACTGAATTGAAAATCTCAGGACAAATTATTTGGCGGGTAACAGTTCTCATACATGTATTTTATCTATATTTAGCTATTGGCCTGTAGTTCAATGTTAAAGTATAGTTCCACTTTTTTATAGAGTCAGAAACCCCTCTATATGTTTGTGTTCTTATTCACACAGCATGACAAAAAATTATTTTTAAAAATATATTTCTTACCTTTGAGCTGTTTCTTTGGTGAAGGCCTTTGTGCAGATTCCAAGCTACTCTGAGCAGTTTGAAGATGAGACTAGATGATCTGACTGAACATCTTCTCATTAACATACAATGCTTCTATGTCTTTAACCAGTTGACATCCGCAGTGTTAAACCCCCTTCCCATCCAGGCCATTTTTCAGTATTCAGCGCTGCGGTACTTTGACTGACATTTATTAACTGCTTGTTTGTGTCTAGGTTAAAAAAAAAAAACACAAAGTATTAGTCACCCAAAGCTCCGAGCTGGCTTCTTTTTAGACAGTTCCCTGGAATGTCTTTCCCTCTCCTCTGCAGCGGTCTAAGGGTCCAGTAAAAAACGCTGTGCATAGATGTCAGGGCGCTGAGGAACATACCAATCTGCTACGGAGAAGGAGCGCTGAGACATCTGGCCGACTCGGGACCTTGGGTGAGTTAGAGATGCATCGATACCGAGCATTTAGGCAAGTACTCGTCCAAATGCTCCGATACCTTTCCCGATACAGGAAGCCGACTCCATGCCAGTGGAAGCACCAGTATCGCTACTCGGTATCGGCGAGTACCAAAAGCAAGATATCTGTACTCAATACAGAAAAAAACTGTATAGGTGCATCCCTAGGGTGAGTATATCTTTGTTATTTTAGCCCCATAGATGCAAATAAGCACTTAACCCTTGCAGTGCGGAGGTAGCCCCACTGCAAGGGTTAATAAAAAACAAATTCCTGGAGTTCTGCTTTACCATTTAGGCTGGAAGAATGGAACTGAAGGGTTGACCTGATTTTGAACACAGTGATACCTGTTAAGGTCATATACATGTTACACAAATATGTATTTTATATTTTGAAGGTTTTTGACAGTGGATTTTCAAGAAGATTGCTTATGGACTTCTCAGAAAGGCTGTTCAAAATGAACCAGTTTGAGCAGGCAAGTATCGAATAGCTTTAGAAAATATGTATTATCACTCTGCAGCTCCTTTTTTTAATTAATTATCTAGGACTAATTTTGATGAATCACAGCTCTGCTTGTATTAGCTATGTATGTATGCTACATGTTTGCTTGTTCTGCTTATAACTTCTCCAGTAACTGTTCTGATTCATGTTTGTAAAAAGATCATCTGCTTTGTTATGGAAGAAAGAAAATTAACTTTAATTTTATCACTATGATACAAAGTCTCTGTGAATGATGTTACCAGCTATTGAAAAGTGAACAGTCCAAAAATCAGCTCTGCTGGCAGTTTACCTGATTCACCCTCTTCAGTCCGGTTTGCATCCCCACTGAGAAAGGGATCCATTGAAGTTAAATGATATATTAATTTAAACAATGGCTGAAATTGTACCTTGTTAGAAAAAAGTTAAAAACTCTAGTATGGTCTTGTCCCTTGCCTAGTCTTATTATTTAACAAATGTTGGAGTTGCTGAGATCCAGCTTGTCTTCATTGAGAGGCTTAGGCACAGAATGAATACATGCATGTGCAATGGCCATTGTTAGTGATTCCGACTGTTTTTCTGTTTAATATTTGATATAACATGTTTAATTTTTTTAATTTTGTTTGTTTTTCAGCATTTTCTTCCAAGCTTCCTGAAGTATATTCTTCCGTTTTTCACCGATGAGAACCCCACTGCTAGGAGTGAGGCCTTGGCAATTTTAACAAATCTAATTTTGGAAAAAGCTGAACCCCCAACAGTTGGTTCTATGGCATTTGAAAAATATCCCCTTGTTTTTTCGGAAAAATCTAACTGGTAATTTTACTTGTTGAAATTGCTCACACTATAATGTAGTCTTCGGTGTTCCAGGGATAACTATTTTCTTGATCGTCCAGTGAGGAACACAGGAGGTCATAGAATTAATAGACTGTCCAACAGTCTAAGAATTCTTGTGTCCCCAGTGGACTCCAAAAAAAGGATTTTACTGTGCGATAGGAGTTCAGAAATCCTAATACTTCATACAACATAGTTATTCATTTTTTTTTAATTATGATAAATTGTGGTAACCTTAAAATACAAAACATGAATACAAAGCAACTCCAACAGGTATTTAAAAAAAAAGAATGTATATACTTGAAATACAGTATTTCATAGTGCCCACATGTTCCTGTTATGTGGGAGTCTTTTTAGCCCTGGTTAGTGTAATTTGGGACTCGTTGATAATACAAGTAGTACTTTATAATACATTTCTCATATGGCAGTAATTGCAAGAAAATGCACCCGTATGAATAATTAGGGCTATATCGTAAACACAGTGGCTACCACCGATCTCTTGACATGAACTTGGTTATGATGTTTGATAGTGTTAAGTGTTCTCATATGCCATGCTTTGGTTTTCTTTATTAGTTCAAAGTTGATAAGTGGCCAGAGTGAAGGATATGCAGCGCTGGATTACATGCTGTCTTTGGTTCATCTGTCACCTGATCTGGATGCCTATGAAATATCACACTGCTGGGCTGCACTTACTGTTCTGCCTCATTTGAGGTAAGTGTGCATATAGATTATAAGCAGTAATTAGGAAAATACTGAATTCTTTAGCACTGCTAAGTTATTGTTAAGAAGGTTGTAATAAAGCAATACATATTCTGATCCTTGTGAGCTGTGTGTCCGATACAAATTTTGGGTGAGGATATGTAGGGCTTTCCTGCAGAGAAAACATAATGGAAACTTTCAGCCATTGGAAGTACTTGTTATAGCATCCAGAAATTGTGGCAAAAGGTAGAAGCATGTGCTGCTAACACCTGACCGATATGATCAAAGATGGCTCATTTTTTGTTTTAGCTATTGTTGGTGATTCCATAGATGGGCATAGGAATGAAAGGGCGGCTCTATGTTGTGAAGACATTTTGCAACAGCTAGGACGAGCTCATTATCACTGTCTAATTAACCCCTACCTGGCCTGATAGTTGCAAAGAATGTTCATACCTGTTGCATCACTTGCCTTTATCAGGCTGTGACCACCCGTGGCAAACCTGTGCACATTACATGTTGATTAGATGGTCTTTGGACAAACAGACCAGATGTCGGGAGTAAATATTGGACTGTTTTCTTAAATAATAGCCTGCTCCTCCCACCTTTCCTAAGATACGAATGGGATCCACTTTATCTGCTGTTAATTAAGACATGTTTGTTGTAGGCAAACAGGCTAACATGTACTTAAATGGTACACTGATTGGATTTTTTAAATGTCCTAAAGCATACAATATACAGTTTTTAGGGATTGTGGTGATGGAGTGGTCAGACCTGCTGGAAAGCTCACCCCTTTTCCTGACCCTGATAAGCGGGTGCCAGCCTCCTGCTTCCAATTTCTCTCTTCTCTCTTTTAACATAAACTTGTTAGAGCATGTTCTACAAGCAGCTTGCTTTAAAGTCAGTCGCATTCACAAATGACTAACTTGTCAAGTGTACGTATTATCAAATACATGTTTATTAGGATGGGCAGATGTCTTATTGAGAATGTCATATAGTAAGACATCAACCAATCTTTGAAACCGTAGGGTCCACTGCTTAGCAGTACACATGTTATTAACCCCTTCGTGACGGGAGACGTACAGTGTACGTCCTGTCACTTTGTGCCTATATGACTGGCCACGTACACTGTACGTGACGAGTTATATCAGGCTTTGTAATGCCGGTAACTGCTGATTCTCAGCATTTAACAGTCATTCATTAATGTCTCAGTATTGAGGCATTAATTAATGAAATAATTAAGCTTTTTGTAAAAGCTTCTTCCTTTCATTAATGAAAGATCATTAATTTTTCCCTATCGCAGTATATGGCAAACGATCACTTTGTTTTTGTGAATTTTCACACAGGCAACTAAATCACATTGCTGAGACACTAATCATTCCACATCTTCTTTTGTAAGGTTATCTACAAAACACCCTTTGTTCTTGAACATAATTTGGGAAACACTACTCTATAGAAAAAATGAAAAGTCAGCATCCAAACAGGTTGTTAAATTCTTGAGTGCAACAATATGTGTTACCAGCACTCATTATCAGTCCCTAATTGCAGCAAAACCTGGTTTTCTAATGATTATTGCAGCGGAGAATTTATCAAAACTGGAGCAATTATAGATGGCAACCGATCTGCTTATGTCTTTAATGTTCAAAGCTTAACTGAACAAACTGAGGAGAAATGGGCAACTGCTCCGGAGTCTGTCTTCTCCAGTTTTTATACATTACCCTTTCAGAATAGTGTACCGCTTTCCTCTTGCACATTGTAATAATTGGCACAAATATCAGATGTTGGTATAAATATACTATATGGGCACTGTTGTAACAAATACCGCTACTCTGGCCCTCGGGTTATTGCCTTGGCTTGCGATGCCACATGGGTATGTTTATACAAACGGAAGATAAAGGTGCAAACATATAATGTATATAAGATGGTGTATAATCTAAGATTACATGCTCTGAATGGACAAAGTGACTGGTTCTCTTGTAATACATCCCACAGTCCCCTGATATTTACCATCCACCTGCTCCCTTGTTGCTCTGTTGCTTTTGATAAATAGGTGGCCCATGAATGTGACCACCTACTTAGATGTTGTGCTCTGGCCTGAATCACCAATTGTCAGGCCCAAACTCTTGCCATATACTTATAGATTTTTTGATCGGAAATTTTCGTTGCTGCCAAGAACCCTCTTTCGATTCTAGCTCAAATAGCCCATCAAGCACATACCAAGTCGATTTTGTTAGTTAGCAACGAACTCACCAAATTTTGTCTATCGACAGACAATTTTTTCCATTTGCGCATGTGCAGTGTTCTCCCTGCGATATTTTTCGCACAAAAACGCCACTAATCCATCGATTTTTGTACACTTCGAAAGCCTGACCGATCGAGAAAATTCCGCCAGGAGTACAGTAATTAAGATTGATTATTGTTCGAAAGACTATTCGAGGACAATTTCCGAACGGAAATCGAAAGGTATATGGGCACCTTAGGAGGAATAATTTTGTGTAAGCTCCAACAATATCTGAAACACAAAGCTTACAAATAGTTAATACACAATGCTTTGGTGGAGCCAAATTGAAGCACACAAAAGGAAAGTACTAGTGGGTGTTTTTGTTTTCTTAAAGGAGAACTATGGGGTCAGTGTTTTTCCCCATAGTTCTCCTTGGGGTAACGGGAGCACACAAACTAGCGTCCTCCCGTTACCCTAAGCTCAGTATACCGCGAGCTACAGCTCGCGGTATACTGAGACGCCGCACCTGGAGCGGATCCCGACGTAGATGACGGGATCCGCCCAGCTGCGTGAGTGACAGCTGGCTCTGCCTATCTAGAGGCAGAGCCAGCTGTACCCGCCCCCTCCCCCGTCCGTTCCGCCAGTCAGCGCTGGCAGATTGGAGCTGGGAGAGGGGAATCCAGCCCCTCCCCCTGTCACGGCAGAGAGCCGTGGCAGGATCGAGAGGTGAGGGAACCCGGTATGTGTTCCCTCACCTCCCGATCTACTGAGCCGACCTGTGACAGTCTCATTGTCACAGGTCGGCTTAGAACTATGAGGTGAGTGGAAATCACTCATGTCATAGTTCTCCTTTAAACACAAGTGAACTTGTCACTGTGCTTTAAGGGGGAATAGAATTTAAAAGCAGGTTCTCTTGGGTGCCTCCACAAAGTAGCTCATGGTTTTGCGAGCAAATTGGGTATCCTCCTACCTAATGGGGCCATCCATCATGTTTAAAGATCTATAGCTATGCATGAAAGGCAGGCCTACCCATTTACACTGTGAAACAAAGTTTGTATTTGCAAATCTGAGAGCTACAAAAAAATGTAATTGCTAAAGGTTAGTTTATTTTTACCTCAATAATGTACAGTTTTTTTGTCGCTTTCTTGGGAACAGGATGAAAAAACGGCTGATTATAAATATAGGCAATACAGCTAGTGTGTGTATAATGATTAACTTTTGTTTTTCCTGTTTCAGACCTCTGGATAAAGAAAGAATCATACCAATTTTATCAGACTTTATTGGAAGCATTTTTTCTTTAATAAACCAAACAAAATTTATTCAGGGTAAGTTACAAAATGTTAAAAACTTTGATATATTGGATGAGCACTACATGATAATGAGGTCTTTTATTACAACCATTAACAAACTATGAAGACAGATAGAAATTGACACTTGTGTCCTTACAGGGAGCAAATTGCAGTAACTCTTAAAAACCAGTCAGCCTTCACTTTATTGAAGGCAAACTAGTACATGATTAAGATTGTTTGCCATGGGTACTATAGTGTGCACTAGCATTGATTGTTTCACTGTTTTATTGAGTACCTACCTTATTCTGTACCTAAAGTAGAACTATGAGGTGACTGAAAATCACTAATCCTCATAGTTCGAGCCGACGTGTGACAATGAAACTGTCACACGTCGGCTCAGTAGATCAGGAAGTGAGCGAACACATCCCGTCACTCGCTCACTTCTCGATCATCTCCCTGCAGAGAGTGGTGTCTGACAGTCACCGCTCCCCGCATGGATTCCCCCCTGCCCGCTCCAATCCTCCATCGCTGACTGGAGGAACGGACTGGGAGGGGGCAGGCACAGCTGGCTCTGCCTCTAGATAGGCAGAGCCAGCTGGGTGGATCTCAACAGCATTGTCGGAATCTGTCCCGGCTGCGGTCTTAGTATACTGCGAGCTACACTGAGCTTTGGGTCACGGGAGGACACTAGTATATGTCCTTCTGTGACCCTTAAGAGAACTATGGGAAAAAAACACTTACCCCATAGTTCTCTATTAAGTTTTATCCCTTTAACCAGTTGACATCCGCGGTGTTAAACCCCCTTCCCATCCAGGCCATTTTTCAGTATTCAGCGCTGCGGTACTTTAACTGACATAAAACATATGCACTTGTATCCCTTTAGAGATCCTGCAAGTACAGAAAAATGCATGTTGATCGGCCAGAAATGCACTCGGCTTTTAATTTCCTGTTTTAAGCTAACACCTCACAAAATGTTTGTGGACTGCATGGTGTCAGCCTGCCCTTTTGTCTTGTCTTTTAAACTACTCAACCGCTTCCACTGTCTTCTTATCCACAACATAGAGAGTAATTAAATTGTAGTCCCAGTTAATAACAGGGAGGAGGGCTAAAGAGATAACACAAGCATTGAGCATAGGGCAGCTCTGAAATTTTGACAAGATCAGCATGTATTATTTGAACTAATAAAACATATACAGACATTCCTCACTTACCGACTTACCTGTTTTGCGACCACTCGCAGTTACGACGGACCGCCGCTCGACCTCCGACCTTGCGCGTCAGCGTCAGCGCGCCGTGTCGCCGGCGGAAGTGGTGTCCTCCGATCTTCACTGCGGGTTCCGGTAAGTATTTTAATTGCCCGATGTACAGTACACTGTTCGGTACTGTACATCGGCAACGCTATACAGTACTGTACTAATGCAGTACAGTACTGTATAGCGTTCCTCACTTAACGACCAATCCGTTTAACGACCTGGTCGTAGGAACGGAACTCGGTCGTTAAGTGAGGAATACCTGTATAACAAAATGCTTTCAATTGTGTATTTAACAAACTAAAAGAGAAAAAAAAATAAGATGTCCATGGTTAGTATTTGCATACCAACATTGTCTTTCTTGTATTTAAGGAGTGTTGTGCATAGCTTGCCAGGCAGTGAGTACACTGCTCAGTCTGGATGAGTCTGCTGAAATTCTACATGTGCTTCCTATGGAAAAAGTGAAAGACCTGCTGCTGTAAGTTACAGACATCCTACATACATTCTGCAGACACAATCAGCCCTTTGGTGCTTAACTGTGCTTCAGTGAGCTGATCTTTAGTTCAACCCTAATATATATATAGATAACGGGTAGGAAGAGTGTTTCAGCTTTTTTTTTTTTCCTCTCTACACATGTGATTGTTACAGTCCCGATCTGGACTAAAACATTTCTAAGATAACAGCAGTACTGCAGTGCAGACTCCTTGCAATGCCAGCAACTACCTACAGTAGTTTTCAAATTGAGTCTTATAAAAATGCCCCCACTCCCCTCTTTGATTCTAGGCTCAGGAAAAACATAGGGCCTTGACTGCCCAAGTTGAGACACTAAACTTAGGAGTTAAATCTTAAAAAATGCATTAAAGTACACTAACTGGTAACAAAAAAATGTATCTTATTTGTGTGTAACTCAGATGTAGGTCATCAAATTACCTCTGAATTGGTGCTGACACTGCCCTTCCTTCTGGATGGTGGCTACTTTGGTTCCCATGGTCTTTGTTTATGTTGTAAAGTAGCCACCGCTCCAAGCACGCACCCGTGATGGACTACAATCTCGACCCAAATTAGTAAACTAAATGTAAAATTGTAGTCCATCACGGGAGTGAGTTTGGTGCGGTCACTACTTTACAACACAAAGACCATGGGGAACAAAAGACACCAATGACTAGAATTTACAAAATCTTATACACTCCTGATGTTTGTAAGTTTTCCTCAATAAGGTTGCTCCGGTAATTATATGTTGATGACTAATCTTTTATTTTTATTTTTTCAGTTTTTCCCCTGGTGATCCAAGTGCCTTGCTCTTGGCCGATCTCTATTTTACTAGATTAGTGTTCTGTGGTTGCCAACAGCAACTTTCACAAGATATCCAGATGGAGATATTTTCCAAGTTGCAGTATAATATATCAAGCAACTTATCAAAGGTATTTTATTGACAAATATATTCGCTCTGCAAAGCCAGGGAGTGACATTTTAACTCTGTCTTCCATTGTTTTATTTAATAACAAACTCCCTAATTTCTGAGTTCAGTGATTTCACTTCTATTATATGGCTGACCATGCACATTCTTATAGTGTATTCAGGGTCAGTTCCTCCTTTAAAAGAGTGTATAGTGGCTTTATATATATGCTATTTCTTTATCATCGCAGGTCCCCAAAAAAGCATTTAAAAACAAATCTTTTACCAAAGTAAATATGAAATATTGCATATTAATAGGGATGTCCCGATACCGATGCTAGCATCGGAATCAATTAATATGACCCACTTTTACTTTTGGCTCTGCTGAAACCATTTGTCTACAGCACTCCAGGAGTCATCACAGTAGTAACCTGCCCCTTACCAGGGGCCTTAGTGGGAAGCTTTAATTGGAAAAATGGAGCTGCAAAGCATGCAGCTTTGCTGTGCTGTGTTTAATCCACAGTGCTTTGTGAATTCTTTGTCCATGTATTTGATGTTTAAAAGCTGTAAATTAAAAGATATTATGTTTATACATTTATAGTGATTTTTATGCTGTCATATTGATCAGGGATTAAAAAACAATTAGAGCTATAAAATATTACGTATAAATATGAAGTATCCTTATATTGAGCCAGCAGAAGGAAGGGCTTCAGGCTATATTTCACACGCTTTCTGTTTCTCCTTTCCTTTTGTTTGTAAAAAACAGTAGATTAAAGAGATCTATAGATCTAGCTAAAACTATGTTGGCTATATGGCTCCCTTGCAGAATATGCTCAAAGACAGTGTGTCAAAATGGAGCTAAAGGGCATCGTATGTGCCTCACTAAAACATATCCGTTATTTATTTTTAGGTGCGACTTCTTACTATAAGGATATTAACTCACTTTTCTGCCCAGCCAACTGAAAGCCTAGAGGTAAGCATTCACATGAATGGACTGTAAAATATCATGAATTGGAAATAGTCTAACTAAGCTGTTTGTTTCTAGGACTCTAAAGAAGGAGAGAACATTCATGTGTTCTCTATCCTTCTGCAAGCTGAGCTCGTACCAGCCACAGTCTATGAATACAGAGAGAAGTTGCTTCACCTTCGTAAACTAAGGCATGACCTTGTGCACGCAATTGCAAATGAAGGCTTCAAGGAGGTTGGTGTAGCATTTATATTTTTATATCATATGACCGGGGAAGTACACGTTATGTCATTTTGATGCAAAATGGTTAAAACAAGTATATACTTATGTAGTCCTATACCAACCAACCTATTAAGCTGACATTTAATGTATAACTACAGCTTTGTTAAGAAAAAATAAAATACTCAAGGCCAGCTTGTTCAAGTAATTGATTTTAGACTGGATATTTCAGTTTTCTACAAACTTTAGTTCTGTAGATAATGACTACAGAATGACTGTAGATTCAGACTTTGATCTGACATTTTTCAAACTGCATGTCTAGTGGCAGGTTTTATATCACCAGAGTTGTATGACATAGCGCCAACATCTTTGTTGCAGGTAACCTTTTTAATGAACTCAAGTCCCCTAAGATATAAATAACCAGCTTGACTTTACCAGAGGTAATTCACGAGACAGCTTGAAGTGTATGCAAAGGGACATATTTGCAAAGTTTGAAAAGAAAGTGAGAGAGTACCTCTGTTTGTTTTTATTTTTACGATCTGTCTCTACTGGGTCACCCTTTTCTATTCGTCCTGGTGACCAATGTCTCCAGTGCAAAAAATTATGGAAAGTCCCACATTTTTGAGTTGTCACAGGAAGAGAAGGTGAGGGGAAATCGTGCAATGGGTAATTATGGTCTTGTGACAACTGCCTAAAAGAAAATTATGGACATTTTCCTGCTGGGACACAGGCTGTGTTGCTATGTGCTCCAACAAGCTGCAAAAAGTAAACCGTAGCAGAGCTCCTAAACATTTCTTTCTTTCAAAAACAGAATTTTTTTTTTTACATACACTTGAAAGCGAGGAGTTAAATCTTAAAATGCATTCTAGTGTCCTAACTATTAACAAAAATGTATCTTATTTGTGTATCACCCGGCTGTAGATCCTCAATTCATCTCTGAATTGGTGCTGACACTGTCCTTCCTTCTGGAAGGTGGCTACTTTTGTTCCCAATGGTTTCTGTGTGTGTTGTAAAGTAGCCACCACTCCAAGCTCACTCCTGTGATAGACTACAATCTCATATTTAGTTTACTAATTTATATTGAGATTGCAGTCCATCACAGGAGAAAGCTTGGAGCGGTGGCTACTTTACAACACACGCAGGGAGTATGGGGAACAAAAGTAGCCACCCTCCAGAAGGAAGGACAGTGTCGGCACCGATTCAGAGATGATTTGAGGATCTACAGCTGAGTGATACACAAATAAGGTACAGTTTTGGTAATAGGTAGGGTACTTGAATGTATTTTTAAGATTTACCTACTGAGTTTTTAGTGTCCCTTTAACTGCTTATAGACTCCGCTCACCGCTAAAATCATATGGAGGATGTAATACTTCATACCACAGTTTTCTTGTAATTTCACTTTGGGTCTGTGCATAGTTCTGCATTAGAAGAAGTAAGCTAGTTATGGGAACAAGATGATCAAGATTCCGGAAGTGCATTCATATAAACTGCAGTCAATTACTGTAATACAGAGGGCAGGATTTTTTTGGCCATTTATAGAAAATTGTCGGTGGCCAAACAACTAGCATTTTTAGAAGGTGGTCAGCTTGGTTTCAGAGACTCCACATTGCTCTCTGTACATACTTTCTTTAAATACAGCTTTATGATATAAGTTATGTTACAGCACACATCATCCTTCGAGTATACACTTTGGTGTTTGCTATGAGCGGATAGGACAGTAGTATTATTGCTGCTGATTAGAGCATGTTCTAATAAGGGCATACCCTGGGCTGTCACAACATTGATATTGGGTGGCTGTATTTTGACTTGAATTAGAATGACTTTTGAATGGCAGTGGCAAGATGCTGTATATTGTAAAGCATGTATTGCATTGTAGTAGTAGTAGTAATAATAATAATAATAATAATGTTGGACAGCTTCATTGTTAAACAGTAGAACAGTGTTTTTTTGTTTTTTTTTTGAAAGTTGAGTAATATTGCCGATGTTGGAACAACCAAATGGAGTTCACAAATCCCTCCCATGGAAAACACCAGTGATTTGCTATTTTAAACAGCTTCCTCTAATACTGTTCATATGATGTATTTTTGTTCCAATTTATTTGCATTTTTTTCTTTACTCTTACACAGACGCCATTGAGGTATTTACTAGCAATGCTATATATTAACTTCACCCCTCTGTGGGATCCTGTTATTGAGCTTATTACGTAAGTAAAATGAATTTATTCTGACGATAATTCACTATGACGTGACTTTGTAGGATTTTTGGATGCAGCTGTTGTTGTTTTAATAAATAATCCAATTGGTAGGGATCATAGAACTTCCTGCTTGACACATTTGTATGGGAAATATTCTGTTAATGTAACATCTTGTGTTGGATGGCACAGCCTGAGAAAAGTAAATTGTCAGGTGCGATTACTTGAAAGAAGAAAAGTACGTTCACTGGCTGTGTTCCCAGAGAGTAAACATATCCCTGTATTTTCTTTTATAGTTCTCATGCAAATGAAATGGAAAATAAAGCTTTCTGGAAGATTTTCTACGAGCATTTGGAAAAGTCTGCTGTTCATGCTGGTAATATTTTACTGATTGTAACCTGACATCCAGATCAGATTATAATTGTCATGGAAAAATATTTTAATATGCAGGTGCTTTGTTAACTCCAAAGTGTAAATGTGTCAAAGTCAAATTAAATATTAATTTAAATATGAGATGCACTAAGCTCATCCATCAGGGAGTAATACTATACTTAGTGATCAGAGATAGACCTCTGTATGGCTTTTGATTGCTTTTGCCTGGTGAGACCTGGATATATTTTTATTCTTATAAAACGTAAGACTCTGTGTACAATTCTCTACAATTAAACCACTGGTAACGTTAAGCATTGGCCTTACTGTTCTTTCCAGGTCTGTAATGGATATCTTTCAATGGATGCCTATGCTGCACCAAATCAAATAAACTATGCAAACAGCACATACATTCGTTTTCATTACTTTAGTTTGATTTTGACTATTCAGGTTCCTTTCATTTGTTTCATGTATGAGCAAATTGCTGAATGCTTGGCCGGATACAATTAGTACAAGCAGCACTCTCCTAATTTACAGTAGACTCATGACACCTGTAGCTGGTAATCTTGCTCCATTCTTTGGTTTGTTCATCAAACAGTTAAAAAAAAAGCAGCAATTTAAAATGGTTGCCCCTAACAACTAGTGCTGTAGTAATTATTAGTTATTGATTGCCCTGTGTTCCTTTGCGCAGCCTCTCATAAATGGGTACCATTGATTGAGTCCTGATATGGAGAGCATTTTTCAGAGCTGTGATCGTAACTGTAGTTTGGTAATATGTTCTCTTCCCTTCTATAGAAAAGGAACTCCAGGATGAGCTAAGTGAGGAAGCACCAAACAGCCAGATCCAAGGAATTGAACTTTCTGGTGCTGGAGATGTCGGAATCCTTTATGCTCATGTGCTGAAATGTCGAACTGATATAAATGAGAGGACTGATTACACAAATTTTCGGTTCCTGCTTTGGAAAGCAATGTCACTATTTCCGGATAAGGTGGAGCCAAGGTCAAGGGAACTTTCCCCTCTCCTGCTCAGGTTCATAAGGTAAGAATGTGTGCTATAAGAAGGGCAGTGTATTGCCATCTCGCTCTTCTTTGTGACGGTAGCTGTCTTCTGCATTTTAATAAATGCTCTGATCTTGATGTCTCTGAAATATTGTAAAAGAAATCATATGCAGTATTTTGTATTATTGAGATGGTAATTTACCAAGAGAATAAGATGAAAGGGCAGCAACCAAGGTGTTTTATGATATTATTAAATATTTGAGCAGGTGATAGCAGTTTGCCTAATTCTCGAGTACCCAGAAGTAGTGATGTTCAAAACAACTTAGTTTGCGCTAGGAGTCGGATTTAAAACACCAGCCGCAACAATGTGTGTTTAAGTGCTTTAAAGATAAGTACTTCTCTCAGAAGTAGTGATGGGCTCGGGCGTGTTCGCAGGTCCACGTGCCAAACCCGCCAGGAAGCTGGTGGCGCCGCAGCGCCAATCACAGGCACGGAGACATTTCCCGATCTCTGCAATTGTGGACTGGGATAATGTCTCGGTACCTGTGATTGGCGCTGTCAGCTTCCTGGCGGGCTCGGCACGTGGAGCTGCTAACACGCCTGAGCCCATCACTACCCAGAAGTCCTCTTACATCCAGCAAACAACCTTGTTCAACAATTATCTATACATTTACAACCTAGGTTGTGCTGGGTTTTTTTGAGGGGACTCATAAAGTTATAATTCGTACAAATTTGTTGATGTTCATATAAAAGGTTTATTACATATTGTAAATACATGATACATTGTTCATCAACATGTTTATATGTGATTTCTTAATTAAGAAAATCACAAATTAAAGAAAGCTGTGTTCAACAACCAGACATTTAAAGCTTTCTTAATTTGAGAGTTTAAAATCTTTCATCATTATTGGAATTGAATGAAGGTGCTGTTGTTGCAGAGGTACCTTGTTGCCTACACACTACACGGAATTAGGTTGTTGGAAACCATTGACTGCTTTAAAACAGGAAACAAGATGTTTACCTTTTTTATTTGCTGAAACGTCTCTTAATTTTTAAGCAAGTAGAATGTCATTTATTTTTTAAAGTGTGGCTAGATTTCTGTATGTGTGCCAGAAGTTTGTGTGTTGGCTGCAAAAGATCAGTTCCAGCAATAATATTCATATGCAAAGTCAATAGTCTATCACAATTCTTCCTTTCAGCAATGAGTATTATCCAGCAGACTTTCTAGTAGCCCCATCCCAGGACCTTCGCAAGAAAAGCATCGGCAGTGCAAAGAGAGGAGCCGATGAAAGTCTCACTGTAGAAGAGGATGTAACTATGGAAGAAGAAGACCATGCAGAGTCTGAGGAACCCAGCAATACAGGGTTGCAAACAAAGAAAACAAGAAGAGCTGCTTCAAAGTGAGTCTGAATGTGACAAATATGTGAGCAATGTGCAGTAAAAAGAAAACAGCTTATGTTCTTTCAAATATTTCTATCTCCTAAATTGAGGGACACAGCAAGTGTTTGACCTTCGGTTTATACTGCTGTCTACCGGAAGATTGGCAAAAAAAAAAAGTCAGCTCAACAAAATCCCTTCTACCACCAGCATACCTTAATTTTGTTACTAGTGTCCTAGGAGGATGGCTGTGTTTCCTGATCTCTGTTGTGTAGAAGACTAACATTTTTTTTCTTTCGCTTTCATCGAGATACACAAGAATTCAGAGTGTGTTATACTGCTGCCTACAGGAGGTTTGGACATTGGCAAACATAAAAAAAACAGTAGCCAGCTTGGTATAACCCCTTCTCCCCAGCACTCCAGCAGTTTTTTGCTAGTGTTCCAGGAAGATGGATGCCTTTTCTCTGCTCTGCTTTTTGCTAGCTTTTTTTTCTCTTTTTAACCAACCTGCTCAGTCGATCTCTATAAGCAGCTATCCAGATCGGCAAAAAGCTGAAATATTGAGAGCGCTACTACTGTTTAAAAATTCACTCACGTTTTTAGATGTCACTATGTCTTCAGGGAGAAATCATCTGTAATCACTGTGCAAAAGTCAAGAGGTGCTGGGAGCCGTCTCTATAGGTAGTGCTCTGTATGTTCGATAGCTACGCATTTCGATGCCACTGCCTCTTTGTCAAGCCTGGATACGAGGCCTCCCACCTCGTATCCAGGCTTGACAAAGAGGCAGTGGCCTCGAAACGCATTGCTGAGCAGCGGGTTTTACCTCATGACTAGGGCTGCTGGGTGCCATCTGCAATCCCCACTTTCTCTCAGTTTACTATGGAAGCAGTTAAGGCTGAGGGACTGAATACTGATGTCATCAACTGGGCGGAATGTCACGCATTCATGCTTCGCCCTCTTTCCCGTCGTATAGCATAGAGGAAGCACCTTCCTGCTGCTGCTCTTGACTGCATTTGACACATGGATTTATCCTCTGTTTGTCTCTGCTCGTACTCTGAGTTACGCTGCTCCTGTCTTGTGGTGTAACAGGTCAAATCCTAGACAATCTGTCCCGCTGCCCCAGGTACCATCTGCTCATGATTCACTAACAATTTATGCAGTGCACCCCCTGAAGGTCTTGACACTGACCGCCTGAAATATTGTCGTCTGCTTGAGTCCGTGCTGTCCTCAGAATCTTCCCCAACTCTGTCAGGTATGGCCCCCTCCCCGGCTTTATCCCAGAAGGATTTTACTACTGTTGTGCAGGATTTTATTGGGCACTTTGCAGACCCTATCAGACTCTGAGTCTCTACATTTCTCAAAGGACCATGTTACATCTGAGGAGTCACAGATCGTAACCATTACTCCGAGACCCTGTTGGCTATTATTGACACAGTTCACACCACTTTTAAGCTCCCCCTGTTCGTTCCCCTGTGACATGGGAGATGAATTTGGTTATTTCTGAACTTTAGAAATGCCAGTTAAACCCATTAGAGACATTCCTATTTTTAACTCTTATCTACAAGGAGGTAGTCCTTGTCTCTGTGTCTGAACTGGCCTCCACATCCTGCAAGGAACCTTTTCTGGTTTTGCATATGGACAAGGTTTTCAACCCCAGGACTTTCTTCCTGCCTAAAGTAGTTTCTGCCTTTCGTTTCAACCAGGATATTGTTCCATTTCTCTGTGCAGCTACAGTTCACCAAAATAAAATGTGCCTCCATTGTTTGAATATGGTTCAGGCTGTGTAAGTCTATTTCTCAGCTACTGCTCTTTTCAAGAAAGATTATTCCCTTTTTGTCATCCCAGATGGACCTTGTCAGGGTGCACTGCTGTCTAATTCCACCATCTCTAGGTGGCTTAGAGAGATTATCATTTAAAACTTATGATCCTAAGTATCGGGTCCCACCCTTTGGTCAAGATGCAATTTACTAGATCTGTGAGTGTGCTTTTCAGTATCAAGCAACTGTTTCCCATATGTTCAAGCGCCACCACCTGGCCGTCTGTTCACGTCTTCTCCAAGTTCTACCAGTTAGATGCTGTAGCCATATCCGCCGCCCACTTTGAATGTGTAGGGTCTTTTAGATGTCTCTTTGAGCTGTAGGCAGCCACCAATTTGCTGTTATTTTTGACCTGTTAGCATTTGTTTGCTGTATTGCCCACCCCTGTTTTTGAAGATCTCAAAGTTAAGACCTCCTGTGTCCCTTAATGAACGAGAAATAAAATAGGATTTTATTACTCGCAATAAAATCCTTTTCTTGGAACTCATTGAGGCACACAGGTCCACGCCGATGTGTTTATGATCACACTCTTGGTTCTACTTTGCTACAAAACTTTTTTGTTTTCCGGTATCTGATCCTCTTGTAGGCAGCAGTATAAACTGAAGGTAAAAGACTTCCTGTGTCCCTCGGTCTCCAAAAAAAGAATTTTGGTTAGAAAAATCCAAATTTAGCAAATAAAGCCTTTCAGATGGTTGCTGGGAGAAACCACTGGCACCTATTATTATTTGTGTGACTTTTTCTCCCATGGCCAGACTGCCTTCTTGGTGTAACGGCCTGCAGTGATAAACAATGTAACTGACCTGGTAACTGCAGACAAATAAATGAAGATGTGTGAACTATGTCATTTGGTCTCTAGAAACCTGGTGCTTCTAGAATGTTTAATGGGAGGTTCATGGTCTTTTTTTTGTCACCCATCTGAATAAAGCCTAAAGGAGTAATAAATATTATAGAGATGAATCTATCCTGTTTTTTCTGGCCATGCCAGGATACTGTACAAGAGCATGGAGGTGGAGGGCAGGTATCTGAAAATGCTTGCTGTTTTGAGGAAGTTACAGTTTAGCAATTCCCCCCCCCCCCCACAGGTTTGCTTTAAAGAGAGATGAATAATTTTGTGGAAATTGCTCCTGGTGTGTTTTTGTATTATTATAATTAAACATTAATAAAAAAAAGGAAGTTATTCACCTGGTAGCATGCAAATAACCTCTTATAACCTCTCATTGTTGTCAGGAAAAGGCTATTTAATTGCCTGTGTAGTTTATTTGTTACCATTGGTAAAATGGTAGAATTAAAAGTAGCATTGAAATTTGACCTGTCGTCTGTCATGTAACTGGGTTTTTTATATCCACAATCATGAATGAACAGGAGGTGATGTAGATCACTTCCCATTCATTCATATTTGAGGATATAGTAACCATACTCTGTCCTCAATTATTTACAAACACTCAGCGATCACTGATCTCTGAGTGTTTGTACTCGCTCTCCTTCCTGAAAACTGTCACAGGAGGCTGAGCGAGGGGAGCGGGGAAGAGAGCTCAGCCTCATGTGACAGCGCTGGCTGTCTCCGCCCACGCGCCACTCTGCCGATCTGTGACAGGAGGCTGAGCGGTGTGGGAGGAGAGACGTTGGCCGCTCACAGTGCTCTCTTCCCACAGCACTCGTCCAGCTGTCCCAGTTACTCTCCTCTCCGCTGGGACACAGAGCAGCGCCCAGCGAGGAAGAGAGAATACACGGATGCACTGCTGTATCGGCCAGAAAATTGCACTTTCGGCATTAGACCAAAAGTGCAATTTGTCAGCTGATTTATCGGTGCATCCCTATAAGAAATCGTACCATTTAACTTTTAGCTAAAATCTTTCAAACATATTCAAACTGACTTTTTTTTGCAGACAGCTCACTGAACACTTAAAAGTGTTTTCAAAGTTTTCTAATCCACGTTCTTTGTTCCTGGAGCCCAAGTTACATGACCTCTATACTCAGGTAATAAGTATGGCAAGTGGTGAATGAGTACATATGACTTTGTTGCTGTCTACTCTTTTTATACCCATTTTTTGTTAAAATAATGTGCAAATTATAATAAAGTACACATACAGTGCCTTAAGAGGACCATACACTATGCAGTCTGATTGTACACTCTCCTTTGAACTTTACCAAAACTTTCCAATATGAGGACAAACCTAAATAATCCATTCAATTAGTATCAAATCCAGCAGTCCCTTGTGCTACATAGTTGACAGTGGATCTAAAGGAGATTGTATAATCAGATTGTATAGTGTATGTTTGTCCTTAGGCGTTCATTAGGACATGCTTAAACATAGGTAATGTTTAGAAAATATTGTGCAACATAGGAAAAGTCTGTAGCAATGAGCAAGGAATTAGTTTAAAATGAACAAGGTGATTGATTGCCTTCAAACAGTACAACCTGTAGACATTAGATTACAGTCTGCTGATAATTAATTATCCATGGGGCAGCACACAGCAGCCCTGAAGGACTGTTCTCATAGAACCAAAAGGGACGGCTGGTTAGAAAATCTTGACCGATGGCTACTGTTTTCCCCAGTGCTGGCATTGACTGTATGTGACTTAACCCTACATTGTCCTGAGCAGGATCGATTGTATGCTTCTGTTTGGGGAAATGCCCAACCAGTCTCTAATGCCTGTGGTCATCTTAAAGCTGGACTCCAAACATGCATCTAAATACACAGTTGAAATATGTATTAGGGAGCCATTTTACCTGTGAAAGGGTTTTGATTATTGTCTATTCAGCCCTGACATTTTAACAGCGCAGCCAGGAGGATGACCCTGTTTTATTCGTGGAACATATGGTGACACCTCCCTGCCAATGTCCCTCTCCTGCACAGCTAGGACAGTGAAAGAGCAATAGCAAACTAAAGAGGATTACTATTTGCTCATCCTGCTTGCTTTCATCTCCTGTCAGCTTCTTTGATAACAATATATTTGAATAGAGCACACCTGGTGCGGCCCCTCTCTCCCAGTCTGGTTGCTGCTGTACAGAAGATTTGGAAAAGACTAACCAAGTCAAATCCAGGTTTACCAGTTGCATTTACAAAATACATGTAACGCTTTATTAATAAATAAATATACAATGTGTCCCTTTTACACTTGTAATTGTGCACATTACAAGGAGATAAACACATGCCCTTTCAAGTGGAATAAGTGAATATGCAAGTTAATTCCTACTTCAGACCTTTCTGTAAATAAGTCCCTATGGGTTCTAATTAATAACAGATGTATTAAATCTTTTATCATAACATGTACAGGTGAAACTCGAATAATTAGAATATCATGCAAAGTTCATTTATTTCACTAATGCAACTTAAAAGGTGAAACTAATATATGAGATAGACTGATTACATGCAAAGCAAGATAATTCAAGCCGTGATTTTGTCATAATTGTGATGATTATGGCTTACAGCTCATGAAAACCCCAAGAACCCCAAATCCACAACCTCAAAAAAGTAGATTTATTACATGCAATCAATAAAACAAGGATTGTACATAGAACAATATCGGACCTCTGAAAAGTACAAGCATGCATATGTACTCAGTACTTGGTTTGGGCCCCTCTTGCAGCACTTACTGCAATTACTTTTGCATGATATTCTAATTATTCGAGTTTCACCTGTATATCCAGCATAATCCTGTCACATCTCTAAGCTAACTTAGTGTTTCTCAGATGTGAACCTGAGGGGAGTCTGAAAGGGTCATAGCTTTCTCACTTTGACGTAGGAGGCTGGCTGGGTTAATTAACAACATCTTTAAAAGAAGCCAACTGAAGAATTTACCTTAATGTCACCTGTTGTGAAGAGGTAGAAAACATGGCCTTTTACTAGACCATGAAGATTGGTTCAGGAAAAGCCAGGTTAATGTATATGTATTTCTGCAATGGTTTAGGTTATATAACTTTTATAATGCATACTACTGTTTGTCTCAGAAATATAACTAAACTGTCCTATAAACCTAATGACATCTGCACAATTTTGTTGCCCTGCTGTTTTCTAGTTTATTGACTTTTTGGAATGTCTGTCACTGTGTACCTTGTTACATACATCAGTTTCTACAGTTGTTTGTTTAGCCTAGGTTAACCTGGTAAAGTATTTTTTTTAATTATAATATGAAACAGTAAAAAAAAAAGGCTTAAAGTAGAATTAAACCTTAGTTGGTTTGCATAGATCTACTGCTAGCAAGCAGTAGATCTATGCAAAAGCATAAAAAAATTTACCAAATAGGAAAACATTTACCTGTGTCTCCGCCGCTTGCGTCTGAAGATCTGAAGATTCTCGAAGGATCATGGAGCGGGCACATGCGCAGTAGAGATCTTCGGCCAAGAGAAGTGCGAGTCGATTTATTTATTTATTACAGGCATTTCTATAGCGCCGACAATTTACGCAGCACTTTACATAGTTACACATTCACATCAATCCCTACCCTCAAGGAGCTTACAATCTAAGGTCCCTACCTCACATACATTCAGGGCCAACTTAGAGAGGAGCCAATTAACCTACCAGCATGTCTTTGGAGTCGATGCACGCGGACAGACACCGTGGGACACAGAAGACAGCGCTGGATCAGAGACCAGCACCAGTGCTACAGGGACTCCTGAAAACTACTGGAAAGAATAATAGGATCAAGAGGCATCATTTAATGTAAGTTCTTAAAGCAGCATTGGGGGGAGGGGTGGATTTTAACTACAGTGGGGCAAAAAAGTATTTATTCAGCCACCAATTGTGCAAGTTCTCCCACTTAAAAAGATGAGAGAGGCCTGATTGAAAGTTGTTGCCCAGCGACAGCCTCAAAACATCACTGCTCTAGAGGATATCTGCATGGAGGAATGGGCCAACATACCAGCAACAGTGTGTGCCAACCTTGTGAAGACGTACAGGACACGTTTGACCTCTGTCATTGCCATCAAAGGATATATAACAAAGTATTGAGATTACCTTTTGATATTGACCAAATACTTATTTTCCACCATAATTTGCAAATAAATTAGTTCCAAATAAGCCAATGTGATTTGTCTGGATTTGTTTTCTCATTTTGTCTCTCATAGTTGAGGTCTACCTATGATGCCAATTACAGGCCTCTCTCATCTTTTTAAGTGGGAGAACTTGCACAATTGGTGGCTGACTAAATACTTTTTTGCCCAACTGTATGTGCCACTTTAAGAAAAATGAACGATGTATATGTAAGCCATAAAAAATGTATTTTGAAGGAAGATTCCACTGTAATCATAGTGGTCTTCTGTTTCAAAACCTCCTCTATAACAAAGAATATGCCATTCTTTCATTCTGCCTTTCCTTTAGTCCATTCATGTAGATGTATGCAGCAATGTAGCTGCAAGGGACATTTGTAACATTTCTGTGAAACCTAGTTTGCATTTTATTTGTTTATCATTGTAGTATTAAGGTTGAAAAGCTTTTTGCTCCTGTCTGCATGTTTGATTTTGACAGGGAGAATCAGCAATTGGTGACTACCTCTAAAAGGACTACAATAAGTAACTGATGCTGCCTCTGAAATTAATTTGTATGGATATAATGTAGAAAATGCATATTTGTTATAGTCTGAATATTTTCTCATTGCTTCTCTTACTCTATTTTCAGTTGTTGTGTCATCAAGATCAGAATGTACAGAAAGTTGCTTTGGAATGTATGCTGAGCTACAAACACCCCCATATACTTCCCTACAAGTAATTATCTTTTTTTCTTTGTTGGCTATATAATAAATACATTTCTAAATATTCTTTTTGTTGCCTTAACCCCTTCATGACTGAGCTTGTTTTTAGTTTCTGTTCGTAAATGACTGACACACTTTTGACATTTTTGCTGTGTGATTCTTCCACGTCAGTAATATACTTTCTTACAAAGTGCACCCACACATATTATATATTGTTTTTTAGAGGACAGATAGGGCTACATATTTATATCACATATGTGTGTCTAACGCCTCACTTAGGACAAATAAAATATAAAAAAAGAGGAAAAAAGCGTTAAAAAAAAAAAACTTTTTCCCAAGTTTTGATTTGTAGTATTTTTTTTACAAAACCAGCACAGCTAAAAAAATGCAATAAATACATCCGCTATGCTTTGACTCTCAGACAACCCGATATTAAGGTATCGGGTGTCTGAAAAAGGTTAACCCTTTCATTAATGAATGCCTCTGTAGTAAGGGCATCTATTAATGAATGTTAAAAGCTGATTCTCAGCGTTAACAGCCCTCTAAAGCAGCAAATAACTCGTCACGTACAGTGTACGTGACAAGTCATTTGGTCCCTTTGTGGCTGGACGAATAGTGTACGTCTCCCGTCACGAAGGGGTTAAAGAAATCTATACTGAGAGAAATATTGCAGCTGCCTTGGCAAATCTTTTAAGAATACTAGTTGGGCCTTCTCTGGCTTTAATTCTTTTTTGCGTCACTGACCCAGAGCAAGCAGGAACATTACAATGTCAGAGTGAACGCAAAACTCCTGATCTCCAGCGTGTCTCAGATATTATTGCAGCCATTAGATCAGGATGAGAGCAGAACTCCATGTTCTTTTCCTTTTAAAGATCAGCTAAGGTTGTCATAGACATTATGTGGTGTTTGGAAGATCTGATCCCCTTTGTCCAATGAAAGCTTGACTGCCCTTACACATTAAGGGATTTGTATAGGACAAATTCAACATAGTTTTTGGTGCATTTAGCTTTCATTTGAGAACTGTTGGAGACCTTTTTGAGCTCTCGCGTCCTAAACTTTTGCATTCATATTGACTTGTATAGAGAGGAAAGTATTTCTAAAACAAACAAATGCTAGTAGCAAAATTGTACCTCTATCGTTATACCTCCGAAGTCAACTGGTAACTTTAAATATCCCTTCCCTGTGGTTATAAAAGTATTCAGCTTTAGCTAAATTTTATTGTTTTTTTAATTAATAAAGGAATTGTCCTTGCACTTTAAAATGCAGCAAGTAAAAGCTGAAGTAAATCTGAAGCCAATTGTTTTTTTCAATTTGGATAGCATGGAACTTTGTAAAACCCTTTTTGCCATCTGTGTCCTATTGAGGAGACTTCTTTTAACTTCCTGTACTCTAGACAGCAGAAAGTAAGCGAATATTTTGCCAAAGTAAGGGAAAGTCCCCAGTTGGACAGTTTCACAAGTACAAGTGTCCCCATTGGAAGATTCCTCTATTCTAGTTGTGATGGCAACTAAAAATTTCCCTTTTATTTAGTCAGTGACCAAGGGTCACCTGGAAAAATAGATTGGGTCAATCTCCCATACAGGGAAACATTCAGCAATAGAAACTTGACAGGGGTTCTATCTCAAAACCACTCTATGCAAAACAAAAAAAAACAGCTTTAGATACACTGTAATCATGGTAGGGATCCCTAAGGATTAACATTTATCCAGCATTCTTGTCAAGTTATCATTCTAAATTGTTCTGTTTGTTTTCAACAATTTGTAGGGAAAATTTGCAACGGCTTCTGGAAGACAAAAGCTTTAAGGAGGAAATTGTACATTTCAGTATTTCAGAGGAGAATGCAATAGTAAAGCCGATGCACAGAGCAGATCTAATGCCTGTGCTTATGAGGTATGTATTATATAATTACATGAAGCAGCATAGCCACCAGTGGTAGAAATGTCTCTCTAGTAGCTTTCTAGTTAAAATGTTCTTAATGGTGCCTACAATTCTGGATGTCCTAATGGTTCTGCTTATTATCAGTCTGCATATACCAAATAAACAAGGATCAGTTGCAGACAATGCAATAAGTATGCTTGGTGCTATTGTTGCTATTTGAATGAAATGAGGTTTGGTATTCTGCTTCCTCTCCATATAACCCATAATATTATTTTGTGCCAACAACAATGTATTGTTGATATGCAGACACATCATTGGTGGGGCAAGGGTTGGTTAGAGGGTATCAGAAATTGGGGGGGAGGAAAGATATCTGGGGCAAATGCCAATCTGGGTCATTAGTAGCAGTACTAATTTATTCACATGGATAATTCAAACTTGATTTGAATAATCACAGAATCGGGGAAATGTGTATCTTCTGTTACATATACACTCAGGAAATGCTTTTAGCTGTATCCAAAACCCTTAATTATTGAAAAAAACGAATTTGGTACTAGAAGATTGTGTTTGTAATTTCTTTTTTTTTTAAAGAATATTGTATGGCCGTATGAGAAGCAAAACTGGCAGTAAAACACAAGGCAGGTCAGCTGCGGGAACTCGCATGTCTATAGTTCTACGATTCCTGGCCGGCTCACTGCCTGAAGAGGTCCGACTGTTCCTGGATCTTCTGTATGAGCCAGTGAAGCATCTAAAAGATGGTATGTCACTCTGTAATTAAAAGCATATGCTTTTCTATCTGCAAAGTCTGACGTTTATAGGTGTAGATGTCTTAAAACTGAGCTGCTGTCACAAAATGTTAATTTAAATATATTGCTAATAGCCACAAAGGAAATAAAGCCACTTTGTGTGCACCACATTCCTTTGCAAGCCTAGTTATTACTTTGTAGTGGTGACCGTGTGGAGAGCAGAACTGAGAAGGGCAGATCCACCCACTAGAGCCTGTCTGCAAAAATGTACGGGGGGGGCGGATACAAGACCAGTCACCTGGCACAAGGAGAGATAGCAGCAGTGACTGGTCCTTATTACAACAAGTTCCTCCACAGAGGCAAAGTGTCTCACTAAATTACTGCACAGCTCTGGAAGAAATACACAAAGCACACACGATTCAACTTGCACTTGCATTTAGACAATTTTTTGCTTTTCGAAGTTCAGCTGTGTCTTTAAATGGCTGGATATTAAGAAGATATGGCTGTATATGGCCAATTTTCTAGCCAACCTACAAAGAAGTAGGTGGTTAACAGAGCCTTCAAAGGATTGTGTTAGCAGTAATAGGACTGACACAAATAGACTGACCCTGTCACCAATTTAAAATGTTGCGGGTAGAGCACAGAAAAATCAAGAATTGTTATAGCTTATTCTTTCCATAAGTGACTTTTCATCCACTTGAATGTGCCATTTAACATTCTATAAAATTTGACTACTGGAAGAGTCAGTTCCCTAGCAAAGCTCTCTCCCTTCTTGCATGTTAAAGTCCTCTTGGGTGAGTTTCTAATTACTCTCTATGCTGACCCAGCATCCCTGCCCTCACTTCCCTACCGGAACATTGATGTAGTTCCCAGTGGAGAAGCAAAGGCAAATACTTGAAAGTATCTGAGTCTGCTGGGGCTGCTTATATCCATTCTGGCAGAGCACAGCAGCAATCTCTGGGGACAGGGTCTCTTTAAATGGTCACATTCTGGCTGTCTGAATCTTTTGTTGTATGTTCTGAGCAGTTTATTGGCATATTAGTTGTTAATAGCTTTATGTGTTGGTATTTTTGCTATAAGTATTTCTACTTGCACGGTAAAATTGCAACTTTGTTTATCTGAATGCAGTTTTTACATGTCTAGTACTTCAAGTGAATGTCCTTCCTCTGGGTTTTTAAGCACACCCCAAAGCTTTTTATGAACCAGAAAAGCAGGAGTTGATTCAGAAACCCAGTGGACAACACATTCACTCAAAGGGCTACCATTCAAAAATAGAATTTACCTAGAGGTTCTCTCTCCTTCTCAAGAGGCTTGCATGCTTAAAGTCTACAAGAATCAATGCTTGAAGTGTTGACTGAGGGTGTTAAGTGTTCATGGAGAATTCCTCCTATTTTTATTTTTTTTAGAAGTTTTTTGCATTTTGTTTTCACTAATTACTATGTTATATTATTGCCTTCTTTAATTGCCTTTCATTTAAAAGGTGGTTGCCTTGGTGCAGTGCAGCAGTCGGTGGAACAAGTAGACCTTTCAAAGGTTCTGCCTCTGGGGCGCCAGCACGCCTTGCTCAACAGTTTGGAAGTAGTTTTGAAAAACCTTGGTAATCTTATCAGCCCCTACTTACCTGAGATGCTCCAGATTTTACTCTGCATGACTGCTACTGTGTCGCACATTCTAACGCAGAAAGAAAAGGTAATCTGCTGGCAGTTGCTAGTTTTTTAGTTGTTAACTATATCAATCAATGATAATGCTGTCAAATTTGTAAAGAAAATACTAGTAAAATATTTAAATTGTGGATAATGTATCCAGCAAAACTCAAAGGAGGAAGAGATAAATCTGATTGACCAATATTAGCTTCATTATGCTAGCATTAAGTTATAGTTGTAGAGACCGTGGAACAGGTCTTGGAGAGAGGACAAGTGCTCAAACGCTTGACCAAGGTTCTCAACACTCCTTGGTTTCAATCTGAACAAGCTACATCTTTAACAGGATTGGCTGTTACATGCATGTGGCAAGATTAATGCAGTCTGGTTCTTCAGCACTCTTAAAAATTCTTGCTTGTGTAGCACAAAATAAAACACACTGTAGCTACATATACATAACAATGTAGGTTATGGCACAATCAGATTTTCCATCCTACCCAAAAGATATCAGCAAACATAAGTTTGACAGGACAGCCTTTGGTGACCAATATAAATGCAATTTGTTTTTATTAGGTCTAGAAACACCCTTTCTTTGCCGATAGTTGACTTGTGTAAGGCTACAGTTATATTTTGAGACAGACAATTTAAATAGGTTATTAGATCTAACATGTTTTACCTACTTTTGAGGAATAAATACATTTTTCTGAGTTTTTTTGTTGGCCTAAACCAGCAATTGGCACCTTTTTGGATCTTTATCCGATTGGGTAATACAAGCACAGCTGAAAAATTGGTTGTTTCAGCTGAGCTTCTAGAGCAGGGGTGTCAAACTCAATTTAATCGTGGGCCGCATCAACATTATGGTTGCCCTCAAAGGGCCTGTAAGATTATATAAATGTATCTAATCTTTGTCATAATTGCCTCTGCATGCGACTATCACTGGTTTTAGTAATAACTGAATACCTAGATCTTAAAGTAGAAGTCTAGGAAATGGCCTGCTGGGCCGGATTCGGCCCCTGGGCCTTGAGTTTGACACGTGTTCTAGAGAGCGATAGAGTCAACAATTGCGTACATTAAAAGCTGTGGTCACCAACCATTAGGATTTGACATTTTGTATTATATAATTGCTTGTAACATAATATTAGCAAGGTTACACAGTGGGCAGGTCTCAACAGATCAGGTATAAGACAGTCCAAGCAGCCCTCTTGATCACCCTCTGTTACAGGTACTTTACTCTTAGCTTAAAAAAAAAAGGTGTTGCGTCATTTCCCAAAGCAGTTATGAAATTCAGTTTGTTGGTTTTGTTTAGCAATTAGCACACTTCAATCCGTGTTACAGTACATGTTGACATAAACTTTTTAAACATTATTATAAACATTTTTACATTCTACTGCATGTAATTTCCACTTGCTGAGTTGTTTAACTTATTTTTCTAGCAGGTTTTCAGAGTCAGTAACTCTTAGATATGCATGTCAATTGCAGAGTTAATTTATCGCTTCATTAATCCCTGAGGTGTTAAAAAGTTCAATAAGTTAAATAGCACAGACTTCTTTCTGGATAATGATTATGAAGCTGTGAATGAATCACTTTGGAAAAATGCTGGCTTAACTAAATCGAGGCTGCTAAGGCAGGATCGGTTTAGAGAAAAAGCACAATTTGGTTAAAATTCCACATATCTCTAGGCTGTGCTTTTTCAGAGAAACTAAAGTGTCATATTTTAAACTTTGTGTTTGTGACTTTAGTGCTAGAACTGATTTACAGCAGGTCAGTAAACCTTTTAAAATTCATGGCTCAGTAGAGGGGTAAAAGGTTTAGCTACTTGGCCAGAAGCAAGTGCTGATAGAGAGCAATATTTAAGCTACTGCTGTACTATTTTGAAATATATGGCAATCTTTTTAGAGTTTAAATTGGACTTAAGTTCTTATAGAAGTTCTTCAGCATTAAACTTGTGTACACAAAAGAAGCCTTTAAGAACTGACATTTTAGCCACAAAAGAAAGCACTGTACACTACCATGCCTGACCAGTGCCCCACAGATTCAAACATACATGCCGTGCCAAATTCTATAAGGTATTAATGTTGATGGCCTTGACTAAACGTTTGACTGGGTTTGGGACTATAGCATTTAAGTTTTTAAAGCAATAAAAACATTAAAATTGAGTGGGAATTTTTAAAGTTTCCCTTTTTAACAATGTACACCAGGGTTTAGAAAGAAAGAGAAAGCAAGTCCTAATATATTTACAGGCATGCTGATGCAATACTGTACAAAAGCTTGTCTTTGACAGCTTTTGTATAGTAAAGCAAACTACGTAATGCTGTCATTTTATGCTCAGAATCCATCCTGGCCCACCTCCACCTATCCAAGGATGTGATTCTGTAATACAATACACATAAAATGTATGAATTTGAGAAATATCCAACATACAGAATGTATTACAGAATCACATCCTTGGATAGGTGGAGGTGGGCCACATATTTTCATTTACTAGTGCCACACACTGGCACCTAGCCCACTCTTTCTCTAAAATCCCAATTGTATACCATTATAATCAACTCTAATCTGTGTCTCTTATTACTTCTGTCCTCTTTCTATTTCCTTGACTTTTTGTCTGTTGCACAGACCTCCACTACTAAAGTGCTCTTTTTAACACTGTCATTGTGTTCCCAACATGTTTTGCCACAATGAGTGGCTTTGTCAGGGTTAAAGTGCTGGTGCTGTCAGTGCACACATAAATGAAAATGCCATTCTGTTTATATTAGCCCCTTTTATTAATACCCTCCCCCCAGGTGTATGGCTGCTTGCTCAATGGGCTAAGCCCCCATGTGCATGCATGGTGCATGCACAAATGGTATCATACCACCCCAAATTAGCCTTACTACTGGACTCCTGACACTTTCAATTCTATGTCACCACAGTTCAGTTACTCTATCACTTCAGTTCATTAACTCTTCATTTATTGTGGGGGAACTATTGGTATCCTTTCGCTACTATTTTTTCTACATGTGTAGACATTTTCTTTTATTCTATATAATTATTTATTTAAAGTCAAAGTCAAAAAGAATTTCACAATATTATTACTTATTAAAAAACTTCAATGGAATACATGGTGAGGGACAAAACAACATTGAAAATATGGTATAAGGTTTTAACTACAGATTTGGGAATGTTGGAGAAAGAGTGGGATAGGTGCCAGTTTGCGGCACTAGTAAATGAAGAGTTAAAATTCATACATAGCTGTTTGTGGTCATTTTGAACATTATACTGAATGTTTTTTTTGGAGGCTCTATTGCTTTTAGGCCTGATAAAGCAGGTCAGTGCAGTAATCATTTTACTAATTTGTTTTAAACTCTTTTAAATAGATCCAGTTAAAATGTATAAATCCATTAAAGAATCTGCGGCGTTTGGGAATGAAACGAATAGTAGACTTTTTCACTGACTTTGAGACGTACCCATATTCTGCTGAAGAAATTGATGCTTTATTTCTTGCCGTCATCTGGCCACAGGTACAAATAAAATCCTAAGTTGTTGTTTTTTGTTTTTAACATGGAAACTGCTTTTACTTTTAAACTAAGTGAACCTACAAGAATACCTAACTGCCACCACCTGTAATGTTTCCTATTTTCTTTTACAGTGGTGAATTGTACAGTTTATTGATTTCTGTTCTTTATTTACTGCCTCAAATGGGTAAGAACTAGCTTGAATGCAATGCATAATACATATTTTTTTTCTGTTACAGATTGGCAGATTAGCTTTGGAAAGTCAACATTCTCCTTCACTTCTCCTAAAGCTTATTCATACTTGGAGTCAAAATGCTAGGTAATCTTGTCTTTAAAACTCGCCTATAAAGTAACTGAATAGAGAATTTGTAAATAATACATGATATATTAGATGTTATTAATTGTAATGTTATTTGGCTTTGATATGCTTTATTACAGGTACTTTCCTTTACTTGCTAAACAAAAACCTGGACAGGCAGAATATGATGTCTTGGCCAATACATTTGCCCTTCTTGCCACGAAGGGTTTAACTGAGTCAACGGCAACTGTTGTTATAGATGTAGCTGCTAATCTGCTCAACACTCCAGACTATGAAGAGTCAGACAGTCTTTCCCCCTTATTGGTAAATGATTGTGTTATTGCTGACGCCCCTAATAACAATGAAGGTAAGAAGGAAGCATAAGATTTTCACTGAGCTCCTACTGTAAAGTTTTTATGCGATTAACATCTACATTTGTGATTACTTTCAGGGTCTCCAAGCACTGGTATGAAGCTGGTGTTAGCACATGTCCCTGCAATTCTTCAGTACCTGAGTAAAAGCATGTTGAATTCAGAAAAGATGCGCAAAAAGAAATATAGTGCCCAAGTTAGCAAGGAACTCAATATCCTTTCAAAGTAAGTCAGATTCATATTCTACTGTTCCTATACATGAAACCTAAATCTGAGAGTGATTTTAGTACTTTAATTGGTAAAGCCAATATCTCTCAATGCACTGAATGCGCTGTATTGACGTATAGAGGGGTGTTCACATTGCAAGGGACCTGCCTGTATATTGAAAGTCATTAGCTGAACCATGCCCTGCTATGCTGTGCCCCCGCTCCTTAGTAGAGTGGACCTGAAGGAGAACTTTCTTTCAGGTCCTTCCTCTGCTGATTGACAGCAGGCAGTGGGCAGGTGCAATAGTCAGCCTGCTATTGGCTACTGCAATTTGAAATAGCCAATAGCAGGGTGGCTATTGCAACTGCCTGCTGTGTTTATATTCAGCTGTCTCAGTGCTGAAGTGGAAAGGACTGTCAATTGAAGTGAGAAAAGAACCTGCCACCTCCAATGTGCTATCAAATAGGGGGCTTATGAGGCCCCATGTGATAGCAATAAAGCTAAAAAAAAAAATCATACCCAATTGGGTTTTCTTAATTGAATATTGGGTACACAGGATTAATTCAGGTACATAAGGTTATACTGCTGCCTGGAGAAGAATGGATATTGGCAAACAAAGCTGTAAGTACTGCCCAGTATAAACCCTCCCATTAAGGATCCACCTGATGATCCAAATTCATGGTCTTCTAACTCTTTTTCGGATGCCAAGACCTTCCCTTTACTCTTTTATTGAGATAACTTCCTGTTTTTTTTTGTAATGAAATTAGACTTTCTGGACCTTCCAATCCTAATAGACAACATATTACTACTGTAAATAATGTCTATACTTTCAGGTATTTCACTGATGCTCGGTTAAAATCACTCCTTACATCCCAGTTTGAGCTAACTGGTATCACTGTCCGTCCTATTTTGACTGTGATTTTACATAGTTGCATAGTATTTGAGGTTGAATAAAGAAATAGGTCCATCGAGTTCAACCTTTGTGTGTCTATGTGTGGGTGTGTGTACATGAGTCCCTGTGTGGTCTAGTCTTTAAGAGTACCTGTACCCTTGTATGTTACAGTCTCTGAGGAAGGTATCTAAATGCTTTTTGAATGATTCAATACTCTCTGCTGATACCACTGCTTGTGGCAACGAGTTCCAAAATTTAACCGCTTCTTTTGTGAAACTATGTCTCATTGGATCACATTCTTTAACAATTAGTCCTCCTGGTCCGAGACCCTCGTGTTTTACAGCTTGTAGCGCAAGTGCATCATGTTTTGCACTTCTGCTTTATGGGTATTTTAGATCTAAGTTAGGATCTCGTCTAACAATGATGTATGCATAGAGCACTCTGGTTATGTACTTGGAACATTGAAGATACATTCAAAGTTGGTTTTATGCACCTTTTGTATGTCCAAGCCTCCTGATTCTGACTTTGTGGGCTCTCTCCCATGCTGGAGATTCTTTGATGTACAACCCTTATTCTACAACATAACTATGTCAGGCTTTTTTTTAATCTATTGGTTCTGTTCCTCGAAAAAGATCTGTGTCTGCCTCCCACTCTAGTCACAGAAGTTGTAGCCATCTACTCTTGCTTGAATAATTAGCACTTCCAGTTTTGTTGGTGAGATTTTGCTTTTACATCTTATTGGGTCTATTGACATTTGTTTCTTCCTGTCAGTTTGCATGTCCAGGCTTCTCCCTGTGGCTACCATTTTTTTACATTGTTTTTCAGGGATGCTGCAAATGATTCTTATGATCACACAGTTTTGTGTGTTTGGAATTTCTTTTTAGTTTCTCTTCTGTAGCTAACCTCCTGTTTCTAGCAACTGCTTCTAAGCGAATCCCCTGCTGTTTTTATTGTAATCTTACAGTGGCTGCCAACCCACGCAGCAAATTTTGAGCCGCATGTAACCGACTTTATACTTTTCCTTTTACATTGTATGTTTTCTTTTCGGACATTTTTTCTTCTTCCTTGGTTAACCAAGGTGCCTGCTTGGTCTAGTCTACTTTCTTCTTCTTGATGCTATATTGTTCCAGCTAGATTTTAGGTATACAGATAGTCTATGATTTTCTACTATTCCTTTTTCCCTAAATGGATGATAAAGAAAATATAATTTTTCTACTTTTTCTTGCATTCTATTGTAAGACAGGTCCTGCTCATTTAAATTGTTGTCTCCATGTTTTTTGTTCACAACACAAGACTGAGGCATAATGGCTGGATTTGGGAGTCATACTGTGGACTGGCTTAACTTTTTTTGTTTTGCCAGTGTCGTGAGCTGAAGGCAGCAATATAATCTTAATTTTATGATTTTCAAGGAAAAGATTTTACATTAAAATAGTAGTAAACGCTCAAACGTAAAGCATTGCTTTAAAATTTTTCCCAAACACAATTATTATGTTTCTGAACAGCTGCTTCTAAGTCTCTCAGCCCAGCTTTCCTGAACTTCCTGTCCAGTACACGATAACAGAGGTACAGAGCAGAATCCAGCAATTGTTCATCTACTGGCTTGGAAAGGGGTTGAGAGGGGCAGGGGGGAGGGATTTACTGTATCTGTGTGTTTGTGGAGACTCAGCTTACTAGCACACACAAGGGTGACTGCATAGCACTTTGCTTGAGAAAGGAATCACTCTAAAACAGGAAGTCAGGACCAGTGCACAAGGGATCAGCTGATTCTGCAGGAAACTAAAACGTTTAAACATCAAGGAGCAGCATCCATTGTTAGTGATTTCATCAGTATTTGAAATAGCTTAAAATCCTTTTGACTTTAATATTACTTTTAAGTACAACATTCTTGTTATTTGTATTTATCCTTTTAATAGCCGTAATATGTGTTTATTCTTCTTTTATTTTCAGGATTAGCAAGTTTATTTGGGACAAAGAACAGAGTAATGTGCTTATTGGGCTACTTATATCATACTTACATAAGAGTAACATAGCTGAGGTAAGAAATATTTTATTTGTTTAATTCATCTGAGCTGGTATCACACAGGGCTCATTTTACTCTTAAGCTTCCTATAGACATTGGCCAGCAAATGGTCCAGTCAAACACAGCTGTTCTATGGTCAGTGTTTGTTGAATGATTAAAAAATATTTAAACCGAAAAGTATTGATTTGCTTTATAAGGATTTCATATTCAAGTTATCCTGTGGCTTGCCATTGGGGATTTCCTAATATTAGTTGCCTGGTTGTCTGCCTAAGTACTTTCTTTTCTACGACTCCAGACAAGCATGCAAATTAGGAAGTGACATCAGTTCCAGATCTGCATACTTATTGCACATCAGTGTCTCACAAAGTGTTTAAGACAATAAAACAGAATGACAGTCCGAGAGCTAGAATTTTCAGGAGGATAGGTCAGCAATGGCAGCTTCCATATTTTCTTGCTTTGAGTTTCCTTTAAACAAAGCAGTCATGCCAGAATGTATGTTTTAGAAAGTAGAAAAATACTTAATAAAAAAGAAAACCCAATGTTGTAATATTTAATTCTATTGTGTTAAAATTATAGGATACAGAGGTTGACATCCTGGCAACAGTACAAAATCTACTCAGGCAGTCTGTGAACCCCACAAGTTTCTTGAAGCCATTGGGCAAATTATTTGCTGTAGTGCAGAACAAGCTCTCCCGGCAGACACTTTGCACTACATTTGAGGTACAGTATGTGTTTATTGTCAATGTATTCATACAGTCCCTTTCAGTCTTGAAAGACTGTAACAGCTAGTGCAATATAGTTACTCTTGTTTTTTTCTTTTAGGTCCTGTCTGAAGTAGCTCCTGAGTTACAATATATCACTGATGTTGCTGTTAAGGTTTGTGATATTTTTTTAAATTTTTGGGCCATTTTCTTAAATTACTTATAAGCAAACTTTGATCATCTTGTGTTTTTTTATCTCACAGTTAAATGCATTTGATCGAAGGCATTTGGATGATATCCACTTCGATGTGCGACTAACCGCTTTCCAAACAGCATCTTCTCTTATTAAAGACATGAAGGTGGTTGATATGAACTATATTTTTCCACTCATGCACAACTGTTTCTACACCATTCGGGTAAGTGTTTACTAATTTTCTGCATTCATTTTATGTTCATCTGTTTATAGCACTGTTTATGAGTACTCCCATCGTTTTGCACTTTAGAAGCAAGTCTTTACAAGCTCTGTAATAAATCTGTGCACACTTTTAAGATTATCTGAATTTAATAGGACAAACCGTGCTCTTTTGCACCAAGCCGCACCCTTCCTGTGGTTATGTATAATCATGCAGGTTAGGGATACCGGTATTGGCGTCGATGCTGATAATGGGCATTTTCACAAGTACTCCCACAGAGCCCCCTGAGATCCTCCACTGGAGACATCAGGCCGGCACCTCAGAGTATGTAGCTTCATATTATTCGGCATGGATATATAATACATTGCTGGGATTTGTAGTCCTCGATAGCCGGTTGCCATTCGGCATTGCTGTATAATGTATTGCTGGGATTTGTAGTCCTCTATAGCTGATGGTATTCTGCATTGCTGTATAATGTATTGCTAAGAACTACCAGGGATGCGGCAGTTGCAGACTGGGCCCCAGCACTTCACCCCTGTCCTAATATTAGTCTGTATTGTTTTAGAGAAACTGTCACATGATACTAAAAAAAAAAAGTATCGGTAATTGATATCGGCGAGTGCTTGAAAAACTCGTACGCAGTGAGAAAATTGATCTATTTTTTATCATAACGTGTGTTTTGTATGACAACATAACAGAATAAAAATGTTTTTTTTATTTCAGCTTGGTGATATGTCCCTAAGTGATAATGCAAGCCTGTGCCTCACTAACATAATGAAGCTTCTGGCAACAGTGAAACACACTGAGGCGGAATTCCGTGAGATAATACAACGTACCCTGCTAGAGAGCATGAAAAGTGGACTCCGAAGTAAAGTGGAGGTATGGTAGGGCAAGCAGACACTTGAAATACTGCTACCCAAGAAAAGTAAAAGAGCTTGTTTTTAAGTGGACCTGAACTCACCAAATAGCCAACCAAATATAAGATAATAAGCATACAGCGCTATTAATCCCTATTGCACATCCCCTAAAATTAAACAAGTGAATAAATGTAAAAGAAAAACAACAAATCTACGCTCCCATAATGTGCTACCCAAATACTGTGTAGATATCACACTGATAATCTTGTATATACAACACCCAAACGTCCAGCACTTAAGCCCAATATAGGGTAAACTCCTCACAAAAACAAAGTATTGCACCATCACTTAAGTCTTAATGTGACATACACAACATCAATGTGAATTGTGAATATAAAAATACATATGCGTGAATACAAATTGCAAATATCCCCAAAAAATGCAAAAACAAAATGTCCTTAAATATAATGTCCAAATAAAGTGCAAACACTCCAAACAGTGTGACCACCAATGCGTCTTCACCTGTGTTTCACCAATACGTTTGGTAATCAATTCACCAGATACTGTGTGACCCCGTATGGAAGCAGGTTTTAATGCACAAAGTAATTCTCCAGATGTAACCATTCAGTCTTCAGATACTGTGAGGCCCTTTATGGAGAAATATCCTAATGTGCAGAGTAATTCCCCAAGGGTAACAGTTCAGTCTCTTTCCACAGTATATATAAACCATAGCTGCCATCCCGTCCATGCGAATTGCAGATGAACAATTTAGGCTAATTCTACACAGTGTTCACGCTGTTACCCTCATACCATCATTCATTTTCACCAGAGGCATAACTAGAAACTTCTGGGCCCTGGTGTAAGAAACTATGAAGGGCCCCCCCCAAACCCCCACCGCTGGGAAGGCACTATAAACAGGCACCATGTGGTTAACAGGAAGGCTGCCGAGGTCCCCAGCAAGCATGAGACCTCAGGCAGCCGCTTCAGTTTAAAAATGTAGTGCCGATATCTGCGCTTAGTATTGGGGCATTTTCACGAGTACTGGTGCATCCCTACTTGATATAATGTATTGCTCGGACATGTAGTCCTGCATAGTTGGTGCTATTCTGCATTGCTGTATAATCATTATACATATTGTTCTCATATTGTTATGATATGATCCCATTCAGCTGATTTGGATATCAAAATGCAGAATAATGCACCCAAATTGCAGCATGCAGGACATTTTCAGAACACATTGCAGCACATAGTAGAGTACTGGTCTAATTGGAAATGGTGATATTAATGAATTTTGGTTGCTTTGTTAAATGCAGCAAACCACGTGGCAGTGTAGCCTTTGTTATGCCTAATAAACATTTCCTGTATTTACAGAGTGTTCAGCAAGACTATACTACTTTACTTTCTAATTTGATACGGACCTTCCCAGAGCATCCTGAGTTCTCAGACTTGGTTCAACTCACAGATTACAATGATCCCGAGATGGACTTCTTTGAGAACATGAAACACATTCAGGTAATTATAATGTAGAGATGTATTTTTTACAGTGAATATGATACCTGTGAAAAAAAAAAAAACAATGTCTGGCTATTGAGAGAGTAATGTTTGTATGTTTATTCCCTTAGATCCACAGGAGAGCCAGGGCATTGCGGAAATTAGCCAAACATATTACAGAGGGAAATCTGGTGATCTCCTCCAAATCCCTCCAGAATTATATTATGCCATATGCCACCAGCACTATATTTGATGAAAAAATGCTTAAGGTGTGTTGCCATCATTTGTTGTTTTTTTCTTTTCTTTTTGTCTTTAAAGGGGACTATGTTGGCTTTGGTTCAATATTTATTTTTTCAGTTTTGGGTTTCTACATTTTTATTTTATATCGGTTTTAATATATTTATCATCTTTCTTTTAAATAACATTTCATATGTGACAAAGGAGTCTTTACTTTCTAATCATTCTATCATTACTATCCGTTATCCAGTTTACAGTCACTTTTGGCTAATTAAACATACGATACTGAGCCCTCTGATAAAGGAAGAGTCACTGCTGGGATAACGCTTTCTGGTTCTGTTGGGCTTCTCATAGAGTGGGAAGCCTAAATATGGGAGTATATAAAAAAGTAGACAAGAGCTTTATCTGCTGGCTTTATAGAAGACTGGATCATAATAATTTCCAATATTGAACTTTTTAGTTCCATAATAGTGACCATAATTGAAAAAATATGTAATGCTTATTATTGTGGTGCTAAATCTTGACTGTCAGTCCGTCTATATAAAATGTTTCCCTTCATTTTCAGCATGAAAATATGGTTAATGCATCAGTGGAAATGATAGGATCACTTTGTAAAAATCTTCCTTGGTCTGCCTACATGTATCAGTTAAAACATTTTATTCATGTGCTTCAGACGGGACAAGTCGATCAAAAACTGGGTGTCAGGTACAGTCTATAGAGAATTATTATTTATTTTCCATAAAGATTTGACTTCTTTATGTCAAACTCAGTCTAAATGTGTATACTAGGTTCTGCTTGTCCTGGAACCACAAATAAGGGCATATGCTGCATAAGCTGACAAGAGCCACTAAATGCAAAACTGTAGCATTTTATCATTCTTAACCCCTTCATGACTGAGGCCTTTTTTTTTTCATTTTTTGTACCCATGTTATATTCCACATTTTAGGCCTGAAAATTACTTAAACCCCCATGTATATGCATACAGAAGCTGTTAAAATAAATACATATATATATGCCAGGAAAATATCCCCCACCCCATTACCTGACCTACATTTGTGCTACTTTACAGTGCAACATGTTAGAACCTAGACCCAAAGGGGACAGTCCTGCTGTACCAGGTATCTCCAACTACAATCCAGTAGTGGTTCTGGTGATGCTTACAGTACCCCAACTGAAGACGTGACACTGATAGCATGAAATGCTGCCCTCTGCTTAACCCTATGCCATCCTTGGAGTCTTTTCTAGAACCATGGCCCTCCCCTTGGTGTTATCCTGATAAGATTTTCAATTATGTGGATATTTATTTGCTGACACTGGCCGCAGAGTTCATAATTGTGCTTCCATGCTTTCTCCTCAGTCCTTAGCTGATCTGTCCATGGCATTAGCAGCCTCTGTCTGATGCTGAGTCCTTAATAGAAAATGTTATACCTGAGGCGTGGCAGGCTGCCATTGCTTATAGACTTGATTGATGTGGTTTACAGCACTTTTAAACTCAAGTCTGCGGCTTCTACAAATACTGCCTGCTGCCTTGGCTTCTTTGGATCTTAAGACCACCAAGATCTTTCTGGTATGTAAAAAGTGACTGCTTCATATGCGCTTCAAGGGACAGCATCTCTTTGGAGCGGATTTGGACACCCTTATCAAGGATATTACCAGGTGCAAGATTACTCATCTGCCCCAGCAGAAGAAGCCTAGGGCTCAGCCCGGTAAGGCGTATCACGCTTTAGAGGCCAAGAAGAGTCCTTTTTTTTTACAGGCGTAAACGTCAAAATCCAAGCCTGGCCCCTAGTCCTGGACTTCTGAGTCCCACAAGCCATCAGAGAAATCTTCATCATGAAGGAATGCCCCTCTTTTCAAAGTGGAGGATGTCTGTTAGCCTGTGTGAACACTTGGTCAACCTACATCTCAGATGGCTGTGCACAGAAAGTGACTTCCAGGGGCTACAAGCTAGAATTCCGCTCTCAGCCCCCTCCTCAGTCCCCTCCTCAGTTTGTCTTCCGAGTTTTCGTTGTCACCACACAGATTAACAGATCTCCATGCAGTCCTGGTGGGTCTTCTGAAACGGGGTCATCACCCGACTATCTGTAGCTGATTGGTTCCAGGGATTATACTTCAACCTGTTTACAGCACCCAAATGAGAAGGGGCAGCTGCCCCATCTTGGATCTCAAAACTCCAAATGTCTATATTTGGGCCCAGAAATTACGTATAAAAATTAGGAAGCAGGTTGGCCATAGCCTTTCTCATTGAGGGAGATTTTCTTGTTTCTGTGGCCATCAATGACGAATATTTGCATGTCCTTATCTTTCCAGTGCATCAGAGATTCCTTTGCTTTTTTGTGTGCCTTTAGTACTTTCAGCTTGTAATCTTGCCTTTTGGGCTGTATTTTTTTTCTTGAGTGTTCATGATGGTGCTGGCTGGCCCCTATACTAGCCTTGTTTCATTCCCAGGGCAATCCCCATTGTGGAACATCAGCATGACCTTCTATTGAGGAAGCAGTTGGCACAAGTTCTTGCTGACAATGTAGATTGAACAGCAATTGTTGAGCTGTGTCATGAACTTTAAGAAGATAGCTGGAGCTGACTCTGCATGGAATACCTTGGTCCAGGCCTATACACTGATCAAGCCAGAGTTTTTCTTCCACAGGAGAAACTTAAAATTGCTCCCAGACTTGGACTTTTCAGTCTTTTCCGTCTCTCTCTGCATGATAATTATTGGGTTGATTGTAGCCTTTCTTAAAGTAGTTTTATTTACCCAGTTGCACTCCAGATTTTACAACAAAACATTCTGCCGTTGTGTGACATTGGATCAGTCCATGGACAGACCACTTCGCAATGGAAGACTAGGTTGTCTGTGGCCTGTTTGCTCAGGAATCCTGCTCTGGTGCTAAGAAAGCCATTCCTTCCAGTATCCAGGAGATCCCCATGATGAATACCAGCCTGTCAAGCTGGGGAGGAGTTCTGGACACACTGTTGAAGCAGGGGACAGGAATGTCGGAGGATTCTCAGCTTCCGATCAACATTTTGGAACATCTGGTGAATTGGTTGTCCCTGCAACGCTGGAGGCTCTGGCTGTTGGGTCATCTGATCAGGATTCAGGCAGACAGTGCCTAGCTGTGGCACGCTTCCAGCATCAGGGAGGGACCAGATGTCTCTCTGCGGCAAGAGAGGTACAAAGGATTCTGTTGTGGGCATAACTTCATATTTCAGCACTTGGACCCAGGGTAATGGTCCCTTTATCCAGAGGTGCCCCAGGGCCTTTGTTACAGGTGGAGGACACTGGTTGTGAACCTTCTGGCCTTCAGCTTTAACAACAAACTGGACAATTTGTCTCCAGGTAACTTTGACCCCAGGAACTTCCTGGTCGGACAAATTCTGTTTTTTTTTTTTACAAATGTGCTTGGATAAGCATTTTGCCCTAAGTACCATCAAGGGTCAGGTCTTGGCACTTGAGATCTTGTTTGAAGAGTGCTAGCTTCCCAGTCTATGATTAAGACCTCCATACATGGTGTTTCTCTTTGCTGCCCCTGTGCGATCCCCAGTGACTCAGTGGGATCTGAACTTGGTTCCCATTGGCTCTTCAAAACCATTTAGGTCTATGTGGGATATTCCCCTTTCCACTCTCACCCACAAGGTTGCTTTCCTTGTTGCCATTACCTCAGTGAGGTGAATGTCTGAACTGGGAGCTTTATATTTCAAAGAGCCTTTTCTGGTCTTGGTAGTGTTGTCCTTTCACCTCAACAAGGATATCTTCTGTCCCTCTGTCTGGCTCCAATTCACCAGAAGCAGATCTTCTTCCAGTGTCTGGATTTAATTCATGCTGTGCATGTCTGCCTCTCCGCTGCTGCTTCCATTAGAAAGACTGACTCTTGAACTTTTCGGCATTAGGCTAGTGTTAACCAGATTTGAAAAGCCGCCGCCTGGTTTCCTGTTTACCAGGTGGATGTTCTGTCCTGATCTGATGCCAGCTGTGGGCATTAGGTCCTTTAGGCCACTCATTGAGCTGCAGGCAGTACCCAGTTTTGTTGTTTTGCGCGCTTTTTAGTGTTTTGTTTCTGTTGCCCAACCCTCAGTTGGACTACTTTTGGACAACTCAATATATCTGAATTCCTGTGTCCCGTAGTAAATGTTAAAGAAAATAGTATTTTTGTACTTGTAAAATCCATTTCTTGTAGTTCATTTAGGTACATAGGTTGCATCTCTCTGAGTCTATGTTCATTATTTTGGTATTGCTTTTCTCCAAAACTGAGAGATGCTGGGAGTAAGGTGGGTTATGCTAGGCTGGCCACCGTTTTTGTAATATTTTTGTTAGTGTTCAGTTCCTCCTGTAGGCGGCAGCAGTATATCCCAGCATTCTCTAAATTGTCGCTCAATGAACCACACGATAGGAGTTTACGATAAGTAAGTTCCCATTGTAGGGATAATTTTCCACATAATTGCACATAATCTGCTATCACAAGTAGCCGTGGACCTGCATAAAATTATCTGAAGGAAGAGCATGATGTTTTTGGCAGTGTACAAGTACAAATCTTTGGGATGGTCAAATGCATTACATAGCTCTTTCTATAGACAATGTCTTGAAATAAAGCATATATGGTGAATAATAAAAAAAACTGTTTCATATGATAGACATATTAAATTAACGGCATATTACTGAATGAACTGAATTTAGAAGAATTATTTTAGTGTGTTTATAATATATGAAGCATATGAGATATTAAATTTATTATTGTAAACAAAGTCTAGTATTGTATTATTGTACTATTGTATGGCTATACCTACACGGGAAATGTTAAATTCTTGGCTGAGAGCTTTAATGATTTCTCGACAGTCACTTCCTTTGCTGGACTCTAAAATCATTGTGCAGCTAATGCAATGGTGGCAATCACCTTGATTAAATTTCTTATCTGCAGGATATTAAATTTGCCAGTGTAGCTATAGTGTAAAACCACAAGCATTTTTTATATGTATAAAATATGTATTTTTCCTGCTTGAACAGAATGCTGGTGACTGTACTTGATGCATTTCACTTTGATCATGCCACTCTGGAGAAGCAGCTTCAAGAAGCCAAAGATTGTGAAAGTGAGTAGACAAGTCTTATATCCTCGTTTTACATTAGTTGGACTTTAGGCTGCCTATGTTAAAGATCTTCATGCTAATAAAAACTTATTTTATAGTTTGTAATATCATTGGTTAGCTTTCAGTATAATACATAAACAAGCAACCCAATTTTTCTGTTCTTGCTTTGAAGAGATCCTGTCAACTGACAATTCATTTCAACAAAAATCTTCCCTGAAGATTATATGTGCATTTAAAGCTGAACTCTAGGCAGACATAAAGACATGTAGTTCTTTAATCATTAATACGAAATGTAATGTATTTTTTTTTAATCCAAGCATTGTAAGCACCTGAATTTGACAGGGGTATCAGCTTCTTTCAGTCCCTGTACAGCAGGGCTGGAGTGAGAGGAAGAAGCAGCACGTGGAACCAAACGGTTCATATGCTGACAGGAAGCACGCTGATAGGAATAGAAAGCTGAGTGACAGAGATGAGCTCTTCGCTGTCTCTCCTTACACTGTCCAGTAACAGGCTGGGGCGGGTTCAAGATGACCTGGGCTTAGAGTAATTGGGTTAAGTGATGTTGGCCATCAGAGAGAGGACATGTAGCAGCAGAAAAAAATACTTCATTAAAAAGGTGTTCTCTTGACTTACATGCACAATAATTGAGCACCCTCTGCAGTGCTAGGTTGTCTTGCTATCATTAGTGATTTGATTCAAAGACAAATGCAGAAAGCCACTGATAGTGTAGGAAACAGATGTCCATTAAATCTTGACAGTCAAACACCAAATCAGCTGCACCTAGGGCATTCCCCACCCCGCAGCTTCACGAAACAAAGGGTTGTCCTGGCCGCAGCTGATAGAGGGGGAGGGTGTGTCACTGACAATTGTGCATGGGCTGTGGTGAACTCCAAGCCCACGCACATTTCTACTGCTATACTGTAGAATACATTCTGCTGTCTTTCTACCTAATCTTTTTCCTGAACATCACCTCCTTGGGACTTCCTTTTCCCATTCATCAGCTCACAGAGCAGACTAACCACAGCAAGTGTGGAAGGGCTATAAGTATTTGTGTATCTTGTTACACAACTGCTTTCTTTTATCAATCAGATAAATGAAAGACACAGGTAGTCTTTAATGTTCAGGTTATACTGCTGCTTACAGAATGATTGGGAAACTGGCAAACAAAACAATTGCAGACCAATTCAGGATAACCCCTCGTACTACCTGCATGCCTCAGTTTTTTGCTAGTGTCCTAGGAGTATGGACGTTTTTGTTCTTTTTCTTTCAGCTATGCTGGGATAAAGGCTAATCTATTTTGTTGGTGCATCAATTTTTTTCTTCAATCAAAATAGGATTACTTTAGCTGACAACAGTGACTGTGTTCACAGTTGCATAATGGACAGGAAGAACTCTTAGACTGTTGGCTTCTTTCTCTTGCATGAAGACATTTGGACAGGGAGTCCCCCATATAATTCCACCATCTGCTTCCCTATGACTCTGTGGGATCTGAACCTGGTTCTCTCTGCACTTTAGAAACCTCCCTCTCTTAGAACCCATCAGAGCATTATTAGCATTCCTCTCTCTACCTATCCACAAGGTGGGGTTTCTTGTAGCCATCACCTCTGCCAGGTGTGTCTAAACTGGTGACCTGTTGGTCAAAAAAATAAACCCTTTATGGCTTTCCAAAACCATCTTGTCTGATGTAGTTTCCACCTTTCACCTAAAACCAGCACACTGTTCTTCTCTCCCCTTCTCCACCTCCTGTTCACCAAAATAACATTTCCCTCCACTGGCTATGGTTTAGGCTGTGCAAGTCTATTTCTCAGCCACTTGCTTTTTAAGGAAAACTGATTCCCTTTTTGTCATGCAAAATGGATCCCAGAAGGGTGCACTGACTTTTCATTCCATCATCTCTGACTGGTTAATGTAGGCCATCATGCTCCCGATAGTTAACCCAATATCGGGGCTTCCTGATTGACGAGGGAGCATGGAGTTGGCTTCCCGGCCAATCAGGAAGCCAGGGGGCGGTTAATTACTCCCCCCCAGCTACCCGCCCCCTGGCTTCCTGATTGGCTTCCTGGCCCCCTTCTTGGCCACTTGACGAGGGTGCTGGCTTCCCGGCCAATCAGGAAGCCGGGTGGCGTGTAATGGCTCGCAGCCCAGCTTCCTGATTTGGCCTGGAAGCTGGTCAATCAGGAAGGCAGGCTTCCCTGTCACCTGGTAATGAGGGAGTATGGAGCTGGCTTCCCGGCTAATCAGGAAGCCGGGTGGCCAGTCATAACACACTGGCTGACTTCTTTAATGGGACTTTCGGTATCGGCAAGTACTGGAAAAAAAATACCCAAAAACCGATATTGGTGCATCCCTAGTTTTAAGATTTTGGGTTCCACCTGTTAAGATCCACTCTATTCAATCAATGAGTACTTCATGGGTTTTTTGGCATCCGGCAACTATTTACCAGATTTGCAAGGTTGCCACCTGGTTTTCTGTTTACAGGCTTTCTAAGTTCTACCATGTCGCTGTTTGGCCTCATCTGTGGCCAGCTTCAGGCACAAGGTCCTTCTTTTGGCTCTGTTAATGACTGTGGTGTTTCCCACCCCTCAGTTGGACTGCTTTTGGAAGTCCCAAAGGTTAAAAACTTCCTGTGTTGCTCAATGGACAAGAAAGAAAGTAGGATTTATGTATTCATCATCAAATTATGTCCATGAGTCATGCTGGTAATAGCAGGAATAATTCCTGGCTGGCCTACAGTTTTTTGTTTGCCAGTGTCTAATCCTCCTGTAGCTGGCAGTATAACTGGAGGAGAAAGACTTCCTGTGTCCTTCAATGGACTCCAAGAAAAGGATTTTACGGTGGTTACTAAAATCCTATTTTATTGTTTGTAAAGGTTCAAAGAATGCTGAGGAAGATATAGAGGATGAAGTAATGGATATAGATCAAGAAGAAGAGGAAGAGCAAATGAACACTCAGGATAAGGAGAATTCCACCAATCAGAACCCATCTGAAAAGGTTGATAGTAGTCCAAAACAAAAAATAACATTGAACTCCCTCCCAAGAAACAAGGAACAGCTGGCATCCCTTATAACTCACATTCAGGAGACAGTAAAAGGCAACATCCTACCAAAGCTGCAGAAGTGCCTAGACGCCAAGGTTTGTGTTCTCTGTTTAAATGTAGGTCCAAGAGGCTTAAAAACTAATTTGATAAAATACATATTCATCCTATACATTGATTAGGATAAGATCAATATATAGAATAGATAAACATAGATAGACTTTCAAAAGTTTCCTGTGGAAAAAACTGTAAGATATTTATTTTTGTGACTTAAACACTTTGACGTGAAAATCCTTGGTAGAATTCAGATAGTTATATTTCTTTGTGAAGACTCACAGATCGAATGTAATACAGGTATTGGGTATTGCAGCTTCTTTTACATTAATGAACTAATACGTTTTAGATTGAAACATCGGAACAAGTATCCAGAGTGCCTGTGTGTTATTTAAGTCTTCACAATCTGTACAATTCTTAATGTATAAGAGAACAGTTTATTTTTTTTAATTAATGTAAAACTGTTAGTCTGTCGTTTCTGGGTTTTTTCATATATGCCTCGTGGGATTGTTTAACCTTCCCATTCCAGATTCATAAATGTATACCTAGTAATTTAGATTTTATAATGGTTTGTGCAGGTAAAGAGAGAAGACGAGCACAAGTTGGTGAAAAGTAAAGCTGTCAATGAAGAGGAAGTGGTCCGTGTCCCTATAGCATTTGCCATGGTGAAACTAATGCAGACACTTCCACAAGAGGTGATGGAGGTCAATCTGCCCAGGTATCCACAAATATTTTTCATTGTAGGGCATGCTGAGCTGCTTGAACCAGCCAGTCTTGTTGCACTGCTCCAAGCTCACTCATGTGATGGACTACAATCGCAATACAAATTAGTAAACTAAATGTGAGATTGTAGTCCATCACGGGCGTGAGCTTAGAGCCATGGGGAACAGTAGCCACCCTCCAGAAGGAAGGACAGTGTCAGCACAAATTCAGAGATGATTTGAGTATCTACAGCTGAGTGATGCACAAATAAGATAAATTTTTGTTAATAATTAAGGTACTTAAATATAATTTAATTTTAAAATGTAACTCCTGAGCTTAGTGTCACTTTAAAGTGTCATGGGGCATAATTAGAAAAAAAAACAAAAACTAAAAAATACGTACATCTCTGCAATACATGCACATTTCTCCATGCTTTATCCCTTAAAATACTCTGCAAGTACAGTAAAAAACCTGTTATGTTTGCAGCTTCTTTGTGGACTTTTGCTAACCACTAAAACCTTCCCACTCTCCCACCTCCACAACATAGACTCCAATCATTCTGTAGCTCAACATAAGAAATAGGAACTAACTTCTTTTCTTGAGATGCCACGGAAGTGTGCACAGGATACAGGACAGCTCTGAATTTCTAACAAGATCAATGGGCATTTTTTTTGCACTTATGGCAGTAATATAAGAAAACACTTTAAGGCCCGATGAATGTGGGCCACCTGCATTAAACACAGGAGAAGTTATCTGGGAAGTATAAATGGCTGTCCCAGATCACTGTTTTCCTAGCTGGGTAAAAACAAGTCCCAGGCCACAGAAGATTTATGTTTATGGAAACACAGTTAGACGTATTCTACCTAGACGCTTCCAAATGTCTAGGTGTGCATTCAGCCATTGAAAAGGAATACATGCTTCCAGGGGTCTTTAGAAATTAGCTCTAAACCCCCCTAGAAGCATATATTTCAGTTTCCATGTGCATGGGGCCATAAGAATATATTTAGCAGACCAAAAGAGTCTACATAAACTTTAGGTAGAAATGCATACTTGTTTTATTCCTTATAAGCTAGAAGGAATACGGGATTGGCCAACTCCGCCATCAGACTTTCTTTACGTACAGTAAGATGTAAATAGGCTGTAGGCATAAGGCTCCATGCACAAAATGTTAACAGCAGTCTAAGTCATTTGCAGTTATGTAAGTGTAAATTTCAAATTTTATTGGCAAGTTCAAACTAGTTTTCTTCTGAAAACTACTAATCTCCACACCTCCTACGTAATGGAGATGAACACACAGATAAAGTGAAGGAGTGACAGTAGCCACCCAGGGACAGAAAATATGTTATTTGCAAGGGAGAAAAAAGCCTGAAAAGAAAACTATTGCAGCCACCACATCTAAGGACTGGTAAGCTGCAATGTGCTACATTTCAGCTTTGGGGTTTTGATACACTTTAACATTTATGCTTCTCACTGTTTGGTGGGAGTAAAGTTTAAACTTCGATAATTCTTGTGAACTTTCAATCTGAAAAAGTGCAGAATAGGACTTTCATTTTGCCTTTCCTCTTGCTTTGCAAGCATCCTAATAAAGGTCTGTGTCCTCCTGAGAAACCGAGCTCAAGAAATCCGAGATATTGCAAGAAACACTATAATTAAGATTATGGAAACACTTGGGCCTCGATATCTGCATTATGTGTTAAAGGAGATGCAAACTGTTCTAGTAAAAGGATACCAGGTAACATTCATTTTAACACAAAATATGTTGTTTTGTATATTTTCTATGTCTATATATCTGTATTTTTTTTTATCCAACACTAGGTTCATGTGCTGACATTTTCGGTGAACCTGATATTGAAAGGACTTACTGCCAATCTGAAAAGTGGAGACCTTGATGGCTGTATAGAAACTTTGATCCAGGTAAATATAACCATTCTCGGAATGAGACCTAAACAGGGAGGGTACACTCTTCTCTATTGGCCTTTAACCAGAGCAATCACCGAAAATTCAGTTGTAGCAGTTTGTTGTAAAATATGGCAGAAAAGTTGTGGTCAGGGTACCAGATGCAGGAACAGGATATCAGATTACCAGATATAGAAAATTGAACATACCTGGATAACACAATCATAAACAAGTGTTAAAAAGCCCTACTCTGTTTTCATGGCAGGCTCAATGAGCGATGATCTGTTGGTCATTTTATCAGCTATGATTGCCTTCTTTTCATCCACAGAGAGGCTAACGTGGGGTCCCTTTAAAATACCAACTTTTTAGTAGGTTGCATTAATCCTCACTGGTATGTAAAACCCACATTGTGCTTAAACATACTGGATTAGTTACACGCATAATGATGTCAGTGCATGGTAAGAGTGTGATGGCAATATATTATTTTAAAGAATAAATTATTATTAACCTTGGCAGTGTGGCTACCCCTATACTGCAAGAGTTAGGTGCTTGTTTTGGTCTAGGGAGGAAAATAACAAAATTATACTCACCTGTACCCCGGAGCAAGCTTGCTCTTAGACCACTCCCTGGAGTCTCTCTCCCGCTCTGCTACAGCGGTCTAAAGTCCCTGAGTCATCACATTCTATACACAGTGTATAGGATGTGAGGACACAGAGGGACATTCCTTCACTGCAGTGGAGGAGGAGACAGGCTGGAGGGAGCGCTGTCACAGCCGACCGCCTTAAATATTGGGCGAGTATAGCTTTGTTATAAAGTATTTTCCTTCCTAGTCCAAAATTAAACGTTAACCCTTGCGATGCGTGTGTAGCCTCACTGCAAGGCTAATAAAAACATTTCCCAGGAGTTCTGCTTTAACCTTTTCGCTACCAAGCCCTCCGGAAAGCGAACGGTTTATTAATAGCTGTCATCAGTGGCTTTTCAGTTGCTGATTACTATTAATTTACAGAGGACGGTCAGGAGAACCCTTTTGGTATATGTTTATGGTCGCTGACCATGAGCTTACAGCAGAAGGGTGAAAACCACCGACGTAAGCCTTACTGACTTGGCCACCTGCAAGCGGTTGTGTTCCGCCGGAAGCCTTACATCGATGGCAGGGAAAGGGTTAAACTATGGAACATTGTATGCATATACATGTAAATTAGTGCCATTATGAAGAGTACATTCCATAGACACAACCGACACAGAAAAAATAACATTGCAAGGAATCAAATCACTACAAATGTGCTCAACAATGACTAGCATCCCAAAATGTAGCCTTCCCAAATCCATGCCTGCAGAGACAAAGCTGGGAAGATGCTTTTTTTTATACATACAGGTGAAACTCGAATAATTAGAATATAGTGCAAAAGTAATTGCAGTAAGTGCTGCAAAAGGGGCCCAAACCAAGTACTGAGTACATATGCATGCTTGTACTTTTCAGAGGTCCGATATTGTTCTATGTACAATCCTTGTTTTATTGATTGCATGTAATATTCTCATTTTTTGAGGATGTGGATTTGGGGTTCTTGGGGTTTTCATGAGCTGTAAGCCATAATCATCACAATTCTGACAAATCACGGCTTGAATTATCTTGCTTTGCATGTAATGAGTCCTATCTCATATATTAGTTTCACCTTTTAAGTTGCATTAGTGAAATAAATGAACTTTGCACGATATTCTAATTATTCGAGTTTTACCTGTATCTATAGACAATTTGAAGTGGCACATTGTATTTGTGACATCAACTTAGACACAAAACAGATGTTTAACAGGTGCAATTTGTATTCCCTGAAGATTTTCAACAATGAGCTTTTTGGAGCCATTGCAGAGGAAAAAGAAGTGAGAGGGATCGTCTCTAAAATAATGGAAGCTCGAAGCAGCAAAAGCTACGATTCTTACGAACTGCTCGCTCAGTTTATTGGGAAAGACCAGGTTGTAAAACTGATCCTGCCCTTGAAAGAGGTAAGACGTTTGTAACTGAAAAAGCTTGCCTGTTTCAGTCTTAAAACAGAACTGAAGCTATACCATATATTTCCTCATTTGAAAAATAATGATTTAAAGCTGAACTCTTGCCAGATATGTACTTATTAATATTAATGTGTAAATCTCAGAACTGGCAGATCTTGCTGGAACACTGGAGGTGGCTCTCCTGGACCGATGCAACTCATTTAAAAAAGATATCTTGCGACACTGCCTAGTGGTGATGTGTACAGCCATATTTAGGCACTAGAAATCAAGCCATTATTGACCCATGGGCCATGATTACGAATGATCTGACCGAGATCCTGGTGGATGGTGACCTGGACAAGTCGGACTCCTACACAAGAGTGGTGCTGATCCTTGTTCTGAACCTTGGACGCCCCTTGCCTGTCTATTGAGTTGTTAAGATTGTTTCCCTCCCTCTAGTTTACATGCTACTGCGACCCCCCTCTAATTTACACGCTACCTGCGATCCCCTCTAGTGTACGCGCTGCCTGCGATCCCCTCTAGTGTACGCGCTGCCTGCGATCCCCTCTAGTGTACGCGCTGCCTGCGATCCCCTCTAGTGTACGCGCTGCCTGCGATCCCCTCTAGTGTACGCGCCGCCTGCGACCCCCCTCTAGTGTACGCGCTGCTTCTACAGACTTTGTCCATGTTGACCTCTACATTCTCCCAACCCTCTTCTCACAGATAAACCTTCCACCTAACTGCTCTCTGCCCTCCCCCCCAAAAAAACTGGGTATAATTTGACTACTTTAAATGTGTTTGGCTGATCTCTCAGATGATCCAGGAGGTGGACACAGGGTAGTGAACCAAATATACCAGTCCTAATTTTTTACATTATTTATATATTTGGTTGTTCGTTTAAATTTGTATCTTTTTCCCTACCAGGTACCCTTTGAACCTTCTTTTTTTTTTCACCATCCCTCTCCTCTCCACCCCTAGCACACATTGTCATGTTGTATAATCTTATTTAAAAAGTTTAGTAAAACTTATTTAACCCCTTCATGACTGAGCTTGTTTTTGGTTTCTGTTCGTAAATGACTGACACACTTTTGACATTTTTGCTGTGTGATTCTTCCACGTCAGTAATATACTTTCTTACAAAGTGCACCCACACATATTATATATTGTTTTTTAGAGGACAGATAGGGCTATATATTTATATCACATATGTGTGTCTAACGCCTCACTTAGGACAAATACAAATTAAAAAAAGAGGAAAAAACGTAAAAAAAAACTTTTTTTCCCAGTTTTGATTTGTAGTATTTTTTTTTAACAAAACCAGCACAGCTAAAAAAAAATGCAATACATACATTCATTTATTTGTCCCTTATTTTTAATTTTTTTACACTTTTCACTATTTTTTTAAATTTATTTACACTTTTCACTTTTTTTATACTGACAAATTTTATTTATTTAATTATATCAGGCAGTCATTGTGAATTAATCTCACTATTACTGCTTGATAAATTAATACATTTTTTTTTATTATCAGGCTGCTTCAAACTTCAGAACAGCCGATAATAAGTTAGTGACACTGATCCTGCAGCAGTTCAGGATTCAGCTGTCAGTGAATGTTTCAGAAAACTTAAACATTCTACTTTCAAGAATAGATACATTATGTGTCTAATACATAACATTTTGTATCTATTCTTGAAAGTCAAAAGATAAAAAAAAAAAAGCCAGTATAGCTTGAGAGAGATATCTCTCGATCTATACGAGCTGTCAGAATGCCCCAAAAGCCGACATGTGTGTCTGCTTTGCTGTGACTCTCAGACACCCGATATTAAGGTATCGGGTGTCTGAAAAAGGTTAACCCTTTCAGTAATGGATCTCTAGATAGTTAGACATCTATTACTGAAAGTTAACCGCTGATTCTCAGCGGTTAGCAGCCTTCTAGTGCAGCAAATAACTCGTCACGTACAGTGTACGTGACGAGTCATTTGGTCCCTTTGTGGCTGGACATACAGTGTATGTCTCCCGTCACGAAGGGGTTAATGGAAAAAGAAATCTGAGAATTGAATGAACAGCAATACAAATCCTTTGGCAGGTAAAACAACTCCCATATAGGTTTTTTCCTGGTTATTTACCTGTTCAGCCTGAAGTTCAGCTTTAAGATTGACGTATGGCTTCAGTTTTCCCGTTTTTTTTCTTTCTTTTTTAGTATTTAAAGATATTTTTTATAGCTGTTCAATGAGCAGAAAAATATGTTTCCTTTTAATTTGCAGATTTTAGAGAAGACAACAAGTTTGAAGATTGCTCGCAAAGTGCATGAAGCTTTCCGTAGGATTGTGTTTGGTTTAGTAGCCAATAAAGATATGTCGGCAGAATCCATTCTTTTACTAAGCTATGGTCTGATCAGTGAAAACCTTCCACTCCTCACAGAGAAAGACAAGTAGGTTGTTTTTAAAGCGGTTTTCTTCTTACTTGTTAACGGAAATCACTCTAGTGTTACCTCTTTCAATCATGCTGTTGGCTGGGCAGTTTCACAGAGTTGTGCCTTCATTCCTCAAAGTTTAGCAGTAGTCGCACCATGGTTATCATAATCTTAGCTCTTACAGACCAACAAATCATTATCAGTGGTCTGCAAATGAATTTGATAACTTCAGGATTGCTCATGTCAGGTGAGGCTATGGATAATTACTAAAACAGGTTCATTATGTGAATCCGATCTTAAGACTTGTTGTAGCCTCATTTGCTTAACAATCTACACTATAAAATGGTAGCCTGTCTCTATTATCTAATTTATAAATAATACAGAATAAACTGGAATCCCTTTCATGATGACATGGTGGGCATGTAATGTCAGTTTTATGCAGACTTGCATGTAAGTGATAGCGACTTCACCAACAGAGTTTACATAATACAGGATATTAAGTGATGTGTCTTGAGAAAGATGTACTGAGCTCCATCAAAACATTGTCTTTGGTCACCCCCTACTAGTACCTGACTGTTTTGGGACACCACTTGCTTCTGAAGTGTTGATCTGCATACTTGTTCTGAATCAGTTGACCTAAACTGTTAAAGCAGCTGTATCAGTATGACATCCAGACAACTAGCATTTGCAGAATTTAGAGAAAAGCAGTGGAAACATCTCAGGAATGGTTTCTTTTAAAGTTTGATTCCCAGGATGCAGAGTATGATTTGACTGTTTAGATAAGCATTTTAAAAAGGTTAAATTTATGTCAGCAATCTTGTCCCTAATGTCCAGCTTTTTGGTCTTGCCCATGGTGGTGAGGTGTGAATGGAAGAAAGAGATTCTGTGGACAGGTGTCTTTTATATACATACTGAGTTGTCGTTAGGAGCAACTTCTTAAACTGACAGGACTAATCTGTGTACCACATAGCCACTGTGCGAGCCAGAATTATTGTTGGTTGGTAGGGGATCAAATACTTATTTTACTCACTAAACTGCAACTCAATTTATAACATTTGTATCATGTGTTTTTACGGGATTTCTGGTTGATATTCTGTCTCTATCATACAAGATCTGCATTGGATCAAATAATTTCCTTACTGTACCTTATTATACTCTTTTCAGTTCACTTTTCTTTTCCTTTTTTTTTTTTTCTTCAGTAATGTTCATGAATCCATTAGGTTGAATATTCCGTGCCATGCTTTATAAATAATTTGTTATCAAGTTTAAGATCAGACTTTGTGGTTGTTTTTAATATCCTGCTCATGCACATAGATAACTCTTATACTTCCAAGCTCCCAGCACACATGGACCAGCATTTATATGCTTACTCTACCTGCCATTTTTAGGGAGGGAGTAGTTTCCAATAGTATTTATTTTACTATAAATATTCCTAACATTCTTTTCTCTTCCTTTCAGGAATAAAAACACAGAAATGCTCCCTCCAGATCCACGCCTTCAGCCACAGAGCTGTTTGATAATTCAACCCCCTCCTCCTCGTGGGGGTCGCAAAGCAGCTGTCAGCACAAAGACCAACATGCACATTCTTGTAGATACTGGACTCAAGGTTAGTGACAGGCAATACAAAGGTTCTGCTCGTCTCTGAGTGTCTCTTTAACTTGGATCTTTGAAACATAAGGAAAAATTAATTTTGCATTTGGTTTTAGAATCCAGTTTTGTGCCTGGTTAGGCAGCCTACATAGCGGCCTTCACAATAAGTGCTCTAATAACAAAAACTGCCCATCTACTTAGTACACGTTCTGATAAAAGGCCAACATATCTCTATTTAGGAAATTAGTTCTTCATTCTTACATTAGAAAAACTTGCTATCCCTATACTCTGTGGCTTTGATCAGGAGACCTGCAGGTCTCCTACACACCAGCCACGCCATTCAAGAAATGCTTTGTATTTTTTGGTAATGGGTTCATGAAATTCAAAGCATTCAGTGAATGGACAAAAGAGAGGAGGGGAAGGCAGTTTGGCTGCTATGTAAGAGACCCAAAGGTTTCCTTTCGGAGCAATGGAGTATAGTGATATCTATACTTCCAGGCATCAATTAAAGTGTTGATTGGAAATATCAGCCAGCGAACAAGGAGGTGGCATACACCTCATTTGTCTTAACTTTTGGAACCAAGCTGCTTTTTAAAACACTTTTCCCTGGAGTTATTTAAAGGAGAACTATGAGGTGAATGAAAATCGCTCATCCTCATAGTTCGAGCCGACGTGTGACAATAAACTGTCACACGTCATCTCAATAGATCGGGAAGTGAGCAAATGCATACCCTTGCTCTCTCACTTCTCGATCGTCTCCCTGCAGTGAGCGGTAACTGTCAGTCACGGCTCCCCGCAGGGAATACATGCTCTGATCTTCCAGCGCTGACTGGAGGAACGGACGGGGGAGGGGGCGGGTACAGCTGGCTCTGCCTCTAGATAGGCAGAGCCTGCTGTCACTCACGCAGCTCGGTGGATCTCGACAGTAATGTCGGGATCTGTCCCGGCTTCGGTGGTCTCCAGTATACCGTGAGCTGCAGCTCGCTATATACTGAGCTTTGGGTCACCGGAGGATGCTAGCATGTCCTCCTGTGACCCTTAAGAAAACTATGGGGAAAAATACTTACCCCATAGTTCTCTTTTAAGCCATCAGGAATGGTTTGTTTATATTAAAAAGTATCAGGTTAAATGCAGCATTATTTCCTTTTATGCATATCACTGACAAATACTGATCGATATTACATAGAAGAGAAAGTTGCAATAGCCTAAGAACATTTGACAAGAAGAGGGAATACTCATCAGTTTTGCCACATTTTTACAACAGTTGGTTAATTTGCATGGAACAAATGTACATGTAGTTTCACTGGATGAATAGTTATGCAAATGTTTATATAAATATACCTCATAGTGTGACTACATTCCACTACATCTTAATGGGGTGAATATAGTAATTGGAAATAAAGACTTTCAGTGTTTAGATCTTTTGCCAATGTATTTGTGTGTTTCCTTGGTACAGCTGCTTCACATGGGTTTGAAAAAATCCAAAGTAAACTCTTCTGAGGAACATGCGCTAGAAATGCTGGATCCATTTGTGCAGATACTGATTGGCTGCCTGCAGTCTATGGATGTAAAGGTGAGGATATGAATATATCTTGTCCATCCCATATGTTTTATTACAAGCAGTATTCAAGTAGGATTATTGTGTGCTTTGAATGATTCATGTTCCTCTGCCAAACTGCACATATGAGATCACTCTGCTGTGGCCTCGTTCATCTTTACAGCTTTGTGTGTTTATTTAGTAGTTGTGCACGTAGCTGTGTGGCTGGAGTTCCTTTTTGGTATCAAGCTCATAAAATCTCTGTATAAGTGTGTGCCAAATCAGAGGTGTGAAAATAAAAAAAAATACTAAAATAGGGGTCCAATCTACTTGTTCCTCGTAACAATCTATTTTGTGATGCAAAAAATAGTTTTAACCAAAACTGCATTTAACCGTGCTAAGAAGCGCTTCTCATTGGTCAACACCGTCGCCTGGACAGCAGTGCGGGGTACAGATAGTACACCTGTAGCCGTGGAGGGAAAGGACTTCTTGCCTAAAGGTAAGTATAGCAGGGAGGGAGAGGGGGCCAGATTTGAGTGAGTAATTCCATTTTCCCAAATTACTTAGGAAACTGAACTTACCCTGTAACTCTTTCGATGGCACGGACGTATCTCATGCATTGGTGGCAGCGGGCCCCTTTAAACAGATAGCTGACGTGACTATTTACAAGCAGGCTGCTACAAGTGATCTGGGTGGCTCAGATCACTTGTACAAAACAAGCACCAGCTCCCCTGCTCTACATTTAGCCATGCTTGCCTGCAGCAGGGCTAAATGTAGAAACGGACCACCTGCCCGGCGCCCGGAACTGCATGTCCTGGGTGTTGGTCGATGGCAATCCCACACCCCTGCAATTTACCTGAATAAATATCAGTGCATTGAAAGAGATTATTGGGCATTTTCTGCACTTGTCCAACTCTTTTCGGACATTGTAGTACTTATGAACCTAGTATCACTACAGCACTGCTTAACGTACACTACTAAAATAATTAACATAGCCTTAAAACATGTTCACATCAGGGAGAGCAGGCATCACTTATATCGGTTATTTTGTTTAATCATTTTTTTTTTAAACACCATCATGTGATTTAAAGTTTAGTTTCTTCCACTTTGATTTACATGAATTACTATAAATTATAATTTAATTTTTTTAAATCCATTTTCTTGTGATGCTTTCAGGTAGCCTAGTATTTATCAAAACATCTTGTGCCTGATTTATAAGGTTGCAGTAATACAAAATACGTCTGTTAAATGGCATAGCAATCAGTGATAATAATGTGCTTCATTTATCGGAAAGGGAAAAGTATAACTCTTATGTATAAATGGTTATTTCCATTTTGTTTTTGATTCACAAAAAACCTTAGGTGGAAAAGAAGGTACTATATACTTCAGAGGGTTCTCAAGGACCTCTTTTCTAGATTACAGGGCAGAGGTTAGCATTCTGCCTGGGGTCGCACATAAATGCATGCTGCTTTACTAATGGCACCCCTTCTGAGGTGCAAGTAGCCACATAGCCCTCAGCCTTTTAGCACTGGTGTTTTAAAATGGGTACTCTTTATTTTTGACAATCCACTTAAAGCAACCATTGCATGCTGAAGGGCATATAGGCTGGTAAGGGCATTATGGGGGGACCTTTATGTTTCCCAGACCTTTTGCCTTGGGGGTAACAAACCATATACTTTGTGTGCCAGGATGGTGGATATAGTGTAATTTTGTTTTCTTTACAAATGAATTGTGAATTAGCAGGTGGTATAACTTACCCTCACATGCATTTGCATCCAAAGAGAAGTTTGTAAAAGAATGATTTACTGAAAAATTAGAAGCAGACTTAACGAGGCGAAAAATGAGCAGCACCACGTCTTTGCCAGTAAAAGGTCCTGTGGCAAATGAAAAACAAAACAAAAAAAGCCCTGTCATCAGTTTTGGTGACAGATTCAGGTAGGTCTTAATTGTGCCACTTCAGAATCTGTCGCTCTGGGTGTGACCGCTTTAAAAAGAATTACTACCAGTATATTTTATTTGTTTTAAATGTTTAGCATAACATGACTATAATGTCATGGTATGAAAGATATGAGATGCAACATAAGAGACTGCCAGAGAAAAAATACTGCTGCAAATTTAAAGTGCAAGTAACCAAAGGTGTCTGAACATACTTGCAGCAAAATCCAAAACCCTGCCCTTACCTTTATTAGGAACCGCATGGTAGCATGACCTCTGAATCAGCCATAAGGGCATGGGTTTGAAGGCTGCTACAGGGATGTTCAGGTACCAGTTTTTTTTTTCTTGTTTAAAGGTCCACAGAGTATTGTTTTGGGGGGTATAAGAAAGCAAAAGAATATGTAGGAGCCAAAATATTGTACTCGGGAGCAAGCAAACATAATCTGTTTTGCAAATTGAGATACAGTATATTGAACATTTACCTTTCCATACAGGTCATCACTGGAGCTCTGCAGTCCCTCATCGGGATGCTCAAGTTTCCATTACCCTCTATAGAGAAGAACACAGAAGAGCTGATTAAACAGCTTTTCCTGTTGTTAAAGGACTACGCAAAAGCAGGTGCAGCCAGAGGGCAGAATTTTCATTTGGTGGTTAGCTGTTTCAAGGTAAGAAAAGTGTCATTAGAGAACTCTTCATACAAATATAAGCTTTCACATGTTATATCACTAACCATTTTTTGACCATTTTTACAGTGTGTTACAATACTGGTTCGACATATGAAGGGAACAATTACAGAGAAACAGCTGCAAGTGTTGCTGGGTTATGCTGAAGAGGATCTGTATGATTCTACACGGCAAGCCACTGCATTTGGTTTGTTAAAGGTTAGTTCCCCTATCGGCTTCATTGGCCAGCACAAGGGATCTACTTTCGACATGTGTTTATTACAATGTAAATCAGCATGCTTCAATTTATGGTGCGTCTTGCAATAATTCACCAACCATTATGTTGCTGTTTGGTGATTTCTATCCTTACACCAGTCTGTCATTTTTCAAACAAGTAAATCCAAAATAAGATTGCAATGTTGTAATACTGGACAGGAAAAATGTATCTATGCTAAAGATAAGGAGTGCACATCATTTACTTTTGATTTAAGTTTATTATTATTCCATGAAAGCTGATTCATCTGAATTTTCATAGTGTTTCTGTATACATATTGAGCCACTGATCACATGGTTCAGTGCTGTGGTGCTCCAGCCCTGTTGCCATGTGGATTGGTGAAGCTGAACTAAGCTCAGAGAGATATTAATGCTCAGAACCAGGGATCGTGGCCCTGAGAGAGTAGAAATACCGAAATCTATAGTGATATTTCCTGCAGCATAGCCTGTTATAGATGATGCAAGCTAGGCTAACTTAGCGGACACATTGACTCCTCTACGTCAATTCAAATGCAGTTTATATTAAACACAATCATAATGCTAGTATTACTTCTATGGTTGTGTGCCTTTTTATTTTCTTTTAATCAATGTATTCCCATGTCGTCTAAATACACAATACTGAAATGTAATGTTTTGTTATTTTTAAAGGCTGTTGTATCTAGAAAGCTGATTGTTCCCGAGATTGATGAGGTCATGGAGAAGGTAGCAAAGTTAGCAGTGACCGCCCAAAGTGAACAAGTGAGAGTTCATTGTCGACAGGTGAGTAGACAGACTACAGCTGTATACATCAAACATTCTTATGTTCTTGTTCTCTATTAAAAAGAAAAGAAAAAACATTGTGTATACAGAAATATTTACAAGGCTAAAGCATTCCCATAAATGAAAGTACTTAACACAAGCTGATGGTCCAAATAAGGTGTATATAGCTTAGTAACACCAGCATATGCACCGATCAGCCATAACATTATGACCACCTGCCAAAGATTGAGTAGGTCCCCATTTTGCCACCAAAACAGCCCTGACCCATCTAGGCATGGACTCCACTGGACCTCTGAAGGTATGCTGTGGTATCTGGCACCAAGACAGTAAATCCTGTAAGTTGCGACGTAGGGCTGCCATAAACCAGACTTGTTTTTCCAGCACATCCCACAGATGTTTGATTGGATTCAGATTTGGAGGCCATGTCAGCAAGTTTTTGTGTTCCTCTAACCATTCTTGAACCATTTTTATATTGTGGTATTATCCGGTTGAAAGAGGCCACTGCCATCAGGGAAATAACGTTTCCTCTTGGTCAGCAGAAATGTTTAGTTAGGTGGTGCATGTCAAAGAGACATCCACATTATTGGTAGGACCCAAGGTCTCCCAGAAGAACATTGGCCAAAGCATCACGCTGCCTCCACCGGCTTGCCTTCCTCCCATAGTGCATCCTGGTCCCATAAGCAACGCACCTGGCCATCCACATGATGTAAAAGAAAATGTGATTCATCAGGCCAGGCCACCTGCTTCCATTGCTCCATGGTCCAGTTCTGATGCTCGCATGCCCACTGTAGGCGTTTCTGGTGGTGGACACGGGTCAGCATGTGCACCGTGACTACGGCTACGCAGCCCCATACGCTAAACACTGCGATGCACTGTGTGTTCAGGCACCTTCCTATTGGAACCGGTATTAACTTTTTCAACATTTTGAGCTACAGTATATCTTCTATTGGATCCGACTACACCGCCCAACCTTCGCTCCCCACGTCAATCAATGATCCTTGGCCGCCCATTACTCTGTTGCCGTTTCACCAATTTTCCTTCTTTGGACCACTTTTGTTAGGTCCTGACCACTGTAGACCAAAAATATCCCACAAGAGCTGCAGTTTTGAGGTTGCTCTGACCCAGTCATCTAGCCATCACAATTTGGCCCTCTTCAAAGTGGTTTAAATCCATACGCTTGTCTGTTTTTTCTGCTTCCAACACCAAACTTCAGGGAGAAAATGTTCACTTGCTGCCTAATATATCCCACCCACTTACAGGGGCCTTTGCAACAAGATAATCAATGGTATTCACTTCTTACTGGTCATAATGTTATGGCTCGTTGTATCACCATGTGCGTTCTCAAAGTAACCTGTTCCAGCTATTGGAGTCTATGGTATTTAAGTATTGTTTTTTCATCCTAAGTCTTTATTCTCCCATGTCGTTTACCTAAGGCATAATTCTCTGTTTCACAGTTTTTTTGATTTGCTTACAACATTAAATAGGTTGTCTCACAAATGTCCTTCCAGATATACCTGAAATATTTGCTTGACTATCCTCTCGGTGATAAATTGAAACAGAACTTGGAGTTTTTGATTGCACAACTAAAGTAAGTTGCATTATTTTCTCCAACCAGCTATTCTTATTTTCATGTGATTTCGTATAGCAGCTGGTCAAATTCTAGCCTTTTTTTGTGTTGTGTAAAAAAAAAAACAGTAAATATCTGATTGCGGTAAATATATGTATATTTTTTTTCTGGATGCCAATTTTAAGGGAGAACTATGAGGTGAGTGCTTTTCACTCACCTCATAGTTCTAGCCGACCTGTGACAATGAGACTGTCACAGGTCGGCTCAGTAGATCGGGAGGTGAGCGAACATATACCGGCATTCGCTCACCTCTCGATCCTGTCAAGGCTCTCTGGATTCCCCCCTCCGATCCGCCAGTGCTGACTGGCGGAACGGATGGGGTAGGGGGCGGGTACAGCTGGCTCTGCCTCTAGATAGGCAGAGCCAGCTGTCAGTCACGCAGCTGGGCGGATCCCGGCACAATTGTCGGGATCCGCTACAGCTGCGGCGTCTCAGTATACCGCGAGCAGCAGCTCGCGGTCTACTGAGCCTAGGGTGACGGAAGGACGCTAGTTTGTGTCCTCCCGTTACCCTAAGGAGAACTATGGGGAAAAGCCTTAACCCCATAGTTCTCCTTTTAATTAGTGCAGACAAATTATTGCATAAATATGGCACAATTATGAACCCATTTACAGCTTTGATATATTTTAGTTGACTATCTTCATTGTCTGCTAGATTAAAATAAAAATACTGAAATAGGAAAAATACTGTGGCTTCCATTGATGAGAAAATTGTAATTGGCTGTCATACGAATTGTAATCTCACTAACCTGGAAGGTGTATAGTAATAAAGCATTCTGACTTTGCTGACTGCTTACTCTCAGAAGACGACCAGTAATTACAGCCTACATATTTCTCTCACATAGGTCAGGTTAGTGGCATCTTGTAGCTGGACAGTGATAAAGGCTCTAGGGACAGTTGCAGCGGCTATAGACATTGAATTAAATGTTTGCATGGTTCCAATACTCTTAATTTGTGCACTGAAATGAATGCTCCTATGATAGCAGTGCACATGTCTCAGCACTTAGCACATGCTTCTAGTACCAGTTTAATTTTGGGGAGACCATAGCTGTCAGCCATAACTCTTAATAGACCCATTCTCAATCTTGATTGATCTGCCTACTGAGGCGTGCCCATGGGGAATCTGCATAAATGGGCAACCCTTAACCTTGCTAAACACCACTGGCTGCCCATAGGCAATGTTTATGAATTATACCACTAAGGGTCCTCTAGTTCATTTTTGATGCCATAAAGCAAACATCTGCTTTGCTTATTTCAGGGCAAAACAACAAGTTTGCTTTATTAACCAACTTCCACCTGTCATCCTAACCTTTCCAAGCAGTATATTCTTACTTTTCCTATGGCCCTCGCAATTTTATTTCTCCCTGGGAGCAAAAGAACAATACCCAGTACTCCTGGGTATAGAGAAGCATGTGTCTTATTCCATGTGAGATTGCTTGGCCAGTCAGCACTGTCACATGGGGTGTCCATAGCCTTGTGTGAGCTATGACTTTGGTAACTTGTAGCTTACAGCGGGCTTTGCTTTCACTGGCAGCTGAACTGAGCCGCTTTGGAGTAAAGGGAAGTTCAGTGTATGAGTTTGTGAAGGTCTGCATTCAGGTAAACCTGTTGCTTTGCATGGACGGAGCACAGATCCACTTTGAGGAAAGATATTTATTTTCAATATGGCAAGATTTACAGCTTGTCTGCACAGAAATGTTTGAATCAGAAAACAGTCTTATGTCCTTGTTCATCTGCATTGGCTTTTATATTTTGACATTTTACAGTTTTGTGTCTTGACTGTCCTCACACATCCAAAGGCGTACTTTCAAATGAGTAAACAAACAGTATTTTTGTTTCAGCCATATCCCCTCTGTACAAAGTTTTATTAGACCACTTAGCACTATGATTCACTTAGGGAATACCTTTTATATTTAATTGCTAAGCAAATAGGTAAATGTCCGCATGGATATTCACAGAATCAATTCATTATGTTTTTTACTGCAAAGTCAATTATGTGTAGAGTTTAGAAGCAATTAGAACACATTTCCTGTTGTTTATTGTTACTGTGCAAACAGAAAAAGGTGTGAATAATGGTGCGTGCATGTCCATAGCTACTGATATGGCTCTTTCTCCTCTCCTTCAGTAGTGGATATGGAAGAATTCTGGGGTTAAAGTTCAGCCTCTAGGAAGTTGGATAGGAAAGGATAGAAGTAGGGCTGCAACAACTAATCGACATAATCGATTATAATCGATTATTGAAAAAGTTGTCAACTTTTTCAATAATCGATTAATCGGCTTCAGATCAGTTGATTGAAAGGTTCACTTCACTACTGGCTATACTGATCAATTGGAAGTTTAGTAATCAGTGATTAGCTTACTGCTTTAAGAGAAAATGGACTTCTCTTCTTAAAAATAAAAATTAACTATTTGATTGGATATGGTTTTAGTCCAAATCTCCTAAAACCAGCACTTCGAGGTAGCAGTGTCTTAGATCTCTCACTGCGGATATACAGCTATGAGGTCATAGGCACAGGAGTGCCTAGGCAGCCTCACATACTAAGCAAATGCTGTTTTCTAGGAAGCGTTCCGGGCTAAATGTACATTTTCGGGCACAATTAACATTTCCTATAACATCACAATTCTTTTCTTTTTGAATTTGGTTCTACATTAAGTGTTGACCCGTTATATCAGGTGAAAATGTAGTTTTTGAGGTTAAGGGTTAAATTACATTTAAGTCTGGAGTTGGGGATTAGGAGGCTTACTATAAAGATGAAAGTTAAGATGGGGATAAGGTTAAGTGTAATGAATACATAAACTCTAAATAGGTTTTGGTTTCCATGGCTAAGCAGCTGCATCCAAGCCTTACATCACCAAGTGCAATGCAAAGCGTCGGATGCAGTGGTGTAAATCACGCCACCACTGGACTCTAGAGAAGTGGAGACGTGTTCTCTGGAGTGACGAATCACGCTTCTCTGTCTGGCAATCTGATAGACGTGCCTGGGTATAGGGGTCGCCAGGAGAACGGTACTTGCCTGACTGCATTGTGCCAAGTGTAAAGTTTGGTAGAGGGGGGATTATGGTGTGGGGTTGTTTTTCAGGGGTTGGGCTTGGCCCCTTAGTTCCAGTGAAGGGAACTCTTAAGGCATCAGCATACCAAGATATTTTGGACATTTTCATGCTCCAAACTTTGTAGAAACAGTTTGGGGATGGTCCCTTCCTGTTCCAACATGACTACGCACCAGTACATAAAGCAAGGTCCATAACGACATGGATGAGCGAGTTTGGGGTGGAGGAACTTGACTGGCCTGCACAGAGTCCTGACCTCAACCCGATAGAACACCTTTGGGATAAATTAGAGCAGAGACTGGGAGCCGGGCCTTCTCGTCCAACATCAGTACCTGACCTCACAAAGGTGCTTCTGGAAGAATGGTCAAACATTCCCATAGATACTCTCCTAAACCTTGTGGACAGCCTTCCCAGAAGAGTTGAAGCTGTTATAGCGGCAAAGGGTGGACCAACTCAATATTGAACCCAAAGGACTAAGACTGGGATGCCATTAAAGTTCATGTTCGTGTAAAAGCAGGCGTCCCAATACTTTTGGCCATATTGTGTATGTGTTATCAAACGCTAGATTTAAGCATACCTTGCCATGAAAATTATGGTTATTCCTTCCAATGAATTAAACTTCCAGATGTCGCATCAAATATATCTAGCATCAGGATCTGTAGCATTTGTACAAATGCTAAAGTTGTAAAACGGAAAATATTTTTCCAACAATAAAAAAAACGACATATTAGGAGTTTTGATATATCACAGCAATATTAAACTACCATATTTATTTTTGTCATACAGTGATCCTATTGATCTAATTTTTATTGATACAGCTATGAATATGAAACCGGACGGGATTCTGCCTTGGAATTGATAGCATTTCTCTTCCAGACATTCCCACAAGTAAGACCTTTATTTGTTACAGCTAAAATGGTGTTTTTACTGACATATGTAATCCCATTGGGGAGATTCCCCTCAATTCCTGCCCCAATGACCACACAGGCAGTCGCAGTAAAAGCTTCCTTGCTTTTGTGTTTCATGTGGTATCTTATCTGTTTTCACCGTTTTTTGATTGAATCAATAGTGCTATTTATTAGATGGAGATAGAACCTCTCATTTTTAAAGGAGCTTAAAAATATACAGTTTAAATGATTACAACAATGTTTTCTGGTGTACACTGTCATCAGTGTAATGGGTCCCAGTGCTTTCAGATGGATTCAGAACGGTGGCAATGTCCTAAACATAGCAATCCAGATGGTAGACGGTTATATTTGTGAAACATGTTCTCTTTTCCTTCTTAGGGAATACTTAACCAGTTCTGTGGTCTCATGTTTGTCCCCCTGGCTTTGGCGATGGTCAACGACGATTCTACAAAGTGTAAGAAGATGGCTGCCTTGGCAGCAAAATCTCTTCTAAGCAAAGTCAACACGCAGCAGAAGGACTTAATGTTCTCATTGGCTACCCAGTGGATCAGCAATGAAAAGGTATGCAAATGCAATAGCTGCAGCAGGAGTAACAGTGTATACCAAGCTTAACCCATACCCCAATTGGTTATTTGTTTGACATTTTCAAAGCAATCGCATCCCTACTAAATATTTGGTAATGTTTGGTCTCCTGCCTTTCCTAATAAAAGAAAATTAGGGCAGGGTCTAGACCCCTGCAGGGTACTTACAGGTATCTGGAAATTGAGCTGGCACATCGTACTTTAAGGCTTTAAGAGTCTATCACAAAAAGACTCTGATGGAAACATTATTTCCATGACTCTTATACGACACATTACAGCAGTGACACTAAACATGTTCAGTGGGTGAAGCTGGTCATGCACGCATTGAATTTTGACCGTTTCCTGCTGAAGTTCGATCCGTGGGTAGACCTGTTGGCATCACCGAGCTTGACAACGGTCCATTTTCAACACCTTATAGGTGTGCTGCTTCTCCTTTATTGTCCAGGTAGCAAGTTGGGGGTTTGTCTGGGTTGTCGTTTATCTGAAATTTAGGTCCCAGATCTGTCCTGAGGGGCAAGGGGTGCCTGAACCATGGGACTGGCAAAATGGCATGACAAAACTTTTGGCAAGGAAAACTGTTTATTTACATACACATTGTGTATGTTAATATGTATTTAAACATTGCATTTAGCTACTTGGTTGAAGCTTTATAATTTAAAATCAAGCTTCCACTGTGCAATGTCCAACCCTTTGGATTATCCACACACTTCTGTAGATAATCAGATAGGTGGGAGAAAACACCATTTGAGAAAGGGGCAAGGTATAAAATTGCTAGTTTACTTTCGCAATTAAAGAAGCTGCACCTGCCCAAGCCACAGTGCCCTTAGTAATTACATTAAACGCATTCATTATATATGACTCTTTTCACTTTTCAGTCTGCTCACAAGAGATTAGGTACCCTGGCCTGTGGCTTGTTTGTTGACGTTGAAGGAGTTGAATTTGAGAGCAGGTTGGAAGCGACGCTCGTGACTATTGAAAGGGAGGTTGACCCCTTACAGTTCGAAGATGTGAGTATCTTAATGTCTTCACACAGTTTCAAGAGAGACCTTGCAGTTTGTTGTGCAGTGCTAAATTTTAGTGTGTTTGTTGCAGTTGACAGAAGAGGTAGAAGAGAAGGCAGCTGACAGACTGCTATTCAGCTTGCTTACCCTGATTGCCAAGCTCATCAAGGAGTGCAATATTACCCATCTCCCAAAGCACAGAGAGATTGTACATAAAATTTGTGGTAAGACATTTCTTACAATTTCCGGCGCAGTATTGAACCCATCACTTTAAAGTCTAACGTGAAATAAAATACAAAATGTGGCTGTATATTGGGCTTTAAATTACTTTCAATTTAAATGAAGCAAACTGTGACTACACATTTTGTGATATTAAATTAATATTTACATGTCATTTATGATGTGACCTTTTACATGCTTGTGGTTTCATTTTTTCCTTGTTATATTTCATATGCAGCTTAGTGAATTCTCACTCTACAGACTCACTCTGTATATTAGACACTGTGGTCAGAAACACTTCAGAACAATTGTTGTGATAAGAAATTAGTTACTTGATAAGCCACATAAAGGTCAACTCATTAAGATTCACGATTAGCTTATTATTAGATTATGTTATCTAGATTCCCTGATCATTTTTGTGCATAAGGCCCCTTTCACATGGTCCTATCAGGAGGGAATCTGTGCACTGTTGTGACATTTACGTCTGTGCAGTTTTTTTCCTTCATCTTGCGATGGAGAAAAAACCCCGACATTAATTGGCTCATGTTTGTGTATGGGACAGCTTGATCTAAATGGACAAGTGTCCATTTACATCAGGTTAAACCCAATCCAGCAAGTTTAGGTCCGACGAAACAGATCTCTGATCCGTTTGCTTTTCCAAGCCTGGCAGTAGTCGGTGGGTAACTGGATGGAAACGGATGCCTATCCATTTGCATACAGCTGCCCATAGACTAGCATTGGGCTTCCGATCAGGTCCGCCTGAAAAACTGTCAGACGGACCTGATTGGAAAGTCCATGCCAAAGGGGCCTTAATGTTAAATTAAAAAAACTTAACCATTGCTCAGGTATATAATAGGTATTTTGAAAATTTTGTACGTTCCCATTTTTTAAAAATAATTAATATTTTATTTAATGACACTGTACTTTACTCCCAGGCTGATTTTCCTGCTCTCCTCAATAGACACCTCATAAAACTTTACAGGAGTTAGTGATATTTTAAGGAGTGATAACCTATGTAATTATCTTTGTGAATTGACATATACATTCATCTTTATGGTAACTACACGATTTGGTGTTTGAATGCATAATGGGAAGCTCTGAGCCTGAGAGCTTTCCATGCGCGGCCCTGAAAGTGCTTGTACTGGAATGAAAGTACTCCATCAATAAATGGTCTTTTGTTGATTTCACTTAAATGATGAGCTGGTAACATCCTTTTGCAAACTTATATTTTTTCACGGCGCTATCCGTGGTCACTACGAGCACCCACCAGGTTTTTAAGGAACATCCTATACTGGTAAGGGGTGCAGCAAGACACCTACACAATAATAATTAAGTTTGTGACACAAGCAAAGCACACAAAACATGCCGTAAAGCTTTTGTGATTTTTACCTGATAGAGTTTGCATTTATATATGAAGTGAAGATGGTTGAAAAAATAATTGAAGGAATAGTTTTTTTTATCTGTTAACAACATACAACATTTAAATCAATTCAGTATTTGGTGTGTTCACCCTTTTGCTTTTAAAACAGCATAAGTTCTACCAGTGTTTATATAGGTTGTCCAAACATCTAGGAGAACTAACCAGAGTGCTTCTATGACTTTAGGTTGCCTCAGTTGCTTGTATTTCTTTATATAATTCCAGACAGACACAGTGATGTTTAGATCAGGGCTCTGCGATTGCCATACCATCTCTTTCAGAACTCATTGTTCTCGTCACTGAAGATAGTTCTTTATGACTTTAGCTGTGAGTTTGGGGTCCTTGTCCTGCTGTAGAATTAATTTGGGACCGATCAGATGCCTCCCTGATGATAGTGCTTGATAGAAATGTGTCTGCCTGTACTTTTTAGCATTGAGGAGACAAATCCCATGATCCATGTGCAGAAATGCAGGCCCAAAGCTACAAGGAACATCCACCATGCTTCACTTTTGCCTGGAGACACTCATGCCTGTACTGTTCTCCAGGCCTCTGTGAACAAACTGCATTCTGTGACACCTGCATATTTCAAATTTGGTGTCAGCCAGTCCAGAACCCATGTGGCTATTTTTCTCAACACCAGTTTCTGTGTTTTAATACATAGGGGAGTATCTTGGCCTTGCTTCCACATCAGATAGCTTTTAAGCCACAAGTCTTCCATGAAGACCACCTGTGACCAAACTTTTTCAGACTTTTTATATGGGTGTTTCAGGGTCCCACTGGTTTATGACAAGTCTGAGCTGATGTGCCACTAGATATCTTCTGATTGCGAAGGGAAGCCGGCATGATGTGTCTTTCATATACTGTTTCACTGGCCAGCCACTGCATTTTTTTGTTTAATTTGAGGATATGCTCATAGGGAATCTATAAGTCATCTTTACTCAGTCAGCATACATAACCTATAGAACTGTGTATATGTAGCAGTGCCATGGTGTGGGCTAGAGTAATTGAAGACAATTGCAGGGGTTCTTTGTGCTTCTACAGAAGAGCTTGTTGCTTTGCTCAGTTCTGCCATTGTGCAAGATTACTTACATTAGGCTGTTTTCAGCAACCACTATTTGTTAAGGTGCCCATATACTGGCCGAATTTCAACCGCTGTTTAATGTACCAGCCGAAATTCGCAGTGTGGGGGGCTGTCAACTCCCTTTCAGCCGGCATTCCTCGATCAGCTGATCGAGGAATGAGCTGCGCGCTCTGATCGGGTATTCTGACAGGTGCCGGCAGCACCTGTAAGAATACAATGTGAGCAGCAGTTATTCCTCGATCGACACGCTGTTTGTGTTCATGGAGGAATCGCATCGTGGTTTTTTTCATTCAGCCCACGGGTTGAACGCAAAGAATTCATAGGTGTTTGGCCAGCCTTGGTAGAACTCGACTTTTCTCACCCATTGTCATTCCTCCTACATGGCTGATTCTGTTTGATTTAATGATTGCATTCTAACCTACATGTTATCTTATTGTTCATCAATACCTGTTTGGTATAATTGTTTATTCATGCATTCAACCATATAGCTGCAAAATCTTTTAACGTGTGCAAGTGTACGTGGGAGAATTGATGCAGTTTTAAAGCCAGGGGTGGACACACCAAATATTCACTTGATTTAGATACATTTCTGTTTACGCACTGTGTAGTTTGTTAATTGATAAATCAAAACTATAAGTTTCATTACTTTTGAAAATACCCTCACTTTATAGCATTTGCATTTTTCTTAAGTGCCTAATCCCTAGAGTGGTTTGGATGTTTGCCCACTGTTCTGTTTTATGCCAAGAGTTTTTCCATTACACCTATATATCAGTTATGTTTAAATTATTACAAAATGTGTGTATATATATATACACATACATATATACACACATATATATATATATATATACATATATATATATATATGTATGTATGTATGTATGTATTTTTTTTTTCTCACTATGTGTTGGTAAATGGAAAAATAAACAAAACCGAAAAAGATTTTCCCACAAATTATACAGTAGGTACAGCCTACTTCAAAATGTGAACATCATTTGGTGTCTGATATTTATACAAAAACCTGGATAGAGCAAAATCGTTTAGCCTGAAATTAATTATTTGGATTCCACTGATTACAAGAGCAGGAGTCACACTAATTGCCTTCTGCATGCTTCCCTTGATTCTGGTTTTACAGAGTCAGCACAAGTACTGATAGACAGGAACACAGAGGCTTTACAGAATACTTTTTAATACAGCAACTGAAAGAAAGTGTTAATCTGAACCAGTGAAGAGGCCCCAATAGCAGTACAAGAACTATGTAGAATGTGTTGGGTGTTCTAGTTAGTCATAGCAGTTGGCACATAAGCTAGTGGGCTACTGTTTATAATGTAATGTGTACTGAATAGATTTGATCTGTTTCTTATTCTAGCGCATGTTCAGTCCCATTTGAGGTACCCCCATAGTTGGGTCTGGCTGACAGCATCCCAAATTTTTGGATTGTTGTTTTCCCTTCAAAAACCTGAAGAACTTGTGAATAAATGGATGGGCCAAAAGACAAAGAAGTCAAAGAAGGCCCAGACACAGGCCTCTGAAGTGTACCTAGTGGAAAATCTGGACAGCAAGGTAATCGGATACGTGGTTCTTTCACACAGACATCTTATGTTACTGGACCATAACTAATTAAGAAGGAAAAATACATGTAAAATATAGCATGGTATTCCTGTTATCATTACACAACCCAAATTTGAAGGCATTTATTGCTACATTGCTGTTCTAAATAACAAATGTCTTTCTTCTGTTTGTGTTATAATTATATGATCAACATACAGCCAGAATGTTGCTGCAAAAATGCTGTTTAAATCTAGTTTTCTAAACCAATGCTGTACATTTGGCAATATTAATATTAGAATATTGCATATTATACCTTGCATTAACCTGAGTGTGCTTTTGTTTTGATCCTTTAATTTGATATACTTATTGTTTAATCATTCCATTGTATTCACAGATGAAAGATCTTGCTTTTGCTTTTTGCCATCAGCTACAGTCAAAATTTCTTGACCAGAACCTGGGAGAACAGGTATTTAAAAGAAGGCCATTGCTGACTTCCCCTTCCTAAAATGCTCTAATGCTAACCTTGACCTGGTAAAAGTATGCAGATGCAGGACTCTGCATTCTTGCTCCTGTGCAGTGACTCAATAGGTATTCAAGCCACTGGATCAGAATAGAAGTCCAGACACTAAACTTTTTAAGAAGGAGGTCACCAATTGTATCACCCCTTATATCTATCTTTACAGGTTTACTTTTAGTAAAGCAAAACGTTCAGCCTTGTTAGCTACTGCAATACAGTCGTTCTCAGGAGTTTTTTGTGCATCTCAGTGTCATCTGGAAACTGCAGTGCACTTATTTAGTAAGCCTGGCATGACTTTTTACAGAGAATTCTAGGGCCACTTCATTCACAACCAACAGTACAATAAATGTGAGAATCCTAACGCTCTTCAATGACCAAATTGTGTTTAGTGCTGTGGATTTCTTCTATGCCTGCAGAGGTATAAATGCCACAATGTGTTTATAGTTATATATAAACGCTCTACATGCTTGGAGCATCTCTGTAGTGAAAACAGAGGTTTAGTGAGCTCATGGTCACATCACCCAATGTGCTTCTAGAGACAGCACATACCTACTGTGATGGGAGTGAACGATACCCTAGGAATAGGTGATGAAACTATTTCTCCATGTACTCGTGGTAGGTTTGAGCCTAGGTGTAGGTAGCCTTGCTGTCAGATAACAGGTAAAACAGTAAAAAAAACTTTAGACTGTTTTCTTTTACATAATTAGTGCTTGCAATTCCTAACAATATCATGATTATGTAGGAGATTTAGCCCTGAATCCTTAACCCTGAACATTCCTGTTTTCTAGGTAGTAAAGAATTTGCTGTTTGTAGCCAAAGTTATTTACCTCCTCCATCCCGAGCCACAGAATACAGAAAATCACCCTGAGGAAAAAGATCTGGAAAGCGTTGAGCAGGAGGCTTCTGGAGATGAGGAAGATGCTGACAATCAGAAGGAAGAAGAGAAAGGTGCCACTTTGATGTGGCTCATGAGAAAATTGTCAATACTTGCCAAAAAAGAAGCTGCCCATTCTCCTAAAATTCCTCTAAAAGTGAGTCAGACTGTTTATAGAGGTTTACTAATATTTAGCAAGAAATAGGAAGAAGCGCATAATTTCAACTAATGATTCCATATATATTATATTGTTAATGGGCAGAAACTGATGAATCAATGTTCAAAACATTCTGTTCAATATGATTGCTTGTTTTACTTGTTGAGCTTATTCAGTACTGTGGTAAGATGAGGAAAGTGCAGGATTCCAATACAGCCATTCAAAATGTTTCTCAGTTGATCTCACTGCAGCAAGTTACCTGGCCATATACTATAAGGTTATGCAAGATCCTTGGATAGACAGTATAGGGCAGTGGTTCTCAACCTCTGTAACCTCAGGAGCCACATTTGTCCTTGGTCATTAAGTCGCGACCCAAGTCACGCTGCAATGAAATGCACGGCATTAGGGTACCACGTGGTCCGGGGCGGGCGTACGAACTGTGGGTGGGAGGTGCATTTGGTGTACCATTCAAATACATGGCAACACACCTCCCACACCAGAATGCATGGTAGGTGTGACTGCGTGGTACAATGCAAACATTTCTAATTTTTGTCTCCCTACCTTATGAGAACTGGAGTGGATCTTCTGCTGTGCTGTGATTCATATGTGCATTGCTTGTACAGCTCCATCCATATGTGCATTGCTTGTACAGCTCCTTTGTGTGCCCTGTAGATGTCCTGGGAGGCAGAATGATGCGTCACCCAGGTCCTGGCACCTCTACAGGACACGAGAGTGAGCTGTAAGCAATGCATGTATGGATGGAGCTCCCTTGCGGCCATAGCCTCGTCCCACATCAAGCTGACAATCAGCGCCGGGCAGAATATTTTGAATGGCTGCTTGGCGAGAGAACTGACAGTGCTGCGCTAGGGGAAGGCAGAGGAGCCTGTCACCTAGAAAAGTGGAAGGAATGCGGCGACCCACCAGTTGAGAACCAAGGCTATAGGGTATGTATGAACCCTGGAAACATACTATAAGGCTATGTAAGAATCCTGGACACATAATGTAAGGGTATGTAGAAACCCTAGATGCATGCTATAATGGTATGCAAGAATCCTGGACAAATACTATAAGGTATTGGGCAGGCATATGACATCACTTGAAGCTCATGCTGGGTATCCTAGTCTCTAAGTAACTGGAGGGTAACAGAATCCCCACTCCTCAGACCCATACTATGTTACTAATAGGACTACTAAGGGTCATACTTGATATGAAAAACAGCTAATATCCAAATAGGGAAAATACTAATAACATGTACATTTAGTATAGGGCACTTTGACCTCTATGTATTTGCTATTTAATAGAACGCATTCTACATGTTATTGTAATAGCGTAAACATGCAATGGCACACTATACCTACTGAGCCTCCAACTCTCATGTCCCTTTTCAGATTCTGGAATACTTAATTTGGTTACTGTAATTGAATACAACAACCCTCTTTTGCTGAAAGGAGACTCGCCATAGCAGTAATATATATACCGCCATTGGTAATCTCTTTCCGAAAAAGCTAGTTGCCTGGCTTGTCACTGGCTTCAGTTAATTTCTGAGCCACTGACTTGGAACAATTAATCAAAACTTCTGATTTCATTGGCTGCATACGTGTTCGAGGTTAGTGACTAAGAAAGTGTTGATGTTGAGATTTTTCACAGGAAGATCAGCAGAAAATACGTTTTGATCTACTACTAAAAAAATATAAAATTTCTTTAAAAAAGGAAACGTGCACTGAGAGAAATAGCATGGCTGTCATTGCTTACCTTTCCTCCTGCAAATGCTAGTTGCCTGGCTATACCTATGGCCCGGTACCTTTTGTGTCAATGACCTAAAACAAGTATGGAGATCAGAGTTCTGACTTTGCTGGCTTCATAACTGCTCTGGGAGACCAATTCGGAGAACTGTCAAGCAGCCTGTCTGAAGGAGGTTAGAAATCGCATACAGTTTTCCTTTCAAAATCTCAATTCATTAAGTTCCTTTGGTTTTAGGATGTTGTTCATTAAATAGATAAAAGTTGGTTGTCATACATGTAGCTGTTACTGATTCCGTTGTGCACCCTGGTTTTTCTTACAGAGAATATGTGTATTTAAATTCCTGGGAGCCATTGCAGTGGATCTGGGAAAGGAGAGTGTGAAGCCTTTTCTGCCATCTATCATTGCCCCGCTCTTCAGAGAACTGAGCAGTACCTATTCAGATCGAGGTAAGAGGCCACCACTGGCTGCCCTTGTATACCGCACCAAAATAAAGGGAGAACTATGGAGGCTTCTATGGCTGACCTCGTCTTTCAAAAATCCTGAACCTCTGGCTTCAATACTTTAATTCACTGATCTGCAGCAAATATTCAGTTCAAACTTTCATTTTTGTCTGGATCAGGGACACAAAGTATGAAACCATTGGTGCTTCTGCTCAATGAAAACCATCCTCGATGCCTCTGAGAATGGCGGATGTTATCTGAAGACCCTTTGAAAGTCCAACATATAATGCTGAAATATACCAGGGTTATTTTTAGGGTATTATGATATCTTTATGTAGCCCAGTTACTATTTTCCCCGAAAAATATTTAAATATGGAAGTGAGAATGAGCTAATGGTATTAATACTGGCCTTTAATACTATTGTTATTGGCTTAAAAATCTTCAGTATTTTAATTTAAACCGTATCCAGTGGTTAGTGTAATAGAATACATACATCTATGCATAATGACCCCGGTACTAATATGGCCATATATGGAGGAATATGGAAAGATGGCTGATATGACACCAATTGTGTATGTAACAAAATATCTGTAGTGGGCATACAAAGTATAAAATAATATTATGCAAAGTAGACTCTCAAAGTAAACCTTTGGACAGTGTCCCATTCTTTTCCACTGAGAGTTGTCCTATTTTGGGGCAGGTACAGAGTGTGGCTTCCATTCAGCTGCAGACAGGAAGTCTGTGTAAATCAATATCGGACAGACACTGTCTACGGCTGTCCGCATGTTACTCATGGAGCGACACAGACAAGGACGCATCCAGGGGTGTACATCTGGCCCTGGGACATGCTAGTCTGGAGTGAAATGTATCAAGCAAATTTCCAGTACACTTAGTCCCAAATCAGACTGCCTCTCACGCAACAAAATGTTGGGCAGCCATGTGTGACAGTTTGCAGTTCTGAGACCGATTTACACTCTAAACAGACACATAATTAGGAAGTGGTCGGGGTCAGAGTATATTACTTTAGGGCAGCTAAGGGGGACATTTAATTTTTTTAAAGACTCTAATGCACAATCTGTCTCACCGCCCCTGTTTAGCACTGCTTTTCTGTGCAACAGAATTGATAAACATCCCCCATAAATACAAGGCGAGCAAGAGGGTCTTTGGGTGGTCTGTGTAGACAATACTTATGGGGGTGTAAGGCTAGCCCTCATATTTTCCTTACATGTACTGTATTTGCCGGCGTATAAGACGACCCCCTACTTTTTCTGTTAAAATATAGGTTTTGGGCTATACTCGTTGTATAAGACGAGTATAGCCCAAAATAATGTTTAAATGCACCCACTAACATCCATGGCGGTATTCCCGAGTGTGGCTCGGGGTTCATTTTCAGTACCATAAGCGGTAACCCCGAGCCACACAAGATTACAGTCTCCGTCTTCTGCTGAGTCAATCACGGCAGGCTTTGTATTCATTAATACAAAGCCTGCTGTGATTGGCTCAGCGCGGTATACTGTATGTAGCCGAAGCTTCGGGGGATGTTTTAAGGTCTCAAAACCCGTCTTATACGCCGGCAAATACGGTATGTAGTAAAGGAATGCAGCGTTTCTCACAATAAACTAAAAGAACATCATGAAATGATAACATGATAAAGGTTCATAAGTAACCAACTTACTGCTGCTTTGTATTTTAGACCCAACGCTGAAAAATCTCGCTCAAGAAATCATTGACCTTTTGAAGAATTTGGTTGGCTTACAAGATTTCTCGCTGTGTTTCGCTGGTATACAGAAACAAGCCAATCAGAAGAGAGCCATGAGGAAAAAGCAGAAAGCTCTGCAGGTAATGTTGAATACTGCTAATAAAGTCAAGGTTCTGGTTACTGATACAGCAGATTATTGGGAAGTAATACGCTAAAGTAGAACATGAAGACTGATATTTATAGTGGTCAGTTCTAACTTCTATAATTCATCAGTGTTCTTAAATGACACTCTGCAATTATTGCGGTTACATTTATTGTTGGTGATAAAAATATACTCAGAACACACAGTGATGAAATTCACTAGGGATGCTCCGATACCACTTTAAGACCGAGTACCGATACTTTTTTTTTTCAAGTACTCAGTCTGCAGTCTGGACATGTGCTCACCTATTTTACCCACTAGAGGGATACAAGCCTTAGTTAGTAATATCTACATACGGTAGTTATTTCTTTATTTAATGTCTTTTTTTAAATAATATATGTCGTTAAACAGCATTTTTGTGCCCAGCCCCCATGCGGTGCTGCAGTACTAACCTGCTGTGTCGTCTTCTCCGTCTGCTTCAGCCACTCCGTGTCACAGCCTAGTCATCTGTTCCATTCTGACCTCTTCTCCCGCTGATTGACCGATTGGATGATGACAGGCTTCCTCACCAGTTACTCCTGACTGGTGAGGAAGCCTGTCAATCGGCCAATCAGCGGGAGAAGAGGTCAGAATGGAGCAGATGACTGAGAACTTGGAGGAGTTCGCGGCCATCTTGTTTCATTGAAGACGCTATGGAGGTCCTGTGTGCGGCGGTTTCGGGTCCTCATACTCATGCAAATACTCGGTATTGCCGCCGATACCGATGCTTGTATCGGAGCATCCCTAGAATTCACTAAAGCTACACACAAGACTGCAGCACTTGGTGTGGATAGAACTTTAATCTGCCCATTCACCAGTAGAAATTCATTCGGAAAAAAATTATTTTGATTTTCTAATGTTTAGTAGGGTATAATTAACGTTCGTTTTCCACTGTAGTGATGAGGAAAATCAAAGGACCAGGATGGAAATTATTTTTTTTCTTATCTGAATGAACGAGATTCTAAATGTAACTGTAAAATGTACATATTGTGTAAACATAGTGAAAATAGATGGAGTACTCCGATGCCACATCCCATAAGCAATCATAGACCTTCAAAAACACCAGACTATGATTTTTTAGGTGTCATGCATGTAGAAATGACTGAATATGTATATATAAAACACAGAAGATCACGTCCCCAGACAAACATTGAGGGCGCATCTTCCACCCTGTTTTTCTGGGGACGTGATCTTCTATCAGTGCTTAAAGGCCTTCTGGTGAAGATCCCACACTATCGTTTGTGGTTCCCTGGTGAGCCATTTGACTTGGTGGCATGACTTTTGCGGTTTTCTCTGGACCAGATCTAATTCACATATTGTACACTATATAGTACAGTCTGTACAGAAGTAGCGGATGTAGTTCTGCAAAACGTGTCACAGCTATCACTACTTGCTTGCGTAAAGTACCTCCCACATAATGGAAATCCAATTGAACAATTGGACGTGTTGATTGTACTTCATATTGCATTATATTACAATGATGCAAATATATATGTGTGTAAGATGCTGTGTACAATACTGGGAGTAATCGCAGGTTATGTGCAAGTCTGTATAAAATAATTGCAATGTACAGTATCTCACAGTAAGTACACCCCTCACATTTTTGTAAATATTTTATTATATAATTTCATGTGACGACACAGAAGAAATGACACTTTGCTACAATGTAAAGTAGTGAGTGTACAGCTTGTATATCAGTGTACATTTGCTGTCCCCTCAAAATAACTCAACACACAGCTATTAATGTATAAACCGCTGCCAACAAAAGTGAGTACACCCCTAAGTAAAAATGTCCAAATTGGGCCCAATTAGCCATTTTCCCTCCCCGGTGTCATGTGAGGGGTGTACTTACTTCTGTGAGATACTGTACATTGTCTATACTGGTAAACATATGTTACACACACACACACTTCTACATGCATGACACCAAACAAATCCTATTCTGGTGTTTTTGAAGTTCTGTGAATGCACGTGTGCTATGCATAAAAAGAAACCTGTGTAATACTTCCGGGATCCCTTTGAAGTAGCAGGTCTGGAAGAAATGTTTAGGGCCTTTCAAATGAAATTAGTTGACTCAATGACGGCAAGATTAAATGCTCTGATGAAAATTCTAAAGGTGCCCATACACTGTACGATAATCGTGCAGTGTATGGAAGGCGTGCGACCGTTTCTACTGTACGGTAGCCGTCATGTATGGCCAGCTTTAGGCCTGGTTCACACCTGGGCGTTTTTCAGCGCTGATCGAAGCGCTGAAAAACACTCAGCAAGTGAAATCCCATAATTTCCTATGGGCATGGTTCCAAACCTGGGCGTATTTCAGCACGTGGAAACATGCTGAAAAAGCCCTACGCCCAAACAAGTACAGGAGCTTCTTTGGGGCGCGTATCCATTGGTATTCCGGAGTGTGGCTCGGGGTTAACAAAGCGGTAACCCCGAGCCACCCTCGGGAATACAGCGTAGGTCTTACCTTGTCCGCGATCCCTGCTTTGTCTACCGTGTTCCGTCCCTTGCCAGCGTCCGCGTCGCAGGGGGGCGGAACCGGCAGGAAGTTTGAAAGTTAAAAAAAGTTCGAACGCGCGTTTCACTGAACTAAAAAACGTGCTAAAAACGAGCTGAACAAACGCGCCGATAGTAACGCCCAGGTGTGAACCCAGCCTTAGACTGGGGGGGGGAGAGAAGCAGCAGTGCACATTTGCTGGCAGTGAACCTGCTGAAGGATGACTTCATTAATGTGTTGTTGTTGTTGTTGTTGCTGCTTCTTCATTGTCCAGTCACAAGCTGGGGATGTGTCAAGGTCCTCAGTAAGTGCAGTGGATGTTTTAACCTTGCTCAGAAATGGTAAAGTAAAATCTAACATGTCATTTTTTCCCAGCAAAACAAACCTGCATGTTGTTGGTTAGGAAATTAGATTTCTATATCATGTGCATAGTCGTCACCTATTAAAGAGAGTACACAGAGCTGCTCATATCAGCCCCTGCTCTTGAGGAGCTTACACTCTAAAGGTGCCCATACACCTCACGATTATCGGACGATAATCGTATGCGATCGACTTTTCGAACGACAATCGTACGTGTGAATAGAGTGCCCGAACCGACAGTACTGTACAATCGTACGACTTGACGGTCAAGCATGTTTGAAAACTTTGCTCGATCGTACGATTGTCGTAAGGTTGCTGGCGTTTCCTTCCGTCAAACGTCGTACCATCTACACTGCGCATGCGCGAACGAAAATACAACAAATCAATTACCGCATTTCGTCCAGGTGCTTTTCGTTAATTACGGCTAAATTAATCTTGCGATCATCGGGGCAGGATGGGGCTGCCGTACGAAAATCGTACGACTTCGATCATCGGACTAAACGTTTCATCCGATAATCGGAAGGTGTATGGGCACCTTTAGTGTCCCCACAACAGTCATACACATACAAATGCTAGGGTCAGAATACAATTGTTTGGAGTGCATGTGGAAACCAAGGTACTTATAGAAGTCCAACACAGGCATTTTTGCTGTGGATGTAATATTATAAATCTTTGCTTGTTTTAGGCTGTGGCCAACCCAGATGTGGCAGCCAGGAAGAAACTCAAGAAACACAAAAACAAAATTGAGGCTAAAAAGAGAAAGATTGAGTTCTTAAGACCGGGGTATAAAGCAAAGAAACCTCGCAGCCATGCCCTCAAAGACTTGGCCATGGTGGAATAACACTGTCTGTTCCATCGTACAGCATTCAGCCTTGTACAGTAGGGTGCAATGTTTCTTTTCAGAACATTTTTCATGTACAGTTGTATTTTTTGTTTTTTAATTAAAATGGTTTCTAATTAACTTGCACGTGTATTTTTGCCTTTTCTGTAGAAAATCTTGTGAAATGACCAAATAGATTGAGTGGAAAAACTGAGGCATGTAAAAAACTATTTTTGTATTATTTTAAAAGAGCATTATGGTGTCAGTGTTTTTCCCCATAGTTCTCAAGGGTTACGGGGGGACATATATTATCCTCCTCCCGTGACCCAAAGCTCAGTATACCGCGAGCTACAGCTTGCAATATACTGAGAGCGCTGCAGCTGGGACAGATCCCGACATTACTGTCCACCCAGCTACATGATTGACAGCTGGCTCTGCCTATGTAGACGCAGAGCCAGCTGTACCCACCCCCTCCCCCGTCCGTTCCACCAGTCATTGCTGGAGGATCAGAGCGGGGAGGGGGACATCCCTGCAGGGAGCGATCGAGAAGACGGTATGTGTTCGCTCACTTCCCGATCTACTGAGCCGACCTGTGACAGTCTCATTGTCACACATCGACTCGAACTATGAGGTGAGTGAAAATCACTCGCCTCATAGTTCTCCTTTAAATGCAGATAATTATTTCACTTTAGCATGTTATGTGGCATTGCAATAGAAAGAATAGATGGTATATACAGTTGTGCACAAAAATTGGCATACCTGGCAGAAATCGTGAAATGTTGGCATTGATATTGAAAATATGACTGATCATGCCAAAAAAATGCCTTTTTTTTAAGGATAGTGATCATATGAAGCCATTTATTACATAGTTGTTTGGCTCCTTTTTAAATCATAATGATAGCAGAAATCACCCAAATGGCCCTGCTCAAAAGTTTACATACCCTGGAATGTTTGGCCTTGTTACAGACACACAAGGTGACACACATAGGTTACAATGGCAATTAAAGGTTAATTTCCCACATCTGGGGTTTTTTAAATTGCAATTAGTGTCTGTGTATAAATAGTCAATGAGTTTGTTAGCTCTCACGTGGATGCACTGAGCAGGCTAAATACTGGACCATGGGGAGCAGAAAAGAAATGTCAAAAGACTTGCGTAACAAGGTAATGGAACTTTATAAAGATGGAAAAGGATATAAAAAGATATCCAAAGCCTTGAAAATGCCAGTCAGTACTATTCAATCACTTATTAAGAAGTGGAAATTTGGGGCTCTCTTGATACCAAGTCAAGGTCAGGTAGATCAAGAAAGATTGCAGCAACAACTGCCAGAGGAAAAACCCACAGGTACCCTCAGGAGAAATACAGGCTGCTCTGGAAAAACACTGTGTGGTTGTTTAAAGGAGCACTATACGACGATACTTTAACAAAAATAAGCTGCATGGTCGAGTTGCCAAAAATAAGCCTTTACTGTGCCAATGTCACAAGAAAGCCCGGTTACAATATGCCCGACAACACCTTGACACACCTCACAGCTTCTGGCACACTGTCCTTTGGAGTGACGAGACCAAAATAGACCTTTATGGTCACATAAACCATAAACATTTTGTATACAGGTATTCCTCACTTAACGACCGAGTTCGGTTCCTACGACCAGGTCGAATTGGTCGTTAAGTGAGGAACACTATACAGTACAGTACTGCATTAGTACAGTACTGTATAGCGTTGCCGATGTACAGTACCGAACAGTGTACTGTACATCGGGCAATGAAAATACTTACCGGAACCCGCAGTGAAGATCGGAGGACATCACTTCCGCCCGCGACACGGCACGCTGACGCGCAAGGTCGGAGGTCGATCGGCGGTCCGTCATAAGTGCGAGTGGTCGCAAAACAGGTAAGTCGGTAAGCGAGGAACATCTGTATTTGGAATAACTGAAACCTGATTTACAATTTTCCTATAGAGCACCATAGATAAGACAAAACCCTCTGCGGGCCCAGCATGGAATAAATCTTCTGTGTGGACTCAACACTAAACATGTTACTTGGGATTGGCATATATGCTCTATATTGACGGGGAGCTGGAAACATTCCCATGTCTGCCAATTTGGGGATCAGTGCACCCAACACCGGTTTCTGATTTAATGCTGGATCCAATCAGCGCAAGGAGAAGTTTTCAGCAATCTTGGGGTGCACACACAGAAGCAAAGGCTTTGATAATGCGTGTCTTTGTTTAGCCATGCAGCTCAGTCATTTTCTAGTAATAGGCTTGCTTCAGAGGATTGCATTTATAGCCCCTAACAACTAAATTCATATATAGGAAAGCAGAAAGGTAATGTTTGTCAATGAGCACACCATAAGATGAAAGCTGTTTTCCTTTAGATTTTATTTCAAGGATACACCACCATTTTGTAGGATATTTACAAAAATATTGCCTTAGAAGACAAGAAGATCAGAGTCCACAGAGACAAAAAAAACTGTCCTTGTAATAATAACTATTGGGGCTTGTTCACACCAGAAGCCATGATCAACCGCGTGGCTACTGGTGTGCATGTGCCGTACAGTGCCAATACACTCGCTCAAGCTGCATTGCACTTTGATAAAAAAAAAGTTCTAAGTCTCCGAAGTGACAATTCATCAAGTGGGCTCACCTTGGTGCGATGCGGCTCTACCGTGTCTCACTGAAGTACACTTAAAAAAAAGATTTCTGCAAGCTGTACTTTTTTTTTTTGGCGCTCACCACCCATGACAAGGCAAATTGCCTTGTCTTGCGTTCGGGTTGCGCTGGATAAAACGGCAATGGAATACTGATTAGGTCACACTGCCAGCAGTTTACATATTGGTTTCCTATAATCTACTCATCTGCAATATGGTCTTCTGAACGTCCTTGTCTCGGAGCCCACTGGACTGTCTTCACAGCTGGCACGTACCTCTATCAAAGCAGTACAAGGTAGAAAGCATTCTTCTATAAAATGTCTTTGAGCAACACAATGAAAGTGGGCATCAAACTCTTCATTATGCAGAGAAGTCGTTTCAAAGATGGATACCAACAAGGTCACATAATGCAGACATTTTACAGCTTCTTATTGTTAGCAGTACACTCTGCATAAGGCTCCTACGACTCTGCCGTTATGCAAAGCACCCGAGGTGAAAACCTAGTACAGCTAAAGAAAAAGCATTTCCGTGTGGTCTGCGGTGCTTCCGACAGTTTGTACTTCTCTTCATTTTCCTTATGGAAACGTGTACTGAGATACATATACAGACTGCCACTGACCACCCAAAAATGCTGGCTGTCGCTGGCTTCCGTACTTCAAAATAAGCATTCACATAAAATCAGTCAGAGCTCCTGATATGTATGCTTGTTACAGGACAAGTACAGAAGAGAGGGGACAAACAAGGCACCCAGGTAGCTGGCATTTTCTAAGGAGAAGTTAATGGCAGGCTCTAAGTATCAATACAATGGAGCCAGACATCCTTAAAGGAGAACTATGGGGTCAGTGTTTTTCCCCATAGTTCTCCTTTAGGGTAACGGGAGGACACAAACTAGCGTCCTCCCGTTACCCTAAGCTCAGTATACCGCGAGCTATAGCTTGCGGTATACTGAGACGCCGCAGCGGATCCTGATGTAGATGACGGGATCCGCCCAGCTGCGTGAGTGACAGCTGGCTCTGCCTATCTAGAGGCAGAGCCAGCTGTACCCGCCCCCTCCACCAGTCAGCGCTGGCAGATCGGAGAGGGGAATCCAGCCCCTCCCCCTGTCACGGCAGACCTCACCTCCCGATCTACTGACCCGACCTGTGACTGTCACAGGTCGGCTAGAACTATGAGGTGAGTGAAAAGCACTCACCTCATAGTTCTCCTTTAACTCTTGGTGAAGGAAGTACTTCACCGGGTTATGTCTTGTCCCAGCTTGCCCTGATAAAATGATATATTCCCCTAAAATGCCATTTCAGCTGTAAATCTGCTGAACAGATACTGTGGAATCTGTGTTCACCTTACACAGCTACCACTGTTGTAAACATATAGCTTTGTCTTTAGACTGGACGGGATCACCGTGTTCTGCCATTGGCTAGTTTGAAGTCCAGATGCAGGTTTTGTTTCTAGATAGAGCCCTACAATGAAATACATTTTTTTTTCTTCTTCCCAAAAGGTGCATCCGAAAAGCAAAGTAGACAAAAGTATAGTTCATATTAATCACTCAATCCAGTTTTACTAGGAGTCCATCTATTACTCCTCCCCTCATCTTCCTCTTTCTGTAGGGGTCCCCCAAGGCTCTGTCCTTGGACCCCTTCTCTATCTACACCTCCTCCCATAGTCAATTAATAACCTCACATGTCTTCCAATACCATCTCTATGCTGATCACACACAAACATATCTTTCTACTCCACAACTCACAACCTCTGTGTCCTTGCGTGTCACTAATCTACTAACTGACATATCAGTCTGGATGTCACAACATTTCTTAAAGCTCAATCTTTCAAAAACTGAGCTCATGATATTTCCCCCCCCCCCCGTGCAAACTTTTCCCTTGAGATTGATAACACAACTATCCAACCCTCCCCTCATGCCAAAGTGCTAGGCGTCATCCTTGACTTGGACCTCACCTTCCTGCCCCACATCCAATCACTATCCAAATCCTGCCGCCTTCACCTTCGTAACATCTCCAAAATACACCCCTTCCTCACCAATGAAACCGCAAAACTACTCATACACTCACTTGTCTCTCCCATCCTATGGAACTCTCTACCCCAACCTGTCCATTTATCGCCCAAACTGACTGCCTTTAGGCGATCCCTTAAGACTCATCTCTTCAGGGAAACCTACCCCACCTTAACCTAACCGCTCAACCATCACGTTCTCAAACAATTCATCCCCACACAGCTACCTCCTCATGTATCTCTTGTCCCTCTCTTTTAGATTGTAAGCCCTCAGGGGCAGGGCCCTCCTTACCATCTTTTCTTGAATTGTATTGTGATTGTAATGTCTCCCTTATATTGTAATGCTCTGCGCAAACTGTTGGCGCTATATAAATCCTGTATAATAATAACTTCCACTGCAGGTCATTGCAAAATCAGGAGGTACTGAAATGAAAGATCCCAATATGGTTATCGTACTGAATGTGTTATATGCTCACTGTGATGTGACATTATTTCAGGCTCTAATTTTACCATCCATTTGGAGAGTAAACTTGCCCATACACTTGCACTTTTTCCATCTGACCATAGAAAATCTAGAACAGATTCCTCCATGTACGCTAAACTGTGTGTATGGAGGAATCTCCCACCGGGCCAAGCTTCAGTATCTTGCTAGTTTGCTGGCTCTCAATACCTGACATTGCCTGCATCCAATCAGATTGTTCAGGTATTTTGAGAGCCAGCGGTGGGCCGACTAGCAAGATACTGAAGCTTGGCCCAGTGGGAGATTCCTCCATCCACACAGTTTAGCGTAGATGGAAGAATCTGTTGCACTTTCTCCATCTGACCATAGAAAATCTGCAGATAATCTATAGGTGTACAGGCAGTTTAAGAAAGTAGTCACCTAGTTATTTACCAAAAATTGGAATTTGGAAACAGTCATCATAAGACTTCTAATTATAAATGTTTGTTTATTTATACAGTTGCTCTTCACAATAGAGACATTTCACAGCTCTGGGTCAGTTTTGCAGGCCCAAATCCGGAAAGTTTTGTTTAGGTTTTTTTTGTTTTGTTTGTTTTTTTACAATTTTACAAGTCAGTTAAGAGGGATATACGATCTGATTCATACTGTGCATCTTCCACCCACCGTCACCATCATTAAATGACTTGGACCTCACCTTCCTGCCCCACATCCAATCACTATCCAAATCCTGCCGCCTTCACCTTCGTAACATCTCCAAAATACACCCCTTCCTCACCAATGAAACCGCAAAACTACTCATACACTCACTTGTCTCTCCCATCCTATGGAACTCTCTACCCCAACCTGTCCATTTATCGCCCAAACTGACTGCCTTTAGGCGATCCCTTAAGACTCATCTCTTCAGGGAAACCTACCCCACCTTAACCTAACCGCTCAACCATCACGTTCTCAAACAATTCATCCCCACACAGCTACCTCCTCATGTATCTCTTGTCCCTCTCTTTTAGATTGTAAGCCCTCAGGGGCAGGGCCCTCCTTACCATCTTTTCTTGAATTGTATTGTGATTGTAATGTCTCCCTTATATTGTAATGCTCTGCGCAAACTGTTGGCGCTATATAAATCCTGTATAATAATAACTTCCACTGCAGGTCATTGCAAAATCAGGAGGTACTGAAATGAAAGATCCCAATATGGTTATCGTACTGAATGTGTTATATGCTCACTGTGATGTGACATTATTTCAGGCTCTAATTTTACCATCCATTTGGAGAGTAAACTTGCCCATACACTTGCACTTTTTCCATCTGACCATAGAAAATCTAGAACAGATTCCTCCATGTACGCTAAACTGTGTGTATGGAGGAATCTCCCACCGGGCCAAGCTTCAGTATCTTGCTAGTTTGCTGGCTCTCAATACCTGACATTGCCTGCATCCAATCAGATTGTTCAGGTATTTTGAGAGCCAGCGGTGGGCCGACTAGCAAGATACTGAAGCTTGGCCCAGTGGGAGATTCCTCCATCCACACAGTTTAGCGTAGATGGAAGAATCTGTTGCACTTTCTCCATCTGACCATAGAAAATCTGCAGATAATCTATAGGTGTACAGGCAGTTTAAGAAAGTAGTCACCTAGTTATTTACCAAAAATTGGAATTTGGAAACAGTCATCATAAGACTTCTAATTATAAATGTTTGTTTATTTATACAGTTGCTCTTCACAATAGAGACATTTCACAGCTCTGGGTCAGTTTTGCAGGCCCAAATCCGGAAAGTTTTGTTTAGGTTTTTTTTGTTTTGTTTGTTTTTTTACAATTTTACAAGTCAGTTAAGAGGGATATACGATCTGATTCATACTGTGCATCTTCCACCCACCGTCACCATCATTAA